AATTTTCTTTTTTCCTTTGGTTTTGGGGCCACTACCTATGATACTCAGTGGTTACTCCTGGCTCTGCAATCAGGAGTAACTCCTAAGGGAACCACATGGGATGCCGATCAAATCCTGGGTTGACCAGGTGCAAGACTAGTGCATTAGCCAGTGTATTATCTCTTTGCTTCTTAGTTATTTTTCTTTGAGACTCTATAGCTCCACTTAGACAATATTTGTCAAATTTATTTGACCTTTAAAAAAAATCTCTCAGTAACCCCCAATCGCAAAATCCCTCCCCCCTCCCCGGGATGAACAAACAGAAAGCTCCCTCCAAACTGCACCCATGATTACTCTCATCTCCGTCATTCCAATACTCCCCAGGGGGTGCTATTGCCCACTTTGGGGAACACTACTAGGGCATACTCCCGTGCAGATTTGATAGGGATAGCTCTATACTTATTCCAAATCTGGGCATTCTGAAAGAACCCATCTCTTTCTGTTTCCTTGATGGAGCCCTTTGTTCACAATGTCAGAGCTAAAAAATCCACTGGTGACAGGGTGTCCAAAGTTTAGTGTAAATTCCAGAAATGTAGTTAAAGAAAGAGTTGGTGGATCATTTAAAACCTTTTTGTTTTCAAGATTACACTGTGCTGCACAATAACTTGGGAGAACAGGAATAAATGATTAGAAAAGCCCGCAGACCCCATGTCACCTCATGTAAATGGGTAGGATGAGAACAGCTAGCAAGTCCGTGTTTCCATGTAGATAGCTACAGTGCTAATAATCATTTTTATGGAGCGATAGCACAGTGGGTAGGGCATTCGCCTTACAAGCGGCCAACATGGCCCACCCGAGTTTGATTCCTCGGCCCCTCTCGGAGAGCCCGGCAAGCTACCGAGAGTATCTCGCCCGCAGGGCAGAGCCTGGCAAGCTCCCCGTGACGTATTCGATATGCCAGACACAGTAATAACAAAGTCTCCAATGGAGACGTTACTGGGCCCGCTCGAGCAAATCGACAATCAACGGGAGGGCCTTTACCTTTACCTTTATGGTAGTATTTGAAAGGTTATATTATTAGAAATGTAATCATCTCTGAAAACAGACACTATCATCTAGTTATTATATGTTAGCCTATAATATCTTCTCCCAAATCCCATTTTCTTATCAATGAATATGTAATGGGTCAAGTTTTAAAATATATTAGAGTATATTGCTTCCTGCTGTGGGTCACCACCCTCAAAATGACTCCATGTTTGCACAGCATTAGTTGAGAAATATCATTTAGGAAGAGCAGTAAGCTATAGAGCTCTGGATAAAACCTTGGTTTTGTTTTATCCCTTAAACTGATGGTTTTACCATTAGGTCGCAGCATGTTAAGGCAGCCTGATTCTATGCACCAGGAACTGACCAGCTTTTGCTTCCGAAAAATGCCATGACCTATTTGCTTGCAGACTTTCAAATTCCTATCAGTGAATTGCGAGTTGGCTCAGAAAAGTTCACTTGCTATGCTAATAAAATCACTGCTTACCTTGTACCAGGAATTTCAAGTCCTGGCCAATGTTCTCTGAATATTTATGGAAGACATAAGCACAGTTTGGGAATGCAAAGCATACAGATCATGGATTTGCAAAAATGACAAGCTCTTTTGATAGTTTTTGTTGTCACATTCACTTTGGAGTGGAACTTTCACACACTGTTTCTGAAACATTTATACTTCACTCTGGAACCCTTAAACTTTTTCTTTATTTACATGTTTTCCTTCCTTGTTTCACACAATAGAGAATTTTTCCTACTGCTTTCTCCTCAATACTGTATTGGAGGTCAGACCACATTCCATATTATTTTGCCAGTTTCACTTAAGTTGTAACTCTTGTCCAATTTAAAAAAGAATTTTGTGTCTTGGGTCTAATTATTTTCATGTACCATCATGTATCATCTTGATAGCTTCTTGCTATAACTATTTTCCTTAGTTTCAACACCCATTTTAATTTTTCATGCCCAAAACTCTGCCTCACTTCCCACTTCTCACTACTCCTCCGCTCCATGATGGAGACTGGTGTTTTGATGTGAGTCAATAACAATAAGCCCCTTTATCAAGCTGTTTGGCCACTCTTTGCTTTTTATCCAGTTCATAGAAAAAATAATTTCTCTTTGGAAAGTAAGCAAAAATCGTTTTCGTTAACATCTTTCTCGATACAGTCCCCCTTTCTTTGTAATAAAACACTGGAGTCTTAACAGTGAATTTTGAGAGGAAAAATCAGTAACTACTGATGAATGTTGAATGCGTCATGAAAGTTTGTCTCATGGTGATGTCATTGCAGAAATACATGGTTATTCTCTCTTCCTTATGGTTATTGGTACAAAAAATAGCCTTTGATGAAATCTAATTGTTCAAATAGTTATGCAAATTTCTCAGGGTTTGTGTGTGTGTGTTGTGTGTATGTATTGTGTGTGTCAAAACTTACCCCGTTGAAAGTATGCTCAGCGTAACTCAACCAGGGAAGGGGAAATGCGGGTTATGAGAACTCAGCTTTGGCTCTGCCCTCTTATTAGCTAAGGAATCTTTGACATTCACCTCACCTGTGTGGTCCTTGATATCTGTGGGTCTCAGATTCTTACTCTGTGAACAAAAGTATCTTTCTGGGATATTGTAATAAGTGACCCCCAAGTTGAGTGACTGAACATATCTCTCTCAGTTTCTGTGGTTGGAGAAACAGTCTTGGTCAAGCTGGTTAAGAGTTGCTGAACACTGCAGTTAAGGAGTCTCCCGGGACCCCTTGCAAACCTCCTTTTCGATCCCTGCATTGATGTCACTGAGTTACTCAAGGGTTGTTGAACTGATGAACTCATTTCCCTTTTTTTTTAAATTTTTATTAGTGAGACACCATGAGGTACAGTTGTACACTTTCAAATTTTTGTGCTTGGGTTTCAATTACACAATGATCAAATATCCATCCCTCCACCAGTGCCCATTTCCTACCACCACGGATCCCAGTATCCCTTGGGTTCTTGGTCAGAGGGCCCTTCACTTCCTTTTCCCAGGTTGGCTTCTCCTTGATACAACCCCCATGCATAGGTGAGGACTGCAAGAGAGAAAGTGAGAGAGAACAAGCAAGAGATAAGGTTTTCCTGTAATCTAGTGAGCAAGGTCAAATCTTTTTCCTACATTCTATAGTTGCTAAACTACATTCTATAGCGTTTAGAATTACTATCTTTGTACTTTTTTGAACTTAACCAGATTATTGCTTAATCTGGGACTAATCCCAGATTACTTGTGAGAAAGGGACAGTATTCATTTCAGTCTCTCATTTTGCCTTAAATTGGGGTATAAGGTAAAGGCCTAGTCTTTAAGAACTAGAGTCTTTTACGGTATCAAATAACAATTTGCCTTGGTAGGAGTTGAGACTATAGGTATATAAATGTATATCTGTAAATATCAATATATAACATATACATAGATATATATTCACATATATGTCAATATAGATGGGGTATGTCACATATGCATCTTCATTTCAAGGTCCATGTAGAATTGATTTGATTTCAAGATTTATGAATAAACTTAAATTTTTTTACCCCCCCAACCATTATAAATGAAACTACGTATGTAATTTAGGGCTACTGGTGCTATAACTATTTCATTTTGTAATATTAAATTAATTTCTCAATTTTATTGTGCTGAAATATATGGAATTGCTTACAATCCCTATTAAAAATAACAGTAACAGGGAAGGATATTGGCTGAAAAACCATCAGTTATGAGTACAAACTCTGCTTTGAGTGACAGAGCATAATTTCTTCAAGTATCAGTTCCCTTATTTGTAAAATGAGAGTAATGATGATACTGTGCCATTAAATAGCACTGCAGAAGCACTGTCATTCCATTGTTCATTGACTTGCTCTAGTGGGCATCAGTAATGTCTCCATTCGTCCCAGCCCTGAGATTTTAACAGCCTCTCCTCTCATCTTTCCCAACTCTGCTGTACTGGAGACTCTTTCAGGTCAGCCAAATGAGACTATTTATTGTTACTGTTTTTGGCATATCAAATATGCCACAGGTAGCTTTCCAGGCTCTGCCATGCAGGTGGGATACTCTTAGTAGCTTGCCGGGCTCTCTGAGAGGGAAGCAGGCTTTGGCACGAGCTCTAATAACTTTTACAGGCACTCCAGGAAATCCTGCGTTGATCTCTTCTGGGAAATTTGCTTTTTGGTCTCTGGATCTTGGCCATTGATGAGATTACATGGCGCTGAGGGCAGTTTGTGGGTGTGACTGCCAAGCTACTGGAAAATCAGGTATCTGGGTGGAGGAGGCCCAGTCCCAATTAAAGCAAGCTTGGAAATCTCAGCCCTGGGTCCCATGTACCTGGGTTCCTCTGCCGGTTCCTTAGTGCGTTAGGCTCTTCCGAGCATGTAGAGAGTGGCCTTGAGCATGGCTGTGACTGGGTTCTGAAAGTTTTCGGCTGCTGGGGCTCTGCTGGGGGCAGGGAGGGAAACTCAACTTGCCCCCTTGCGAGGGGGGCCCAGTGAAGACAGCCTGGTGCAGGGGCAGAGGATTCTGTCATGCCATTAAGTCATATTTCTAAATGATAAGTTTAATTTATAAATGGAATCTACCAATCCATGCAGTTTCTTTTTTTTTTCTTCTTATATTTTTATAACAGAACTGGCAGAGGAACCCAGGTGTGTGGGACCCGGGGCTGAGATCTCCAAGCCTGCACGGTTTGGGACTGGACCTGTCAGTAGCTAGACAGTTACACCCTCCAACTGCCGTGCAACCCCAACAACGGCCAGGATCCAGAGATTATCACAACAAGCTCCCGGGAGCAGACTATTTATTTACTTTTCTCTAAGTTTTCAGGGTACCTTAAATATCCAACCCGCACGGCAGAGCCTGGCAAGCTATCCGTGGTCTATGCCAAATAGACCAAATTGATATGCCAAATCCAGTAATAAATGGATCTCATTTCCCTAACCCTGAATATGCAGAGTCGAGAAGGATATGGAAGGAGAGGCTGATAAAACACCAAGGCAGACATAGGCTGCCAAAACGCAGAAAAACAAAAATGATTGTCTGTACTTTTAATGCTCGTATGCTGGCATCTGCTGCATCCATTGAAGACCTTATGGTACAAGCGCGAAAGATCAAGTACGACATCATTAGTCTGACCGAAATGAGAAGACATCAATCCCATCATGCTGTTTTCGACACTGGAGAAGAACTGTTCCTTGGAACATGTGATAAAAGAGGCATCGGTGGTGTCGGTATCCTTGTCAACACAAACTTAATCATGAGCATTGATTCATTCGAATGCCTAACAACCCGAATCGGACGATTACACTTGAATAAATGTGGCTCACTACCGGCAATTTCTATCTTTGTTGTCTATGCACCAACATCCAGGTATGGTGAAAGAGAAACGGAGAAATTCTACATGGAGCTGGAGAAGTTCTATAAAGAAGATCACACCTTCTACAAGATCATTGTCGGTGATTTTAATGCCAAGATAGGACCAAGAAGATCAGTCGATGAACTCCACATCGGAACCCATGACCTGGAATGGAACGAACAGGGTGACAGACTGTCTGAGTTCATCATGTCAACCAAAACCTTCCATGGTAACTCACAATTCCAAAGGGCTGAATCTAAACGTTGGACATGGGAGTCTCCCGATGGACGGTTCCACAATGAAATAGACCACATCATATTCAATCGGCGGTTTTGCCTAACCCATGTTGCTGTTGTCCCAAAATTCCAAACGGGATCAGACCACCGTCTTCTTCGTGCAAAATTCTACCTCACAAAACGAGGAGAAAAGAATGCAAGGTTTAAGAAGAGGACTCCCAGAACAACCACCAACTGGGAGCTCTTTGGCTCTATTGCGGCAACATGGGAAGATGCCGTCATTGAAAACATTGATGAGGAATACTATCGAATGATTCAGCACCTCCATGATTGTGCAAGGAATGCCAAGAGAGAGATAACCACAAAAAACCGTCTTTCTTCGAACACTCTTGAACTTATTCGCCAACGTGGCTTGGCACATGCCTCAGGCAACCACAAGCGAACATCCGAACTGGCAAAACAGTGCAGAGAAGCCATCAAGGATGACCTCAAAAACAGGAGAGCAGCAGTACTGGTAGATGCAGCAGAAGCTGGGAAAAACATTCGTAATGCCCGCCTGTCCTTCACCAACTACAAAATCAAGATGACTGCCCTCCGACATCATGATGGATCTATCACATCTTCCAGAAGGGCAATGGAGAAGATTATTCATGAATTCTACTCAGATCTCTTTAATAGCCGCATCCACTTACCCACATACCACATACCACATGATGGATATGTCATTCCCATTGTTCTCCCTTCCGAAATCCAACATGCCATCTCTTCGGTAAAGAAACAAAGAGCACCTGGCCCAGACAAGATCAGACCTGAACACCTGAAGAACTTACCATCAGTACTCATCAATACATTGGCTCGACTCTTCACACGCTACCTGTCTGAATGCAAGGTTACATCCCAGTGGAAAACCAGCAGGACTGTACTACTATACAAGAAAGGAGACATCCACGACATTGGCAACTCTCGCCCAATCTGCCTATTGTCTGTCATCTACAAACTATTCACTCGAATCATCCTGAATAGGATTAGCAGAACACTAGATGAAGGATAACCATGTGAACAAGCTGGATTCCGAAAAGGATTCAGTACCATCAACCATATCCACACAATAACCAAGCTCATTGAGGTATCTTGGGAGTTCAAGATGCCGCTATGTCTAACGTTCATTGATTTAAAGAAGGCCTTTGATTCTGTTGAGACGGAAGCGGTCATGGAAGCCCTAGCCAATCAGGGCATACAAACTCAATACATCAGGATCCTTCGTGAGCTCTATTGCGGATTCACTACCAAGATCTCACCATTCTACAAAGAAGTAATCATCCATATCAAGAGAGGGGTTCGGCAGGGTGATACCATTTCACCAAAACTCTTCAGTGCCACCCTCGAGAACATCATGCGACGACTGGAATGGGAAGGAATGGGAGTGAAGATAGATGGTCGGCAACTACACCACCTCCGCTTTGCTGATGACATCGTTCTAATAACACCAAACATCAGCCAAGTGGCACAAATGCTGAACGACTTTGACCATGAATGTGGAAAGGTCGGACTACAGCTGAATCTTACGTAGACAATGTTTATGAGAAACAGCCTTGTTCCTGATGCTCCATTCGCTCTCAACAGAACCACCATCTCTGAATGCAACAGTTATATATACCTAGGTCGAGAAATCAACATGATGAATGACCTGGCACCTGAGTTGCGCAGGAGGAAGAGAGCGGCTTGGAATGCCTTCAAGAGCATTGAAGAAATAACTAAAAGGACAAAGAACCTCCAGCTACGAGCACATCTCTTTGATCCCACTATTCTTCCTGCATTAACATATGCCTCAGAGACCTGGACCCTACGAAAACAGGATGAGAACGCTATTCGGGTCTCTCAAAGAGGAATCGAAGGAACTATGCTTGGAATATCACGATTCACTCAAATGAGAGATAGAATCCGGAGTTCTGATCTTCGTCAACGCTCAAGAATCAGGGACGCTGTCTCATTTGCCAAGACATCAAAAATCAGATGGGCTGGACACGTAATGAGGTTTACAGACAACCGCTGGACTAGAGGCATTACTAATTGGATTCCATGGGACATCAAAAGATCACGTGGACGCCCATCTATAAGATGGTCAGACTTCTTCGTCAAGACCCTAAATGATCGGTTTGAGGCTCTGCATGTTCCTAGAACGAACAGATACCATTGGGCTACGCTAGCACGCAACCGGGATGAATGGAGACATTACTGGCACCCGCTCGAATAAATCGATGAATAACGGGGATTAAGTGATTAAGTGATAAGTGAAGTGATATTTTTATTAGTGAAACACCATGAAGTACAGTTGTAGACTTACAAATTTTTGTGCTTAGGTTTCAGTTATACAATGATTGAATACCCATCCCTCTACCAGTGCCCATTCTTCACCACCACCAGTCCCAGTATCCCTCCCTCCCCCTATCCCCCCATCCACCCTACCTCTGTGTCAGGGCATTCCCTTTTGTTATCTTTCTCATTTTGAGTGCTGTGGTTTGCAAAAGAGACATTGAGTGGCAATCCTGTTCAGTCTATAATCTACTCTCATCATGCATTTCCTATCCTGAGAGGAACCTCCCAACACCCTTTATTTGGTGCTTTCTTCTCTCTCTGAGCTGCCTTTTCCCCTAGCGTGTGCGGCTGTCCTCAAAGCCATGGAGTAATCCTCCTGCTACTTATCTCGGCTATTCTATGGTGTTAGTCTCCTATTTTGTTACTTTATGTTCCCCAGATGAATGCAATCTTTCTATGTCTGTCCCTTTCTTTCTGACTCATTTCACTTAGCATGATACTTTCCATGTAGTACCACTTGTATATGAATTTCATGACTTCATCTTTTCTAACAGCTGCATAGTACTCCATTGTGTAGATATACCAAAGTTTCTTTAACCAGTCATCTGTTCTCGGGTATTCAGGTTTTTTTTTTCCAGATTCTGGCTATTGTAAAGAGTGCTGCAGTAAGCAAACAAGTACAGATGTCACTTCGACTATACATTTTTGCCTCTCTGGGATATATTTCCAGGAGTGGTATTGCTGGGTCAAATGGGAGCTCAATTTCTACTTTTTTGAGGATCGTCCATACTGTTTCCCAGAAAGGCTGAACCAGTCGGCATTCCCACCAGCAGTGAAGGAGAGTCCCTTTCTTGCCACATCCGCGCCAAAACCGGTTGCTTTTGGTCTTTTGGATGTGGGCCAGTCTCTGTGGTGTGAAATGATATCTCATTGTTGTTTTGATCTGCATCTCCCTGATGATTAATGATATAGAGCATTTTCTCATGTGCCTTTTAGCCATTATGATTTCTTCTTTGAGAAAGTTTCTGTTCACTTCTTTGCCCCATTTTTTGATAGGGTTGAGTGTTTTCTTCTTGTCGAGTTCAACCAGTACTTTGTATATCCTTGATATCAACCCCTTGTCAGATGTGTATCCGGAGAATATCCTTTCCCATTCTGTAGACTGTCTTTGTATTTTGGTCACTGTTTCTTTGGAGGTGCACAAGCTTCTTAGTTTAAGATAGTCCCATTTGTCTATCTCTGTTTTCACTTGCTTGGCCAGTGGCGTGACATCTTTGAAGATACCATTAGCTTCAATGTCATGGAGGGTTTTGCCAACTTTGTCTTCAATATAACTTATGGATTCTGGTCTGATGTTGAGGTCTTTAATCCATTTTGATCTTACTTTTGTACTGGGTATTAGGACAGATCTGAGCCCACTTTTTTGCATGTAGCTGTCCAGTTTTGCCAGCACAATTTGTTAAAGAGGCTTTCCTTGCTCCACTTCACATTTCTTGTCCCCTTATCAAAGGTTAGATGATCATATGCTTGGGGGAAATGGGGAAAAAGAAAATGGGAAGAATCAACCTCCCTAACTTCAAACTCTACTACAAAGCAATAATAATTAAAACAGCATGGTACTGGAACAAAGGCAGAGCTACCAACCAATGGAACAGGGTCAAATATACTGACATCTCCATGCAGTTTCTTAACTAGTCTCTTATTTCAGGCCATCTGTATACAGCGTGGTTGTTGCTGGAATCCTGTAGGGGACATGAAAATTCCGGGGTGCTACTATTCTAAGAATCATGGCTATCAAATGGAGGGTCCTGTGAAAGAAACAAATACAGGTAGGCTGTATTGACAGGATCAGGAGGACAGATACTCAGAGGATGGCCCCTGGGCTGCAGAAGGAAGGTTTGGCACGGGCAGGTGCCTGCCCATGACAATAAGAACTATAATCTATTTGACATCAAGATCACCTTTTTGGGAATTCAGATATGTGATCTATTGCCCACTCTGGATTTACTTAACCTTTGTAACCCTGGCAAACTCCGTGGCCTTTATGGTTCCCAGATTTCTAACTTACAGAGAGAAGGAGTTGATTCTGAAATGACTTTACAACTCTGATAAAATGTGATTTTATCTATTTATTACTTTGTTTCTTTTTTATTACATACTACTAATTTCGAATCATTGGGAATTTCCCACTTAAGAAGAATGAGTTCTTGCATGCCTGAAACCCAATCATAAATAATTTTGCAACTTGACTATGACTTAATAAATTTTTTTAAAAAAAAGAACAGGTTCTTAATACCTTTTTGTACTTAAAATGACTGCTATTCTCAAATTACTTAGGAGAAAGGGATTATATACATTTCAGTTTCCTTTTGGTTCTACTTTCAATTGTGGTGTAAGGCATTTACCTCTTTTAAATTCTCATTGAAATTAGAATTATAATCTATTCCCAAGTTTTGTTCAGGGGGCTGAAGGAGGGGTGTATTCCTAATGATTTTGGCCCAGTCAGGCCAATTATTCAACGTGAGGGTCTGAGGATATGGTGCTGGTTAGACCCTGCAGTGCCAGGGACTGCCAGGCCACCCTCGTGGTGTGTGACCCACCAGACCCACCAGAGTTATAACTGACAGTGCTTGAGGGACCATGCGATGTCAGGTATTGAACAGGCTTGGCTCTAAGCAAAGTGTGCACCTTAATCTCCATCCTCTAAAGTGCAGTTTTAATGACATGAAAATTATTGTCAGTTTGGAAACATTTGATGAAAGTTAGCTTGCCAGTATCAGCATCTGAGGACTGAACAGCTCATTCTGAGCCCTCCCTAAACCCCAGGTATAGTGTGAAATAATGATGAACTTGCTGGGGAATAGTGGAAGGCGACACTTCTGGGGAGGCCATTAACATCAAGGGAGAAGCATCTTACTCTCCCAGGGCTCTTTTCCTAATGGAGTCTTTTAGGATAATCTTGACGATGACGTGGTTTATCTCTTAACAAGGGAAATGGACCAACTGTGATGTAGCCTAAAGATAACTTGGCAGGGATAGTAGCCAGAGACATACACACTAAGAGTGCAAAGACTGTTGGGTACAATAGGAAGGCAATTGGAGAAGTTTTCCATCATATTTTGTAGGAGAATTGCCTAGAAGTTGATTCGGAACCTGAGTCAAGGTGTGAATGATGTCTCTATTTGCCTCTCTATTCTTTTAGAGAATAAAGCTATTTTGCCAATCCCTTTAAGTTAAAGCCGAATTTTCTGTGGCTACTGTCTTGTGAGTTGGTCCAGTCAGCTCTGAAAACCCTCTCCCTCTCGCTTTAGGTTTCACTGCACGATTGCGAAGTTTACCAGTTCCATCCGCGTATGGAAACAGCGTCAGCAACATTCTCCTCACAGCAGAAAAACAGACCTCTCGCCGCTTCCACTTCAAGGTTCTAGCGGGTTTAGAGTCTCAAATTTTAGAGGCATTTGTTCCAAACCTGAAAAGTGAAGTGACCATGAGAAAATAAAGTTTTGCTAAACCAGGGGTTTTCTTTTATGGTGATGATTCTTACGTAGCACCTGGCTGATAGAGCTAAGCTTTTCTTAGTGTGGTAACTCCCTAAATATAGTATAGAGAAAACTGGTGAGTTGGGAAATTCTAGAGATCACAGCTCTTAGCAGATCCTCCTTAAGACTGATTGAGGACATTAGAGGTAAGGGCTGGAATGGGTGATATAAAGTACACATGTCTGTCAGACATTGTGTTCACTGGGTTTGTGCCCAAGTTCCAGTATTATTGGAAGAGAGATTGGGAATCCCAGGTGATGTTTCCATTTTGAAGACAGCGAGGTTTTCCTCTTGGTTCTCTTTGCCTTCTTCTCTCTGGGCAGTTGACAGATGCAGACAAGAAAAGATTTGAAGTGCCTCATGAAAATGTGAAACCCTTCCAAGGAAATGCTGCTCCTAACTTGCTCTATGACGTGAAGGTCTCCCAGGAACCTTTTAGTATCCAAGTGATCAGAAAGAGCAATGGGCGTGTTCTGTAAGTATTAAAAACCATTCCAAGGCTCAACAAAGGGAAATTTCTGGGGAAGGGAGACAACTGGAAAAGGATGCATTTCACCAATCTTGCTTGGTTGGTGACCAGACTATACCTCTAAGTGTATACTCTTTTATTTTTGCCCTCCTTCATCTTTCCTACTTCTTTGTTCATTTTTCCTCTTTATTTTCCCTTTTGTATTCTTCATTTTAAAAAATCGAATCATTGTGAAATACAGTTACAAAGTTATTCATGGTTGGGTTTCAGTCATACCATGTTTCAACACCTATTCCTTCTCCAGTGTAAAATTCCTACAACCAATGTCCCCAGTTTTCCTGTCACCATGCCCCCAGAGCCTCTCTCTCTATATATCTCTCTGTTTCTTTTTCTCTTTCCTTCTGGTCATGATGGTTTGCAATACAGATACTGATAGGTTATCATATATATCCCTTTACCTACCTTTAGCACTCAATTCTTGAGCAGAGCGATCATTTCCAACCACCATCGTCATAGTGGTCCCTTCTCTATCCTAACTGCCTCCACCCTCACCCCATCTTGTTGCCAGCTTCCAGATATAGACCAGTCCTCCTAATTCTTGTTACTAATGTCCTTGGGCATTAGTCTCATACTTTTTTTTAATATCCCACAAATGAGTGTGATCAGTCTCTCTTTTTCTGACTCAATTCACTCAGCATGTGTATCTTCCAACTTTCTAATCATTAGTCCAGTCATACCTATTTATGGAATAACTTCTATATCCAGAATAGTGATCTGGTCCTATAGTAGGATGGGTAGAAATAATCCTAAGAAATTCGCAATAAAGTACTCACTCTTGAGAAATCCTGAGTTCTTGCATCCATGGAGAACTGTCACAGGAACTCAGCGGGGTGGTTAAATAGAAGTCATGGAATCACTAAAATTTAAGAGCCCTTCTAAGCAATGTGTTGTCTCTACTTTACTTGCCTTTATGTCCCTGTGTTTTGCACGTGTGTCTAGGTTGGACACCAGCATCGGGCCACTCGTATTTTCTGACCAGTTCCTGCAGATCTCTATGCAACTTCCAAGTGCCAATGTGTATGGCCTGGGAGAACACGTGCATCAGCAGTACAGGCATGATATGAACTGGACGACCTGGACTCTGTTCTCCAGAGATACAGTTCCCAATCAGGTAGGCTTTTAGGATGGATACCTCTCCACTGACAAGCTCAGTCTCTCTCTCTCTCTCTCTCTCTCTCTCTCTCTCTCTCTCTTGCTTTTTGGGTCACACCTGGTGATGCACAGGGTTTACTCCTGGCTTTGCACTCAGGAATTATTCCTGGTGGTGCTCAGGGGACCATATGGGATGCTGGAAATTGAACTCTGATCGGACGCATACAAGGCAAACACCCTACCTGCTGTACTATAGCTCCAGCCCCAAGCTCAGTCTCATTTATAAGAGTCATTCCTAGCATAACATTACCATGGTTAAGGTTGAGATTCTAGGTGGAAGTCACTTGGGTCTGGATTCTGGTATTTCTGTCTCTTTCTCCATTTATAAGATGGATCAATATGCTAAGCTTATAGGGTTATGATATATCTCTGTATCACTGTATCACTGTCATCTCGTTGATCTTCGATTTACTAGAATAGGCGCCAGTAACATCTTTATTCCTCACAGCCCTGAGATTTTAGCAGCCTCTTCCTACTCATCTTTTCCCAGTGATTGGAGGCTCTTTCAGGGTGAAGGGAATGAGACCTATTGTCGTTACTGTATTTGGCATATTGAATACGCCAATGGGAGCTTGCCAGGCTTTGCCCGTGCAGGCGGGATACTCTTGGTAGCTTGCTGGACCATCAGAGAGGCATAAATGGGTAGGAAGTGCCTTATAAGCGGCTTCTCAGCCTCGAGGTCTGGAAAGCAGCCTGGAGCGTGGCGGTAATGGTTAGTGGAGGTTGGCTATCAGGGCTGGGTCCCTTGGGGTGGGGAGGGCTCTCACGCACCCCACAGCCTGGTCTGGAGTCCCAGGGTGGTGATATAAGTTAAATGAATTTATAGGCATAGAGACTCAAGAAAACTATCTGCCACATAGTACATATTCTTTATTTATTTTGGTTTGGAGGCCACATCATCACTTCTCAAGAATTACTCTTGGGGGGCCATATCCAGTGCTGAAAGTCAAATCCAGGTCAGGATAATGTAGGACTAACACCTTACCTGCTTACTATCTTACCCAGTACCTGCTCTGTGCTCTTAAATAGTAACTTACTTTCTTAAGTAACGAGTTTCAGAGTTACTATGCGTTACTGATAGTTACTAAAAGTACTAATAGTTTAGCAACATAGGATATTAAATTATACTTAATTTAAATTGTGCTGTTTACAATATGTATGAACTCTATTTTTGGTGGGGAATTGACCCTCATAATTTACCAACTTAACAGGGCTGTCAGTAAAAAAAAATAGTTCCATTTTTTTCCTGCTTTTTTGATCACATCTGACAATGCTCAGGGGTTACTCCTGGCTCTGCATTCAGGAATTACTCCTGTTGGTGTTCAGGGATCAAAACTGGGTCAGCCACATGCAAAGCAAATGAGCCACCCGCTGTGCTCTTGCTCTGGCTCCTATAAAGCTCTATTTTACTTATTATTTGTGTGAAGAAAATTTAGAGCATTGCAAGAACAGAAACAATAGAATTTTTGTGGTTTTTCTCTCTCTTAAGATTTTCTTTTGTTTTATTGCATGTCTGTTTGGTTTGACTGGTAAATCCAAAGCAAAACCACTGACAGGTTCTATCCACCACTTATCTGATTACACAGAACTAATGATGGATCAGTGAAGAACACAGGAGCCTTGGATCTTTGATCCTCAAAGTGTATAGCCCGGGATCTCCATTTCCTCTTTCATCTACCAATTTATCTACAATGCCCGTTGCCCGCACACCTAATTTTGAAACATGTCATTTGAGAACAGTGATTCTCAAATGTGACTGCACATTGGAAAGACAGGGTGAAATTGCACGAAGTATCCATGTCTGTCTCCATACCAAGGGATTCCATTTGGGTTGAGAGATAGCATGTGTCAAAAACTGTTCTTCCCAGCTTTGATAAATACCAGGAGGTTCACGCCATGGCTTCGAGGCCAGCCGCACACTCTAGGGGTAAAGGCAGCTCAGATGGAGAAGGGAGCACCAAATAAAGGGTGCTGGGAAGATGCGCCCAGGACAGGAGATGCATGCTGAAAGTAGTCTCTAGACCGAACATGATTGCCACCCAATGCCTCTTCTACAAACCACAGCACCCAAAAGAAGAGAACAAAAGGGAGTGCCCTGCCACAGAGGCAGGGTGGGATGGGGGATGGGGGGTGGGAGGGATACTGAGATTGGTAAGATGGAGAATGGGCACTGGTGGTGGGTTGGGTACTCGATCATTGTATAACTGAAACCCAAGCACAAAAACTTGTAAGTCTACAACTGTATCTCGTGGTGTTTCACTAAAAAAAATGTTCTTCTAAAACTCTCAAGTCTTTCTTGAGTTTGAAAGACAACTGGTAAGAGGCCTTATGAGGCCTAACAGAAAACTGTTAGAGTTCAGGTATCTGCCTAATAGCCACATATTAGTTGTCTGGCTGATATTAAGACTCTATAAGGTTTAGACTAGAAGATTGTACACTTTTATTTTTATACTATCTTGCTGCAGGATAAAACTAACCTGTATGGTGTACAGACATTCTTCTTGTGCCTAGAAGATGCAAGTGGATCCTCCTTTGGAGTGTTCCTGATGAACAGCAACGCCATAGGTAAAGGACTGAAGGAATGTGTGTGAGAAAGTGCATGAGTGACATGTATTCTCTTTCCTGCAGCATTGAGAAAAAAGGAGCAGAGCCCTATAGTGATGGCTAAACCGAAGTTTGGGGCTTCATGTGTTCGTTGACTTCCTGTTCTTTGTTCTTCATTAACATTTCCTGTAGTTCGGGGTTTCTTGCCAGGCTTAAGATGCTGAGTCTAGTTACCTCCGTTGGCCTATTTCATAGAATAGAGGGAAGACAGCTAATGCTAAGACAATTTTTACTAATGTGCTCTTATTCTTTTGACTTTGATCCTGTAGGGGGGGTTGACTGAGGTACTGGTAGGAAACAAACAATTCCTCTGAGTCAGGTGTTGATGATGAAATCTAACCAGGGAGCTAGGATTGAACAGTAAACACTATTTTCTAGCCATCCGAGGTGAGCAAGGTAAAGTGAAGTTCCATGATCATGCATAGTATCACTGTATCACTGTATCACTATCATCCTATTGTTCATCGATTTCCTTGAGCAGGCACCAGTAACGTCTCCTTCGTCCTAGCCCTGAGATTTTAGAAAGTGCCACATTCGAGGCACTTTCAGGGTCAGAGGAATGAGACCCATCATTGTTACTGGTTTTTGGCATATTGAATACGCCAGGGGCAGTTTGCCAGACTCTGCCTTGAGAGCAGGATACTTTCGGTAGCCTGCCAGGTTCTCCAGAGTAAGAACTAGATAATAAGATGTCGCTCAGCCGCAAATGCAGCCGTGCACTTCTGGGAGGTAGGTTTTATAGTCTCTGGCTGTGGCTGGAACTGGAGATCTTCAGCCGCTGGGGCTCTACTTGGGGCACGGAGGGAAACTCAACCTGCCTTCCTCCACGGCCCCGTGAAGACAGTCAGGCATGGAGGCAGGGGACTCTGCACTGTTCTCTTCTGGGAGCTAGGTTTTATAGTCTCTGGGTCTTGGCTGTTGATGGGATTACACAGCACTGGGGCAGAGGGTGGGTGTAATGCCTACATACTGGAAGATGAGGAATCTGGGTGGATGCAGAGTAAGATAAAATTATTTAAGATCAAATGAGGTAACATGGTAGAATACTACAAAGTGTCTAGATAACCCATCTTTGAAGGTTTTAAGAGTCTCACCCTCTACCACCCGAGCTAGCTAGGTATTATTGAAGGTTTTAGACTAGATCAATGTTTCTCATCTTGTTTTCCTATTACATCAGTAGTACACCTCAGGTGGCAATGAATCAGTTACCAGTAAAATCATTGTAGGAAATCAACAATAGATTTTCTCAGTTGATGTTGGGCATTGAACACGGATCTTCTTCTCCCCTGAGAAGCAAAAGACTGGATCTGTGCTACAAATAGTCTGGATGGTTCAGAAACCGTTTTGGACCTACAATGAGATGAGCATAGACATTGAGAGTAAACCCTGCTTTCAAAAATGTAGCCTCCAATTCATTCATGAACCTCTCTCTTGTAAGCCACCTTCAAATCAGTTTACAAATGCCTCCACTTTTCAGGGAATTTTAAAGAAAAAATTAAGATGTAAATTTTTCAGCAACTTTTAGAATCTATATATTTGATCTAAGATGATTCTAAGACATTCAATAAAGTCTTGGATGATTCAAAGACTCCAGTGTCTTAAGAATCGATTGGACTGAAAGGAACAGAAAGCAAATCATTCGTCTCTCTTTCTCTCTTTCTATATCATCTCTCTCTATCTCTGTATCTATCAATTATTTTGGGAAGTGTTTTTGTGGTGAATTTGACTGGGGTGAGACATCTGTCAAATGGTAACACAGATGCCCTAAGGTGAGCTCAGGGAGGACAGAAACCTCCTGTGAAGTAGAAGGTGAAATGCTTACTTGACCTTGATTTTCAATATGACCATGAAAATGGGGCCTCAAACTTCACTGCAGTGTGCTGGGGCTCACTCTTGTTGTGGTTCTGGGGACCACTTTTTGTGGTGTGAGAATGTGCTGTGGGTAGTACTCAGGCAGTACTCAGGCATCATACTCAGGGGTGTAAGGCAGACCCTCTATCATTAAAACTTTCTACCATCTCTACCATGATGTACTCAGGCAGTACTCGGGTAGTACCCAGGGGTTCAAGGAAAACTCTCTACCACCGCAATTGCCCAAGTCAAGTCAGGTTTCAGGAGAAAGTCCCAGAATCATGACACTATATGAGTTGTTCTATGACCAGGAGTATCACTTCTGAGACTTGTGATTGGGATTTATAATTTATGATACAATGTCTGACTTATTTTGGTTTGTTTGACTCTTGCTTGCTCTGAGAGTCTAGCACCTAGATGGGTTGCATTCTTATAACTTGGAAGATTATGGTAATAGAAACAGCATGTTCTATGACTATGAATATCAGCAAAACTCTATGCTCTTAAGTACAATTCATGGGGACCTATAAAGCAAACTGACAAGACAGGTTAGCAAGACAAAAGGAATTCATCTTAGATCAACAGGACTTTGGAGAAGAGCAGTTAGAGTTGGGTGCTTATAGCCCAGAATTCCTGACAGGTAAATAGGAGAGAGATATTGTCTTTGGCAAAACATAGCTTATAGGAAGAAATGGGATATAGAAAGGGCTCCAGTGGGAAAACAAATGACATGGAACAATAAATGAGGCTGAGGGAGAAAAATTGGGTGAAACAGTCTGCTTGTGAGGACAACTATTTGATGAGATGTAAATTCATTGCCTCAGAGATAATAGAGTTCTCAGGTCGGGGTGTGGTTATTAAATGACCAGGTTATTTATTAGAGAGATTCTGTTTCAGGTTGATAGGGGAGTCCAGAAACTCAAAGACCCTTAACTTAAAGTAGTTTTGGTGCCATAGTAGTTTACTCTGGACTACCCATGAAACTTGTTGCTTTTTGATGGGAGCCTATTTTCTGATAAGGGAATATTATACTGCAAACACCAATGTTGGGAGTCTCTTCTCTTGGGATCTGGGGTGCTGTGAGATTGTAATCAACAGAATTTGTTCCTTCAAAACCAAATATTGTGGCATTAGAGTCAACTTACTTCAGTTCACATGAGTGGTGATCCTCTATTCTAAAATGTCATAATTATTACTCTAGAATAAATTATAACTTATCTCTCCCTTTTTATAAAATCTTTCCAGAGGTTACTCTCCAGCCTGCCCCAGCCATCACTTACCACACCATCGGGGGCATTTTTGACTTCTATGTGTTCCTGGGGGACACTCCAGAGCAAGTTGTTCAAGAGTATCTAGAGGTAATCTCACATTGCCATGGAGCTGACCAAGGAAATCCTAAATAGCACAAACTCAACCAAATAAGCAATGGGGCTCACAAAAAAATACCTATTCTTACAAATCTAGTATTTTGAGTGGACTACCTCAGAGATGATTTATAAAGTGGTTAAAATTTAGAACAATGTTCTGACATTAGTGACTAGTATGCAGAGAAAAGGAAGCATGTTCTTTACCCTCCAACCAAGGTCTAGAGAAAGTTTTATTAAAACAGAATATTCGCTGGCTTTCTTTCAGCTCATTGGACGGCCAGTCCTTCCCCCCTACTGGTCACTTGGATTTCATCTCAGCCGTTATGGTTATGAATCCCTAGATAAGATGCAAGCAGTCGTGAAGAAAAACCGGGATGACCAGATTCCTCATGTGAGTAAGGCTTTAGGAAGCCTCCCTAACCAGAATCTTCTTGTCTGTACTTTCTCCCCCTGAGTGATACACACAAGAGTTTTACATAGGCAAAGGACAGACAATTTTTCTTGACCAGCCATTCTCCCATGAACAGGTTCATTTTAGTAGGAAACAGTACTCAAATGCCATACTTAGGAGGTTGGAGGCAATTCATTTATTTGCCTTTTTTTTCTTATGTCTTATTAGGAAAGTTTTCTTGACTTCCTTTCATATAATGCATTTTTGAGTTCTTCAGCCATTTTTTCCTTGTTTAACTGACAAATGATGCAGTCTATGCATGTAATTATTTTTAATGTTTTGAGTGGATGAATCTAATATGTCAAAAAAGAGACGAGTTTACTAGAGAGACAAAGGGTTAAAGCGAAAACTTTCTGAAATAACTTACTTTTCATTACATCATTCCCTGAGAGGCAGACATTTAGTCCCTAGAACAAGGGTAAATTTTGTTTTGGGGTCCATGCTTTTATTTAGGCAATCTTCAGAAGGAATAATTGAAAAAGACTTGACAAATTGATAAAGTAGAAGAGAAAAAGAAAATAATGTGGGGTAGTAAAGTGAAATGAAAGAAGTGGGAGAGGCAGTCCCTTTCCCCTTTATCTTGAATTGATTAGGATTTATGTCATAGGCATGTATATATACACATACTAGTATATATATATATAGAGAGAGAGAGAGAGAGAAAGAGAGAGAGAGAGACATCTCTGACTCTGTATATATTTTTCAGACCTCTCGGCTTTCTATTTTCTTTTTATAGACATTTAAGACAGTTTCTGGCATCTGACAGTTCCTCAGAACGCACCACTTTGAGGAAATAGCATAGAAAAGCATAAAATGAGACCTGTAGTGCTAAGATTTCAAACCACGCATGAGAAGACTTGACTTTTTTTTAATATTTATTAGTGAAATACCATGAGGTACGGTTGTAGACTTACAATTTTTTATGCTTGGGTTTCAGTTATACAATTATCAAGTACCATCCCTCCACCAGTGCCCGTTCTCCACCACCAATGATCCCAGTATCCCTCCAACCCACGCCCCATCCCCCGATCCCATCCTGCCTCTATGGAAGGGCATTTCCTTTTGTTGTCTCTCTCCTTTTGGGTGCTGAGGTTTGCAAAAGAGGCATTGAGTGGCAATCATGTTCGGTCTATAGTATACTTTCAGCATGCATCTACCATCCTAGAAGGATCCTCCCAACACCCTTTACTTGGTGTTCCCTTCTCTATCTGAGTTGACTTTTCCTCTAGCATGTGCAGCTGATCTTCAAGCCATGGAGTGAAACTCCTGATACTTATCTCGACTATTCTTGGATGTTAGTCTCCTATTTGTTACTTTATATTTCCCAGATGAATGCAATCTTTCTATGTCCTCTCTTTCTGACTCATTTCACTTAGTGTACTTTCCATGTGGTACCACTTGTATGTAAATTTCATAACTTCATCTTTTGTAACAGCTGCGTAGTATTCCATTGTGTAGATGTACCAAAGTTCCTTTAACCAGTCATCTGTGCTCGGGCACTCAGGTTTTTTCCAGATTCTGGCTATTGTAAAGAGTGCTGCAATGAACAAACAAGTGCAGATGTCACTTCGACCACACATCTTTGCCTCTCTGGGATATATTCCCAGGAGTGGTATTGCTGGGTCAAATGGAAGCTCAATTTCTAATTTTTTGAGAATCATCCATACTGTTTTCCAAAAGGACTGAACCAGTCGGCATTCCCACCAGCAGTGAAGGAGGGTCCCTTTCTCACCACATCCATGCCAACACCAGTTGCTTTTGTTCTTTTGGTTGTGGGCCAGTCTCTGTGGTGTGAGATGGTATCTCATTGTTGTTTTGATCTGCATCTCCCTGACAATTAGTCATGTAGAGCCTTTTCTCATGTGCCTTCTTGCCATTCTGATTTCTTCTTTGAGAAAGTTTCTGTTCATTTCATCACCCCATTTTTTGATGGGGTTGGATGTCTTCTTCTTGTGGAGTTCGACCAGTACTTTGAATATCCTTGATATCAACCCCTTGTCAGATGGGTACTGGGCAAATATCCTTTCCCATTCTGTAGACTGTCTTTGTATTTTGCTCACTGTTTCTTTTGAGTTGCAGAATCTTCTTAGTTTAAGATAGTCCCATTTGTCTATCTCTGTTTTCACATGCTTTGCCAGTGGTGTGTCATCTTTGAAGATACTATTAGCTTCAATGTTGTGGAGGGTTTTGCTAAACTTGTATTCAATGTAGCTATTGATTCTGGTCTGATGTTGAGGTCTTTAATCCATTTTGATCTTACTTTTGTATATAGTGTTAGGTAGAAGTCTGAGCCCATTTTTTTGCATGTAGCCATATAGTTTTGCCAGCACAATTTGTTAAAGAGGCTTTCTTTGTTCCACTTCACATTTTTTGCTCCCTTATCAAAGATTAGATGATCATATGTTTGAGGGGAGATGCCAGTATATTCAACCCTGTTCCCTTGGTCTGTGGCTCTGCCTTTGTTCCAGTACCATGCTGTTTTAATTATTACTGTTTTGTAATAGATTTGGGGAGGTTGATTCCTCCTGTTTTCTTTTCCCCAAGAATTGCTTTAGCTATTCGTTGGTTCTTATTGTTCCATATGAATTTCAAGAGTATTTGCACCATTTATTTGAAGAATGTCATGGGTATCCTTATAGGGATCTCATTGAATTTGTACAATGCTTTGGGAAGTATTGCCATTTTGACAATGTTAATTCTCCCGATCCACGAGCAGGGGATATCTTCTCATTTCCTCGTGTACTATTTTATTTCCTGAAGTAGCATTTTTTAGTTTTCTTTGTACAGTTCTTTTACGTCCTTAGATAAGCTGATTCCTAGCTACTTGCTTTTGTAAAGCACAATTGTGAACAGTATGGTTTTTTTATGTCACTTTCTTCTATCTCTCATTATTTGTGTATATGAAAGCCATGGACTTTTAGTTACTGATTTAATAGCCTGCAACATTACTATACAAGTGTATTGTTTCTAAGAGTTTATTGGTAGATGTTTTAGGGCTCTCTAAGTATAGTATCATATCATCTGTGAATAGTGAGAGCTTGATTTCTTCCTTTCCTACCTGAATGCCCTTAATATCTTTTTGTTGCCTGACCACTATTGCAAGTACGTCCACTACTATATTGAACAGCAATGTATAGAGTGGGCATCCTTGTCTCATCCCTGATCTTAGAGGAAAGGCTCTTAATTTTTCCTATTAAGGATGATGCTTGCCATAGGCTCGTGTTAGATGGTTTTAACTATAGTGAGGAAAGTTCCTTTTAGTCCCATTTCGGGTTTCCATCAGAAACGGGTGCTGGATCTTCTCAAATGTTTTCTCTGCATCTATTGATATGATTATATGGTTTTTATCTTTTATTTTGTTGATATGATGAATTATTTTGATTGATTTATGAATGTTAAACCATCCTTGCATCCCCGGGATGAATCTCGCTTGGTCGTGGTGTAAGATCATTTTGATGAGTTGTTGAATTCTATTTGCTAATATTTTGTTGGGAATCTTTGCATCCATGTTCAACAGGGATATCGGTCTGTAGTTTTCTTTTCTTGTGGTGTCCATGTTTCCTTTTTGTATTAGAGAGATATGAGCTACATAGGAACTGTTTGGGAGAGTTACTGTTTCCTTAATTTCCTGGAAATGCTTGAGAAGAACTGGCAAAAGGTCCTCTTTACATGTTTGGAAAAATTTTCTAGTGAATCCATCTGGGCCTGGGCTTTTGTTTTTGGGAAGAATTTTGATTACAATTTCAATTTCCTTGATGTTAATAGGACTATTCAGATATTCTAGATCTTCTTGATTCAGCCTTAGGAGACTATAAGAATCCATGAATTTATCCTTTTCTTCTAGGTTCTCTTGTTTCGTGGCATACAGACTTTGAAAATAGTCTTTGATGATCTTTTGAAAATTTTTGATTTCTGTTGTGATATCCCCCTTCTAAATTCTGATTCAGTTTATTAGGGTTCTCTCTCTCCGTATTTGTGAGTATTGCTAATGGTTTATCTATCTTGTTTGTTTTCTCTAAGAATCAGCTCTTGGTTTCATTGATCTTTCAGATTGTTTTTTGGGTTTCCATGTCGTTGATTTCTGCTCTAAGTTTTATGATCTCTTTCCTTCTGCCTGGTTTGGGCTCCTTTTGTTGGTCCTGTTCAAAGATCTTGAGCTGTGAAGTCAAGTTGTTATGTGGGCTCTTTCTTTCTTCCTCAGAAATGGTTGCAGTGCTATAAATTTTCCCCTTCACACTGCTTTAGCTGCGTCCCATAAGTTCTGGTAGCTCGTTTCTTCATTCTCATTTGTTTCCAGGTATCTTATGATTTCGTCCTTGACTTTCTTCATGACCCACTTGTTGTTCAACATTGAGTTGTTTAATTTCCAGGTGTTTGATTTGGTTCTCTGTGTCTTTGTGTGGTTTGATTCTATCTTCAGTACATTGTGGTCTGAAAAAAATGTTTATACTATTTCTATCTTTATGCTTCTATTGAGGTATGTTTTGTAGCATAGCACATGGTCTATTTTGGAAATTGTTCCAAGTGCACTGGAGAAGAATGTGTATTCTTTCTTTTTGGAGTGTAAAGTCCTGTATAGGTCTATATGTCCTCTCTCTTCTATTTCTTTCTTCAAAGCCAATTTTCCCTTTCTGAGTTTTGTTCTTGTCGATCTCTCCATAGGTGATAAGGTGATGTTGAAGTCTCCATATACTATTGTATTGCTAGCAATGTCCTCCTTAAAATCTGTTAGCATTTTTTAAAATATTTAGCCCTTCCCTCATTAGGTACGTATACATTTAAGAGTGTGATTTCTTCCTGTTGTACATATCTCTTGATGAATAGAAAATGGCCGTTGCTATCCCTTCTTATCTTTGTCAACCTGAAGTGTATATTGTCGGAAGATAGTTGGCCACACAAGCTATTTTTGAGGGAGCTGTTTACTTGCAGGATTGTTTTCCATCCTTTAACTTTGAGTCCGTGTTTGCTCTGACTCTCCAGATGAGTTTCTTGGAGGCAGCAGAATGTTGCCTGTCTTTGAATCCATTTTGCCACTCCGTGTCTCTTAATTGGTGAATTTAGACCATTGACGTTGAGAGAGATTGTTGTTATGGGTTTTGTGTCATCTTTCTGTAAGGGTTTGTGTGCTTATAGCGTTTGTCTTATTGTAGCCCCTTTAGTCCTTCCTTTAGGTTTGGTTTTGAGTCTATGAATTTCCTGAACTGTTGTTTATCCATGAAAAAGTGTACTGTTTCTTCGAGTTTGAGTGAGAGTTTAGCCAGATAGAGTATTCTTGGTGAAGCATTCATTTCATTTCAGTGAGTTTTTTCAGTATATCCCACCATTGCCTTAGGGCTTGGAGGGTTTCCTCTGATAGGTCTGCTGTGAATCTAAGGGGCGCTTCTTTGTATGTGATTTCCTTCTTTCACCATGCTGCTTACAGTATTTTGTCTCTTTCGGCAGCATCCATAATTCTAACTATGATATGTCTTGGAGTGTTTTTGTTAGGGTCTCTTTAAGCTGGCACTCTTAGGGCTCCTTCAATGTGAATGGCTTCATTATCTAGCTCTGGGAATTTTTCAGCAATGATTTGTTAAACTATGACTTTTTCATGGGGATTGTTTCCCTGAGATTCTGGTACTCCAATGATTCTAATGTTATTCCTCTTGAAATCATCTCCTAGGACTCTAATTCACTCTAGAGCTATTTCGAGGTCTCTTGCCTTTGTTTCTTGTTGCCTGTAGGCTTCCTGCAGCTGATCTTCCAGCTCACTGATTCTGTCTTCAGCTGTAGCCATTCTACTGTTGAGGGCACGCACTGAGTTTTTTATTTCATCTACTGAATCCTTTATTCGTGACACTCTGTGCGTAGCTTTTCAATTTCTGCTCTCAGTTCTTCCTGTAATTTCTTGGTTGTCCGATCCATTGTTTCTTTCACATCCTCCTTTAATGGAGCGATAGCACAGCAGCAGAGCATTTGCCTTGTGCGCAGCCAGCCCGGCCGAGCCGGGTTCCATTCCTCTGCCCCTCTCAGAGAGCCCAGCAAGCTACCGAGAGTATTTCGCCCACATGGCAAAGCCTGGCAAGCTACCTGTGATGTATTCGATATGCCAAACACAGTAACAACAAGTCTCAAAATGGAGACATTACTGGGCCCGCTCGAGCAAATCAATGAACAACAGGAGGACAGTGCTTCAGTGCTAACTTTGTCACTGTGTCTTTGTGTCCATTGAACATCTTCACTACTTCATATCTGAATTCTTTATCAGAGAGGTTCCTTAGGTGAGTAACACCTAATGAGGCTTCTGTATTCTTTTCATTATCCTCTCCTCGTGGTGGTAATTTGTGTTGTTTCTTCATGTTGGTGTGATGGTATGGAGACTGAGGGATGGAGAGATTTGGCATAGCTTTGGGGATGAACAGGAAGAGGTTCTGTATATATTTTTGACAGCTTTAGTAATTTTTAAAAATAATTGTGAAGTATCAGTGAGTTGATTTTTTATGCCTGTGGTGAGTGTGAGTCTTGTTACTCTGTTTGACATAACACAGTAACAAGTTCAGTGTGAGACTTGTTACTGTGTTTGCATAACATAGTAACAAGTCTCTCAATGTTACTGGGCCCACTTGAGCAAATCACAATGGGAGGACAGTGACAGTGACAGTGACAGTGGTCAGGGTAAGGTAGGATGATCTTAATAACGTGATCTTTGGGTGAGATCAAGTCCTAGGTAAAATCTGATCACTTGCTTTGGAAATTAGCTTTGGAAAAGAAACACTTCAATGTCAGGGCTGGATCCAGATGATAGGAAAGAAGTGGACACTCTGGTGAAGAATGGTGTTGGAAGACTATGTTTGAAACCCTGTCATTAACGGTAATGCTTCTTATGACATCTCAAATAAAATTAGGAAAACTAAAAAAGAGCTCTCTTGAGAGTCCCTCACAGAATCAGTTGTTCTGAGGAATAATCATAATGGTAAGTTTTCCAACTCATTTTAAAAACAAAACTCCTAGGTGCTGATTTGTGGGCATCTGTATATTTTCAGGATGTGCAGCATGCTGATATCGACTATATGGATCAAAGAAGGGACTTCACTTACAATCCAGTACAATATAAGGACTTCCCTGAGTTTGCTAAGGAGTTGCACAAAAATGATCAGAAATTGGTCATCATTGTGGTATGTGCCACTTCAACCCCCTTCTTTGCCTATCAATTCCCAATATATTTTCTTTTATTTTTTATATATTTTTAAAATTTAATTAAAAAAGCATGACTCACAAAGTTATTGATCCAGTATCTTTTCACTGCCTCTAACTTAACATAACAATATTCATTGTCCCTCCTGCCCTCTTTCTAGAATCCAGCCATCTCTAATAACTCTTCTAAAACTAATCCCTATGGACCATATGAGAGGGGCTCAAAAATGAGTGTGTGGGTACAAGCTCCTGATGGAACTCCAATCATCGGAGAGGCAAGTCAAAGGGGGAAGTTGTGAAATGGCAGGCGGGGGGCTGTTTTGTGTGTGTATGTGTTGTGTGTGTGTGCATCTGTGTAAAATTGTTTTGTTTTGTTTCCAGTTCCCTTATTTGTTTGGGATAAACTTTACCATTCATCTTTCTTCCCTGAATACCTACCCATTTTCCTCATTTTTACATTCCAAGAACTGACAACTCCCTTGAAACAATAGCCTGTGCTCCTACTGGGATGTCAGTTTTAATGTCAAATTTAGAGGTGTCCAGGAGCTGTGGAACTGGGACAATTGGCATGTCTTTGAGATTAGCTTAAAAAACTACTCTCTAACTATATACTCAGTCAATTAATTAATTAATTAATTTGTTGATCGATTCTTTTGGCGTCACATGCAATGCTAGTTAGGGTTTATTCTCAGGACTACATGCAAGAATCACTTCTGGCAGTGCTTGTGGGACCACATGAGGTGCTGGGGATTAAACCTTTGTTGGCTGCATACAAGGCAAGTGCCTATCACAGCCCTCTATTCAGTCAATTTCATCTGATCAGTAATATTTTTCCTCTGCTACAGGTCTGGCCTGGAAAAACTGTGTTTCCTGATTATACCAACCCTCAGTGTGCTGCTTGGTGGACAGGTGAATTTGAGCGTTTCTATAAAGAAGTGGAGTTTGATGGAATCTGGATTGTGAGTCTTTAATATTTTGATTTTATTTTCATTGACTGACATACAAGCTGTTTAAATTTGTACCATAAAATCATAGAGAGTAGAAGGAAGGGGAAAGAAAAGCAAGGGTAGCAATTTTACCTCTATCAAATACTCTGTCTTACTATTTCAACCATCTTCCTGAAACATTTAGCTTAGTGTCAAACTAAAATTATTAGTGTTGGAAGTTAACTCAGACCTTCTCTTTTCCCCAAGCCTCACTTTTCTTTATAAATGAATGAGATAAAGTAAAAATACATCATGCTGTTGCAAACTATAGGACCTATTAATGACCAGTTCAGAGCTCTTTCATTTGCACATGTTGGACAAACTGTTCAGAGCAAAAGTCTCCAGGTGTCTGACAAAACCATGGCAGTGTTATGGTTTAATGCCTCCCGCAAGGTTAATTAAAAACAAATGTAAAACAGCAGCTGTTCAGCAATATTCAGTAAGCTCAAGAACTGGACATTTTTCTATTTATTAGAGAAATGTAGAATATTTTAATTATCTATAGATCTAAAATGCTGGAAGGAAAAGCCTTCTAAAATGATATTAATCAACCAAAGACTTTGGTTGGCATCTCAATAGCATAAGAGCTAGCACAAGATTGCCCTCTCATTTTTTTATGTCTATGAAATGCATTTTTGTGGGTTGACAGCTTTATTTGTATATGTAGAGAAGGTACAAATCGTATATGCAGGTAATAATAAAATATTTTTCTTTTTTGGAGAGTTTTCAGTCCTAGTAGTTAAAATCATATCATCTCAAAGGGAGTCTAAGAAACTTCAGCATGAAATCTTCAGTGGGTTAAGGAGACAGTAAGATTTATTTCTTCCTATGTACACAGAATTTCTTTTAAACGGGAATGTCTATGATTATTTCTCTGATTATTTACATAAAGAGGATACCATTAGTATAAGACAATGCATTTTCTTGATACTTTTCCCTGTCTTGTAGGATATGAATGAAGTTGCCAACTTTGTGCGTGGTTCAGTTACGGGATGTTCCAAAAGCTCTCTAAATTATCCCCCATTCACTCCCAGTAAGTCTTGCTGGCATATTTGGTGCTTTATATTAGAATAGAAATGAGCAAACTGGTAAGGACATTTGCATGTAACTGGGCACAGGAAAAGAAAAATGTGGGAGTGTACACAAAAAAACTGTCACTGTCCTCCCATTGTTCATCGATTTACTCGAGCGGGCCCAGTAATGTCTCCTTTGTGACACTTGTTACTGTGTTTGGCATATCAAATACATCACGGGTAGCTTTCCAGGCTTTGCCGTGCGGGAAAGATACTCTTGTAGCTTGCCAGGCTCTCCGAGAGGGGCAGAGGAATTGAACCTGGGTCAGCCGCGTGCAAGGGAAACTCCCTACCCACTGTGCTACCACTCCAACCCATGCACAAAACTAAGAAAGAAAATCAAAGTACTTTATATGTTCCTTTAGCGGCATAAGTTCAGAATAGATAAGCTGTAGTATAAATTGTTTTGAGAAGACCCAGAGCAGAAGACAGGGGAAAGGGATACTAGTTAGTTTATGTAGATCTCAAGTGTGTTACTCTTTATGCCAGACTTACCAAAGAGAGATCACAAAGCCAGGCTTGTTTTTTAGATGATGATTAAATTTGATAATATTAAGAATGTAAGGAACCATAAGGGTAGTCAGAGCCTATGACTTGTGAGGTCAAATCAGTGAATATATTTGTGTGCTCTGATTGAATTTTGACAACATTAGGGTTGTAGTTCTGCAATCACAGAACTTATTGTATATAGGAAACTTTGTAGCTAGAGCTCACCGAGGAGTTGTCTTGTCTTTTTTAAGAAATGAACATTGAGAACCAAAGAGATAGTAGAGCAAGTTAATGGCACTGCCTTACACTCCTGGCCAACCTGGGCTTAATCCCTAGCACCCTATACTATTCCCTGGCAGGAACTATCCCTGAGTGCAGAGCCTCCAGGAATAAGTCCTGAGTACTATTGGGTGTAGCCCCCTAAATAACATAATGCAAAAATTAATGGATCAGGCTGACGAATATGATGAGAAACTAGGATTATAACATCTTGTAAAGTCTTCTATCTCCTGGTGGGAAAATAGAAATTTTGGACAGATAGTTTGGAATGAAAAGTAAAGGGATTCAAATCTATGGTGAAACAGTTTGCTTTTTATTCTTTTGACTATAGAGACTGTTCTTTGTTTAGTAAGAGAAAAATAGAATAATGAAATGGCTTTAGAAATATTGATCTGACATTATTGTATGGCATGAATTCAATGATTAATAAATTAGAAGCAAGCAAACTATTGAAAAATTATGCAATCATTAAGATCTAAGTCAAATTGTATCTGAACCAGTGAAGTTCAATAGGAAGTTAAAAGAGATGAATAAAAGAGAATGAAGTTCCATTCTTGACTACATCTTATCAGAGGAGTGAAATTGTAAGTAACACTTTCAGGCAATATCACTGTCCTTTTCTTTTTTTTTTTATTTATTTATTTATTTTAATTTATTGAATCACTGTGGGAAAAGTTACAGAGCTTTCGGGTTTAGGTCTCAGTCATGTAGATACCAAACACATTTCCCTTTACCAATACTCATTTTTAACCCCGAACCCCAATGGACCCCCACCTCCCACCCCTCCCAATTCTTTGTGAGGCAGATGAGTTCTAGTTAATACTCTATCTACTTTGACTAGATAGATTATTCCGATAGAAGATGCACAATTATTGTTTAGAGTTTACGACCCACCCCCGCCCCCAATCAGACATGCTGAAACAGCGTTGTGAAATGATTTGCTTTCTACAACTTGGTTTAAGAATAAAATGATGTCGTGCGGCTGCGATAGCGGCCGCGTGGTTTTGAATTTCTGCTACTTTACTTATTGACCCTGGAAGAATTTCTATTAAAAGTTAGCTAGTTAAGAGATTGGTTTCTGTGCCCTGGAGTCGTGGCCGTGCCGGAGAGCCGCTCGTGGGGGGCAGCTGGCGACCTCGGTGGGGCGTGGGGGACGGCCCACAAAGCCCCCATTCCCATGAGGTCCCCGCCGCTCCCCCGAGTCCGGCTCAAACCCGCTTTCCACAAGGCTCCCGTGCGGCCGCCATCTTTCTTTCCAGAGAGGAGCGGGCGGGCCGGTCAATGCCCTTCCCCCTCCGGGCAGGCTTGGTGGCGCGGATCAACACAAGTCCATTTGCTTTTCTGCTCCAAGCGGCTGGTTCTCTGTGCTAAGTCCTTGTGCCTCCGGGGCCATGGCCGTGCCGGAGAGCCGCTCGTGGGGGGCAGCTGGCGACCTCGGTGGGGCGTGAGGGACGGCCCACAAAGCCCCCCTTCCCATGAGGTCCCCGCCGCTCCCCCGAGTCCGGCTCAAACCCGCTTTCCACAAGGCTCCCGTGCGGCCGCCATCTTTCTTTCTCACTGTCCTTTTCTAAAAAAAAATTAAAAACCGAATCACAGTGAGGACACAGTTACAAAGTTGTTCATGATTGGTTTCAGCCATATAATATTCCAACAACATCTCTTCATCAGTGTACATTTCCTACCACAATGTCCCTAGATTCCCTCTGCCTTCCCCCTACCTGCATCTATGGCAGGCAATCTCTCTCTTTCTCTCTCTCTCTTTCTCTCTCTCTCTCTCTCTCTCTCTCTCTCTCTCTCTGTGTCTTTCCTTTTGGGGCTTATAGTTTGCAGTACAGATAGTGAAAGGTTATCAGGTATATCCCTTTACCTATTTTCAACACTCAGTTCCTATCCAAAATGAACATTTCAAACTATTATTGTCTTCCTGATCCCTTCTATATCCTTACTGCCCTTCATCCCCAGACACTCATAAGGCAAACATTGAGTAGTCCTCCTGGCCCCTGATTTCCCTGGCCATGGATATTAATCTCAGACAAATGCAGCCATTCTATATTTGTCTCTTCTGACTCATTTTCATTCAACATGATACTCTCTATGTCTGTCCATTTATAAGCAAATTTCATGACTTTATTTTTCCTAAAGGCAGTGTAGTATTCTATTATGTAGATGTACAATAGTTTCTTTAGCCCATCATCTGTTCTTGGGCACTCGGGTTGTTTCCAGATTCTGGATCTTGTGAATAGTGCTGCAATGAATACAGGAGTGCAGATGAGAGGCTAGAGCGATAGCACAGAGGGTAGGGCATTTGCCTTGCACGAGGCCGTCCTCAGTTCGATTCCCAGCATCCCATATGGTTCCCCGAGCACTGCCAGTAGTAATTCCTGAGAGCATGAGCCAGAAGTTACCCCTGTGAAATGCCAGGTGTGATCCAAAAATCAAAAAAAAAAAAAAAGAAGTGCAGATGACATATCTTCTGTGTATCCCAGGGTATATCCCAGAAATGGTATTGCTGGGTCTAATATGAGCTCAATTTCTAGATTTTTGAGGAATGTCAATATTGTTTTTCGAAAAGGCTGGCCCAATTAGCATTCCCACCAATAATGAAGGAGAGTTCTTTTCTCCTGTATCTGCGCCAGCACTTGTTGCTCTGTTTTTGTTTTTGGTTTTGGGTTTTTTTTTTAATATGTACCAGTCTCTGTGGTGTGAGATGATATCTCATTGTTGTTTTGATTAGCATATACTGATGATTAGTGATGTAGAGCAGTTTTTCATGTGCCTTTTAGTTATCTGAATTTCTTCGTTGAGGAAGTTTCTGTTCAGTTTTTTCTCCCCATTTGAAACAATTATTTTATTTTTATAAAATTAAAAGGTAAAGGTAAAGGCCCTCCCGTTGATCGTCGATTTGCTCGAGCGGGCCCAGTAACGTCTCCATTGGAGACCTTGTTGTTACTGTGTCTGGCATATCGAATACTCTCGGTAGCTTGCCGGGCTCTCCAAGAGGGGCAGAGGAATCGAACTCGGGTCGGCCATGTTGGCCGCGTGTAAGGCGAACGCCCTACCGCTGTGCTATCACTCCAGCCCTTTATAAAATTGTTCACAGTTATTTATTACATTCAATATTCTAACACCAATCCCACCACCATTACACCTTCCCAGCACCATTATTTCTTATTATCCCAATCACCACCCACACCTGCCCCAACAGCAGGCCCTAAATGATTTATTTTGCATTGATAACTTGTTGCTACAGAAAAGCCTTGTGTGTTAATATTTTCTTAACTGATATTGGTAGCCTTCTACTTTATATATCTTCCATTGTGGTATACTACTCACGGTGGGCTGGAACGATATAGCACAGCGGGTAGGGTGTTTCCTAGGCCAACCCCGGTTTGATTCCTCCGCCCCTCATGGAGAGTCCAGCAAGCTACTGAGAGTACCTCGCCCACACGGCAAAGCCTGGCAAGCTACCCATGCCGTATTCGATATGCCAAAAACAGTAACAACAAGTTCTCACAATACAAACGTTACTGGTGCCCACTTGAGCAAATCAATGAACAATGGGAAGACAGTGCTACAGTGCTACTCATGGTGGATCATGCAGAGCATGAGATGTCCTGTGGCCATTTTCATGACCACACACTCCAGTAATTCTAAAATTTTGATTCCTCTCTCATTTTTTATGCGGTTGTTTTTTTTTTTTTGTAAAGAACTGCCAGTGTCTTATATCACTTTGATATTAACCCTTTGTCAGATGAATATTGGGTAAATAACTTTCCTATCTGTGTGCTATCTCTGTAAGTAGACACCATTTCCTTTGAGGTGTATAAGTTTTGTAATTTAATGTAGTCACATTCATTTATCTTAGCTATCCTTGCTTGTTTAGTGATGTTTTATCTTTGAAGATACCTTTTCCTTCATTGTTATGGAAGTTTTGCCTACGTTTTCTTCTATGTACCTTATGAATACAGGTCTGATGTTAAGATCTTTAATTAATTTTGATCTGACTTCTGTGCATGGCATAAGAAAGAATTCTAAATTCATTTTTTTTGCAGGTAGCTGCCCAACACCACTTGTTGCCCCACTTCATATTTGTTGTTCCTTTATCAAAGATTAAATGATCATATATTTGAGGGTGTGTGTCAGGATATTCAACTCTATTCCATTAGTCAGCAGGTCTGTCTTCATCGCAATACCATGCTGTTTTAATTACTACCACTTTATAGTACAGTTTGGAGTTGGGAAAGGTGATGCCTCCCATCTTCTTTTGAATACCACTATTCTTGAACCACTTAACAGAGCTCCAATTGAAGAACTGAGGTTGTACTACTGGTCTAACTCGGTCCTCTTACTTCCAAATGCCTGCTTGTGGTCAACTGAGTTCCCTGGAAAGATAATGTGTATAAGCTATCAGAGAAACTACTGTACATATGTAGAAAACTGATAATATGAAAGCTGGGTGATCTTTAGGAGGACAGCCATGTTCAGTGCCAGTTCAACAGGACACCTTTTCTAATTCTATGATGGTCTAGGAATAGAGACTTTCATTCTAAGACTTTGAATGACTGATAAATTTCTCTCTTTTGTCCCAGAAATCCCGGATGATTTCTTGTTCAGCAATACTCTCTGCTTAGATGCGGTGCAGCACTGGGGCAAGCAGTATGATGTCCACAGCCTGTATGGCTACTCCATGGCAATTGCCACAGCAGAGTAAGGCCACTGTTGTTATGCTTTCATGGGAGCCAAATGATTGATCTGGGTAGATTTCACATCAGTTTACCATTTTAAAGAACTCTACAAAATAAGCAGACTTAGTGATATTGATGAAAGAAGATACTACCTGGCACATAGGGAAGAAGGAATCCAATATATATTTGTAGGAAGCATAAAATAAGAGAAAAAATAATGGCAAAAATGAATGAATGATATTAAAGAGTAGCTTTAATGAGGTCTAGGGATTAATCAATAAGTTGTAAAAGCAGAAATCAAATCCATTTCTGTGTAAGTCTGGAAATCACACATTTTCCTTTGGGTCACATTGTGTAGAATAGAATATGAAGGACTGAGTAGCTTCCAGACCTCACATGCTTTGGGGTTTTAGATACAGACTCAGAATCTGTTCCTGTGCTTTATTTACATTTGTGTGTGAACCCATTATACAGGGATAAAAATGAACTGATAATCATATCCTGACACTGGAACAACAAGAGAATCAGACCCAAACCCCAAATAGTTAGTACCACAGTCATAGATGCAATTCCACCCTTCTTGAAATTAATTGAAAAAAGTTATGGAGCATAAGCTTTTCAGGATAGATGGGCTGATGTGATAGTAAAGCTAGCAGGGTACTTGCCTTGAGGGACTTAATCCCCAGTGCCACAAATGGTCCCTAAGTCACACCAGGAGTTATCCTTGAATGCAGAGCTAGGAGTAATTCCTGAGCACTGCTGGATGTGGCCCCCAAATAAAATAATGTGTATAGGCATTCAAGTTAAAAGTACAGATTATTCACATTTATGTTCACTTATAAAAATGCACTGGTACAAATAGAATTCTTTTGGTAATTTTTTTCAAAGTGTTGTTCACAAGAATTTATTACATTCAATATTTCAGCACCAATCCCACCATCATTACACCTTCCCACCACCATTATTTTAAATTTTTCTACCACCACTCAAACCTGCCCCCAAAGGAGATGCAAACAACTATTAATGATTGTTTGGAGGGAAATACATCCACCTTTAGCAAATTGCACCATATCATTTTTATTGTGGTGCTAATAGGCTTTGAAAATTACCCTAAGTTTAGATGTAGGGTGGATACTCCAGGGCTGGAGCAATAGCACAGCTGGTAGGGTGTTTGCCTTGCACGCGGCCAACCCAGCCGACCTAGGTTGGATTCCTCTACCCCGGCAAGCTACTGAGAGTATCTCTCCAGCATGGCAAAGCCTGGCAAGCTACCCGTGATGTGTTCTATATGCCAAACACAGTAACAACAAGTCTCACAATGAAATCATTACTAGGCCCGCTTGAGCAAATAGATGAACAACAGGAGGACAGTGCTACAGTGCTTGTTATGAATATTTGACTAAAAATGTTCCAAAAAGCTTTCCTTAGAGAAAAGTGTATAAAAATGGTTGTATCTCATCCTGGAACCGTTAAGCCTCTGAGTTAGAGATCATTAATATGTTGTTAGAATTTGAGTGGTATATGTAATATATATATATATATACACACATTTATTTTAATCAAGGTTGGTTGTTTTCTACCTTATGCCCATCAAACATGGTATGTTACTCTTGGTATATCAGTGGCATAATTGTATGAAATTCCAAACTGCATACTCTTGGAATTCTAAAATTTCTTCATAGGGTGCTAGAGTGAGTCTCAAATAGAATTCTTAAATGTAACTTCTTATTGCAACTGTATGTTTAAAGTATTTCTATTTAAAGAGAATATTACTCAAAAAGAAGTTCCAAAAGGATATTAGTAAGTTTATTTTTGGGTATGTTTAAAATGACCTGCTCTGACAGACCAATGCATATACATCTATGTTCAGTTAAATTTTATCTTTGTTTTTATAAAATTTGTATGCCTTGAATGACTAGTCTTTTAAAGACTGATTTTGAAATTATTTGAAATTAATGATGTCTGTAACACATCTTAAAACACAACAAAGCACAGCATAAACATACTGATGTGATCTGGTTCCAAGAACAACCTTTTGAAAAAATTATTTATTTACTTTTATTTTATTAAATCACCATGAGAAATAGTTATAAGTTTTCATGTTTGAGTTACAATCACACAATGATCAAATACCCATCCCTCAACCAGTGCACATTCCCCATCACCAATCTCCCCAGTCTATTCCCCCTTTCCCACACTCCCCCTGCCTCCATGGCAGATAATTTCCCCCATACTCTCTCTTTCTACTTTTGGGAATTATTGTTTGCAATACAGATACTGAGAGGCTATCACGTTTGGTCCTTTATCTACTCTCAGCACACATCTCCCATCCCGACCGATCCCTCCCATCATTACCTTAGTGATCCCTTCTCTATTCCAGCTGCCTTCTCCCCACCCCCACTCATGAGGTAGGCTTCCAACTATGGAGAATTCTTGCTGGCCCTTGTGTCTACTGTCCTTGGGTGTCAGTCTCACATTATATTATTTTATACTGCACAAATGAGCGCAGTCCTTCTATATTTGTCCCTCTCTTTCTGACTCATTTCACTTAGCATGATACTCTCCATGTCTATCCATTTCTAAGCAAATTTCATGACTTCATCTCACCTAAAAAACTGCATAGTGTTCCATTGTGTAGGTATACCAAAGTTTCTTTAACCAGTTGCCTGTTCTTGGGCACTTGGGTCCTTTCCAGAATAGCACAGTGGATAGGGCATTTGCCTTGCACATGGCCAACCTGGCTGACCCAGTTTTGATTCCTCCACCCCTCTTGGAGAGCCCGGCAAGCTACCAAGAGTATCTCACCCATATGGCAAAGTTACCCATGACATATTCGATATGCCAAACACAGCAACAACAAGTCTCACAATGGACATGTTACTGGGCCCACTCGAGCAAATCAATGAACAATGGGAGGACAGTGACAGTGACAGTGAACAGTGCTGCCATAAACATATAGGTACTGATGTCATTTCTACTGTGCTTTTTCGCATCCTCGGGATGCAATACCAGAAGTGGAATTGCAGGGTCATATGGAAGCTCAATTTCTAGTTTTTGAAGGAATGTCCATATTGCCAAGAACAACCTTTGGGGAGAATACTAGAAACAAAGAAGCCGGGGATTACTCACTGTTTAGATCCTCGTGTTGTGGCTTTCTCCCTTGAGCTGGAGCACACTAATACCTTCTAACTCCCCAAATCCCTCTCTTTCTCTCCTAGAGCTGCCAAGAAAGTATTCCCTGGAAAGAGGAGCTTTATACTCACCCGCTCTACCTTTGCGGGATCTGGCAAGTTTGCAGGCCATTGGCTAGGAGACAATGCAGCTACCTGGGATGACCTCCGCTGGTCCATTACTGGCATGCTCGAGTTCAACCTTTTTGGTATTCCAATGGTCAGTCCATATTTTAAGCACTTTCACAAACCTCAATTCTTAGAAATTCCCATTCTAGAAACTTTCCAAATCATAAGGCTCCCCCTTTTTACCCTGCATGTCCAGAAATTTACTCTTTTGAGTGCACGTGTTCTTTTGAAAGTGGAGCACATAAGTCTGCTCCCATGGTATTCTTTCTTGGGCTGCCTTATAAAGATAAAAGTAAAACCTGGTATAATATATGTGCAATAATATGCTCAAGTTCCTTATACATGCTATGGATCCTTTCACAAACTGAACACGTCTCTGAATCCTGCACTCAGAGAGGTGCATGATGCTGCCTGCATTCAAAACGGCTTTGAAACGTTTTAGTTAAATTCAAAGTATATATCCACTGAGGTCATCTATGTGCAAAGTGTTGACTAGGTATGCCTGATGATGATGGCAAATGAAAGAACTATGCTGTTATAAACAGCTTCTCTTTCTCCAAAGACTTCACAATTTAGTAAGAGAAGATATAGATGCAAGCAAATCATTATGACAAGTGGCAATAGGGAAGAATAATTAAAGAATATGTAATGAAATGAGAGGAGAGATTTTGAGAAAGGGATTTACTAACTCTGACATGGATATGACATACAATGAAGTTGAAGAAGAGCGTTGAGAGAAACCCTCTGGAGAACTTGACACTTATCTTTGAAAAAAATACGTATTATCAGGCTCACAAGGTAGGTTCAGAAGTGAACATAAGCAAAAGCAGTTAGGGGGCTCTTTTGATGTGATTCTAAGGATTGGTGTGTACAAGTAGAGTAGGCAGTGCTTTGGGGAAGTTTGTTTGGAACTATGTATTGAGGAATAAAAGAGTAAGCCCCAATGGTACAGAGTATACTTTAATAGGGGAGTGGCTGTGGGGGTGTGACATTTGGAAGATTAATTCTAATAGTGTGTGGGCAAAGTAATAATACCTTGTAGATGGATAGATAGTAGAGTGACTAGAATGCTTGCCTTGAAGCAGCTGACCCGCGCTCAATACCTGTTGCCCCATATGGTCCTCTGATCTCTTCAGGAGTGACCCCTGAGCACTGAGCTAGAAGTAAGTCCTGAGCACCAGTGGTCGACCCAAAACAAAAAAAAATATACCATCAGTATTTCTAAGTACCCTTCATCAAAAAGGGATTTTTTGATGATTTTTTGAAGTATATTACCCCATTTAGCACAGTTGGTAGGGCGTTTGCCTTGCACGCAGCTGACCCAGGTTTGATTCCTCCACCCCTTTTGGAGAACCCGACAAGCTACTGAGAGTATCTTGCCCGCACGGCTAAGCCTGGCAAGCTACCTGTAACGTATGATATGCCAAAAATGGTAAAAACAAGTCTCACAATTTGTTGTGAGACATTACTGGTGCCCGCTCGAGCAAATCCATGAACAATAGGAGAACAGTGCTACAGTGCAACCCATTTACTAAAACCCTATGTACTCATTTAATACAAGGAGGAAACTGAGGTACAGAAAAGGAAAGCAATCTACTCAAGTCACCCAGTGGAACAGAGTAGACACGGTATTACTCACTTCTGAGCACATTGTATTAGCCTCCTTGGGAAGAGGTCAACAAAGTTCATTTGGGATAGAAATCTCAGATGGAGTTGAGGAATTAAGCACACATGATGCTTGGGTGTCCTTTCAGGTAGGGGCTAACATTTGTGGCTTCTTAATGGACACCAATGAGGAGCTCTGCACGCGCTGGATGCAGCTGGGAGCCTTTTATCCATTCTCCAGAAATCACAACGGCCAAGGTTTCAGGGTAAGTCTCCCAAGAGATTCCATCGGAATGAACATGGCACACAGTGGAACTGGATTCTGTCTGTGTCCTTGGCAAGATGTCTGTGGATACAGTTCCTGTAGGTGCTTCACTCTGGTTAATAAATGCTGCTGTTTGCAGTGGACCAGAGCTCGCACTGCTTCGTTTACACACATGCTGTCCCAGCCCCTGTGCCTGCTCATACTACCTCCTGGGAATGGTGGGTCTAAGGGGAACTCTCCGTGCACATGAACTCCATTGCTTATTTTTCAATAGGAATTTAATGAGGCAATACTTTAAAATGAGGCATGCAGCAGCCTGCAGGGAAAAGCACCCTAAGCTGTGAATGAGACAGGGTGAGATGCTAGGTGAAGAATGGCCACTTTCTTGGGGAAGTGATGACCCGTTGTTTAACTGGGATGCCAGGAGGCCACTAAGGTCTTTTTGCAAAGAAACTCCGGGTTTTTATTAATGGAGCCTGAAACTTTGCAGGTGCTTCTGCTATCAATAACCGTATTGCATTTACAAACCCTTGTTTCCCTCATAGGATCAGGACCCTACTGCCTTTGGAGCAAATTCTCCATTGGAGATTTCCTCCAAGAAATACCTGAACATTCGCTACACCTTACTGCCCTACCTCTACACCCTCTTCTATCGCGCCCACACCAGGGGAGACACTGTGGCGAGGCCTCTTATGCATGAGTAAGTTGACCAAACCTAAGGAATTTTTTCAATGCATGTGGATGTCATTGACTGTGTCATCAAACACCAGAGCAAAGGCTAAAGTAGTCTCTCATTATATGTATGGATATATGTAAAACTCTGGAATCCAGTTGGTATTTGCAAAGCTCTTACTGCCTAGGGATTAAGTGTTTGTCTATAATTAAGGGATTCAGTGTTTGTCTTTGTAGACTGTTCTCTTTGTGGGAGAAAATTACCCTCCAATTTCTGAGACTTGGTGTCTGTTCTCTGTTTTGAAACCAACTAATTCTCTTAGAAAAATCATCCAAGTTCTTTCTTTTGAATCATTGAAAAGATTCAACATCCAGATGGTAACCAACTCTTCTGCATCACACTATATTCAGACTTTAGGCACAAGTCTTCCATTTAATAAAATCATGAGTTCCAGATTGGTTATTTCCTACTAACAAATAAGGATAGCTAAGGACCTCTCTTTTTATAAAAAATTTATTTATTTATTTTATTGAATCACCATGAGATACGCAGTTACAAGACTATTCATGATCAGGTTTCAACCATACAAAGTTCCGACACCCATCCACCAGTGTACATTTCTCTAACCAATGCCCAAAGTTTTACTCCTTCCACCTTAGCCTGTCTCTATCTCTATGGCAGGCACCTCTCTCTCTCTCTCTCGCTCTCTCTCTTTCTCTCTCTCTCTCCTCCATTTTGGGCACTATGGGTTTGCAATGCAGATACTGAGAGGTTATCATGTTTGTTGCTTTACCTGTTTTCAGCATACAGTTCTTTTCCTAATAGTGATCATTTCCATCTATCATTGCCATAGTGGTTCCTTCTCTATCCCAACTGCCTTCTTCTCCAGCACCTGGGACAGGCTTCCGACTGTGGACCAGTCCTCCTGGCCTGTTTTTCTACTGTCCTTGGGTATTAGTCTCATATTGTGGTTTTTTTTCTTCTGTCCCACAAATGAGTGCAATTATTTTATGTCTATCTCTCTCCTTCTTACTCTTTTTGTCCAGCATAATACTCTCCATGTTCATCCATTTATAAGTGAATTTTATGACCTCAGTTTTCCTAACATCTGTGTAATATTTTATTCTATAGATAAACCATAGTTTCTTTATCCAGTTGTCTGAAGTACCTCTCTTTGTCAGAACACAGTTGCCTCCCTTCTGTGTCTGACATTCTAAAGCTTGACAGCACATTGCTGCATAATTCTTATGGATCTATTACTTTGGGAAAAATTTATCCACCTCCTGAAACTTCCATTTGAAAGGCATATGGCCTGAAACAGAAAAAATTGTAAATTATCTGTTACCTTGTTGGGGTTGGAAGTAAAGTAAGTAAAGTAAAGGCCCTCCCGTTGATCGTCGATTTGCTCGAGCGGGCCCAGTAACGTCTCCATTGGAGACTTTGTTGTTACTGGGTTTGGCATATCGAATACTCTCGGTAGCTTGCCAGGCTCTCCGAGAGGGGCGGACATGTGCTGGAGCAATAGCACAGTGGTAGGGCGTTCGTCTTACAAGCGGCCAACATGGCCGACCCAAGTTCGATTCCTCCCCCCTCTTGGGGTTGGGAGGGGATTGATTTTAGTTTTTTTTTTAGTACTCACTTGATGTTTTAAAATACACTGCAAATTCATTAATTTTTCAAGGACGGGCATAGAAAATTAAGTTACTATCTGAAATCATTGTCTAGTATAGGTAATGAAAAAGGAATTTTTTTCCAACCTCAGAGAAGAATCAGGGTATGAGGGCTGGTGGGTTGGATATGATTGCAGAAGAAGGGCAGTGGGGTTTGAGCATATCTCAGAGTAATTTGGAAGGAGTTGCCCCAGGAGACAGCTCACTTCTTTTGGTCAGCTTGTGCGGAGAACTGTTAAGAACATTACCTGCATCTCAATGGCCATCTCTCCTACTTCCAGGTTCTACAATGACAGCAACACGTGGGATGTGCACCAACAGTTCTTATGGGGTCCTGGCCTTCTCATCACACCTGTGCTGCAGGAGGCAAGTGTGCCCCCCCCCAACATACTCTTCTCAGTTTTTATTCCTGTTGTACCCTGCATGTCCCTTCCTGCAATCATTGCTCTTGACTTTGTTCCAAAGAGAATCACGGATCAGGGATCATGGTCCTCCTGTTTTTCATCAATTTTCTCGAGCGGGCCCAGTAACGTCTCCATCATGAGATTTTTCGTTACTGTGTTTGGCATATTGAGTACGTCAAGGGTAGCTTGCCAAGCTCTGCCGTGCAGGGGAGATACTCTCGGTGCTTGCCGGGCTTTCCGAGAGGGTCAGAGGAATGAACTCACAACGGCCATGTTGTCTGCGTGCAAGGCAAATGCCCTATCACTGTGCTATTACTCCAGTCCTCCAAAGAGAATATCAAGAGATATTTAAAAGATACCAAAGAGGATATCCAAATTGATATCAATATTGATAACATCTGAAAAACTACTTCCATACATTTTTTAAGCAACAAGTTAAAGACTTAAGTATATGGTGGGACTGGTGAGACCAGGTTCCCAGGTAGTGTGGAAGCATCGTTGTCTTCCTGTAAGTTTGGGAGCCGTCTTCTCTGTCTCCAGAGCATCCCAGAAGACTTGCTCTCTGTCAAGAGGCAAGATAGGACAAAGACCAGGAAAATTGTTGTGTCCTCTGCTTCATGCTGATCAGAGAGAGGACATGAGCCTCAACCTTGAAAGGGACAGAATAATGGCACTCATCTCTGTGGCCTGTTGGAAATCCACTGATAAAAGCTGGAATTTAAAAAATTGGGGAAAAAGGGGGGGGGCTGAAGAGATAACACAGCGTGTAGGACGTTTGCCTTGCATGCAGCTGACCCAGGTTCAATTCCCAGCATCTCATATGGTCCCCTGAGCACTGCCAGGAGTAACTCCTGAGTGCAGAGCCAGGAGTAACCCCTGTGCATTGCCTGGTGTGACCCCAAAAAAGCAAAATATAATTGGGGGCCATGGCTGGTGATGATCAGGGGTTAGTCCTGACTCTGCACTCAGTAATCACTCCTGGATGGGCTCAGGGCATCATATGGGATACTATTGATTGAACCCGTGCTGTCCACATACAAGGCAACTGCCCTACCCACTGTAATATCTCTCTGGTCCCCAAAGCTGAAGGTATTTTTAAGCATAATATGCTCCATAAATGATGATAATGATGAAGATGAAGATAAAAATAAATATGTCTTTTGCCTTTCGGGGTGGAGGAATGTTTGCCAAGTTATTGCTACTATTCCTATCAGAAGACAGAGGATAGGTGCTATTTGATAACAAAAACAAAGGCCATTTATGTACTCAGTTAAATGCGAAGTAAAAACATTCCTTAGTAAATATTAGAAATGAAGAACAATATCTTTTTTGATTCCAGGGTGCAGACCAAGTGGAGGCATATGTACCCAATGCTGTCTGGTATGATTATGAGACTGTGAGTATCTTTGACTTTTTCTTAAACTCCCTGAGGACAAGCTGCAGCTATAAGAGAAGGTGTGCACAAGCACATCCATTTGTATGACTGAGTAGTGTTTCTCTAGTGTTTGCTGCAAATCTGTAGCTAAATTAAAGAAGCAAGTCTAGGTTGCTTTGTTAGAATCTTGAAAATATCTGAAAAAATACTTCCATATACTGTATTTCAGCACGAGGTCAACTTCAGTATATTATTCAGTAAATTATTGAGGGGACCAATGGACAATTTGACCTTGATTGATAGTCAGATTACTTGTTGTAGGAATGAACAAATTCTATAGTATTTATCTAGTAGCCTCATTTTGATCACAATGTTCTTAAAATTTCCCAGCCACTGTAAAACTGATTACTCTGAATTTTCTTCTTCTAATGCATGATTGATTAAACAAGTCATTGAGTTGTAAGAGAGAGAAGAGAAGTGTGGATAACTGAGCACATAAACTAGAGGTGAGTCTGTGATGGGACTAAGGTATTGGCTTTGTCTGCCTGACTCAGGGAGCTAAACTGAACTGGAGGAAAGAAATAAAGACCATGAGGCTTTCTAAAAATCACATCGGACTTCACCTCCGAGGAGGCTACATCTTCCCCACCCAACAGCCGGCGACAACCACAGTGGCCAGGTACTGCCCAGTTGGGAGTTTCCACTGAACAGAAATGCTGATAACGCTGAGCAAACTGTTTTTTATGTGTTATCCAATGGGAGAAGCTAAAGCATGGTGTGAGTGGTGGAGAGGAAGATCACTAGGGTATGTGTGTGTTTGGCTTAGGGGTGTGTGTCATCAAGCTGCCCCTTGGGTTGTGCATGGTAGCTTCTTCTTTTTTTATTGTATTTGTATTGTATTGTATTGTATTGTATTGTATTGCATTTTGTATTGTATTGTATTGTATTGTATCACTCTGAGAAACAAAGCTGCAAAGTTGTTTATGATTGGGGTTCAGTCATAAAAAATTCCAATATCCATCCCTTTGTCCCTTCACCAGTGTACATTTCCTATGACCAGTCCCCAGTTTTCTTCCAGTCTGCACCCCCCGTCTGCCTCAATGACAGGCACTTCTCTCTCTCTCTTTCTCTCTCTCTCTTTCTCTCTCTTTCTCTCTCTCTCTCTCTCTCTCTCTCTCTCTCTCTCTCTCTCTCTCTCTCCTCCTCCCGTGGCGTGGCATGTTCTTTTGTTTTCCTTGCATTTTGGATCACTCCTGGAGATGCACAGGGGTTACCTCTTGGCTTTTGGCTTTACACTCAGGAATTACTCCTGGCAGTGCTTAGGGGACCATATGGGATGCCGGGAATCAAACCCGGGTTGTCTGCATTCAATGCTAATGCCCTAATCGCTGTACTATCATTCCAGCCCCCCCGGCGTATTCTTTTTTAAAAGTTTTAAAAATTTATTTATTAAAATAAATTGTTCATAATTATATGTTACACTCAACATTTCATCACCAATATCTCCACCATTGCACCTTCCCACCACCGTTGTTTCCAATTTTCTCAACCACCGTTCAAGCCTGTACCTATCACAGGCCCTAAATAATTTCTTTTACATTCATTGTTATAAATAATTCTCAGAAAAATGATCAAAAAATATTTCCTTGGAAGAACGTGTGTGAAGATTGCTGTATCTCAACCCGGGAGTCAATCATTAAGCCCTTGTATAAAAGTTCACTAAAACGTTGTTACAGGTTAAACTTTGTGTGCTTATATTTTGTTAATTGAGATTGGTTGTCATCTATTTTACATCCCATCCAATGTGGTGTGCTACTCCTGGTTTATCAGTGATGTAAAGTTTGAGATGTTGCATGGCTGCAAATGAGGCTGTGCGCTCCAGGAATTCAAAACATTTTGAACGGGAAGACACAGCTCAAGTTAAATTTTTAACTGGATGGTGATTTTGGGTGCCATTGATGACTCAGCCTGGCATGGAATCCGGAAGCATCTCTGCAACTTTCAAGATTCATTTGTGAGTCTCTGGATCATTGTCGTTTAATGAGTTTATTTGGCACCAGAGGCAGTTCATGGGCATGACTGCTGAGGCTTCCAGAAGAACAGGGAGGTGTGGAGAGGTAGTCATCCCCAACTCTCTGAGAACCTAGAGATTTCAATCACAAAACCTGCTCCACTCAGTTTTTAAACAGTTAAATTTCTGGATGAGGCTTATTCGGAGTAGTGAAGTCCAGCCATGAGAATGGCAGCAATTGTGGAGTGTGGAGGTTTTCGGCTGCTGGGGCTTTACGAGGGAAGGTGCTGGGTTCACCAGTTCTATTCTGGGGTTCTCTGGATGACTAATGCCCTGGTATCATCGTCTAAGAAATCTGTGATTTAGAGTTTTTTAAAAAAGGATTGTAAAAACAAAAAACTTAATCTCTGCGCCTCCTAAATCTATTGCATTTCTCTTCAAAACACGCTGGCTACTATATGGTCAAACGTCAGTGGTTTTTTGGTCAGAACTGCTGGAACATTGGCCCTAAAATCTCTCAATTTCATCAAATGATTTTTTGCGTATGACCCTGTCTGCCTCAGCCCAACCATCCATCCATCATGCTGTGCTTTTGATTCACTTACTTTCATTTTTACATTATTGGTGTGTGTGTTTGTATGTGTGTGTGTGTGTGTGTGTGTGTGTGTGTGTGTGTGTGTGTGTGTGATGGGGGTGGGATGGGGGGAGGTCCATCTTCCCTTTCCTATTACCTTAATATCTCATTTTCTCCCACGGAGTAATTTTGTGATACGAAATGGGCTTAAAAGTTACCTGTGAATTTTCTGTCCCCTCATGTTTCAGTTCTCTCATTGCCCTGATTTAAGTCTCAAATCACAGACTCCCTTCCTACTAAGGAGGCTCACTCTGTATCTGTCTCTGAAAGAATTTCAGTGTTTTTAACAGACAGCAAGTTGATTGGAGACTAGGAAACAGATTTGAGCTTTTCTTTTTGATTTTACAAAATATAGATTTTTGTCCTAATGGTAATAATAATAAGGCTCTCCCGTTAATCATCGATTTTCTCGAGCGGGCCCAGTAACGTCTCCATTGGAGACTTTGTTGTTACTGTGTCTGGCATATCGAATACGTCACGGGGAACTTGCCAGGTTCTGCCATGCAGGTGAGATACTCTCGGTAGCTTGCCGGGCTATCCGAGAGGGGCGGAGGAATCGAACTCGGGTCGGCCATGTTGGCTGCGTGCAAGGCAAATGCTCTACTGCTGTGCTATCGCTCCAGCCCGTCCTAATGGTATTTATGGAAAACACATTTGTGTTTAAGACCAGTTGGTTTCCTTTTCTCTATCATCCACCTTTAGGCTCTTCTGCATTCAGATACCAAAAGCATCTATTCAAAATGAAAAACTTCAGTTTGTTTTACTCCTAATTAAAGTTCAAGGGCTATTTATCTGCATAGTGCTTAGGGCCATTCACACCATGCTTCCACATTAACTTAAAAACCATGTCTTCCTCTGATTCCTGCTGAGCCTGTCCTGGTGATCTGTGTTCCGGCAGGGCCCTAGAAACACCATCTTCTTGCTTTTTGCATTGACTCACCAGTCTGGTTTGCTGAAAATTACCAGGAGTGACCCTAAGAGCCCCCAAACACTATTTGGGAGGCCCTACTAAAACACACACAAACAAACAAAAACAAATAACCCAACCACTATCTCTCCTTAATATACTCTATGGACGAGGATCACCAAAATATCTCTCTTCTTAAATATACCCATTTATTTTACTACATCTATTGTTCAATTTTTACTTTCTTTCTTTGTCTTGACCATACCTGGCTACACTTTGCTATACTCACTGTTATCCTTCACATTTAACTCCAATTTCACCTGCAGAGATCTTCTCTAACCCTTCCAACAGAGGGAGTGATGCCACCACCAAATTTCTGAGCATTTTTTTCCCTGGACTCTCTTGATCCATAGATGATTTATCTAGTAGTTCAATTATCATTGTTTTATACTCTATATCTGAAAATTCTACTACCTCAAGTCGTTAGGTGAATATAATCCTGTGTGCTAGACAGTTTCTTTGTATGCTTATTAACAACTTTTTGTTTTCAAATTTGTTCATCTAAACATGGGTCCCTTCCTGTAGAAATAATTTGCACTACCTTAGGTCAGAAGTCAGGACTCTGCTCAGTCAGAGATCAAGGATCTTGTGTTGTAGGTAATCTGGGATCAGGCAGTATTTGAGCATGTGGTTCTTTCTGGATCACCTAGGTCTTGGGACCCCTAGAAATGTCATTCTGAGTTCTTTTCATTTATTTTTTTATTTCATAAATTAGCACTGTAGCACTGTCGTCCTGTTGTTCATCGATTTGCTTGAGTGGGCACCAGTAATGTCTCCACTGTAAGACTCGTTGTTACTGTTTTTGGCATATAAAATAAGCTAAAAGGAACTTGTTAGGCTCTGGCATGGGGATTTTATAAAGTAGTAGTATATATTTTGTATTGTAGTATATATATTTTGTATTGTTTGTTATGAAAGACTGCTGAAAATGCTACAAAAAGTTTCACTGAAGGGCCATTTAGCCTTTCTATAAGAGATCACTAACATGCTTTTAAAGGTTGAACCTTGTGTGTGTGTGTGTATGTGTGTGTGTGTGTGTATGTGTGTGTGTATGTGTGTGTGTATGTGTGTGTGTATGTGTGTGTGTATGAGATCTGTTATATTATGGTTTTTGGCATATCTAATACGCCACAGGGAGCTTGTCAGACCCTGCTGTGTGGGTGGGATACTCTTGGTAGCTGGCTGGGCCCTCTGAGAGGCACATAAATATATTTCCCTCTACGATTTTATGGAAAATGGGTCGGGAGTGTTTTATGATGTGTCAGAGTTGTGGAAAGCGGCCTGGAGCATGGTGGCAGTTGGGTAATGGAGGTCGGTTGTGGAGGCTGGGTTCCTTGCAGGGGGGAGGGCTCTCACCTGCACCCACTCTTGGGTGCCCCCCCCCGAGTGAAAACCAGCCTGGTGCAGAATCTAGTGGCATGGTTATGGGGTCTCATTCCCCTGACCCTGAAAAAGCCTCCAATTGTTGGGAAAGGCAAGTAAGGAGAGGCTTTTAAAATCTGAGGGCTGGTAAGTGAAATGAGTCAGAAAGAGAGGGACATATGTAGAGAGTCTGCACTCATCTGAGGAATATAAAGTTACAGAATGGGAGACGAACATTCAAGAATTGTTGAGATAAGTACCAGGAGGTCTGCTCCATGGCTTGGAAGCCGGCAGCAGATACTGGGGGGAAAAGGCAGCTCAGATAGTGAAGGGAACTCCAAGTAAAGGGTGTTTGGAGGATTCGATCAGGGTGCGAGATGCATGTTGAAAGTAGACTATAGACCGAACATGATGGCCACTCAATACCTCTATTGCAAAGCACAACATCCTAAAGGAAAGAGAGAGCAAAAGGAAATGCCCTGCCACAGAGGTGGGGCAGGGTGGGGGGGATGAGTTGGGGGGTGGGAGGGCTACTGGGTTCATTGGTGGTGAAAAATGGGCACTGGTGGAGAATGAATACTCGATCATTGTATAACTGAAACCCAAGCACAAAAGTTTGTAAGTCTACAACTGTACCTCATGGTGTTTCACTAATAAAAAAAAATGTAAAAAATATAAATCAAATTAAATCAAATCCCAGGGCTGGGATAAATTGAGACGTTACTGGCACCCACTTGAGTAAATCGATGAATAATGGGATGACAATGATACAGTGATATATATATATATATATATATATATATATATATATATGTAAAAATGTTTCCCTCTAAGACTGGTTGCCTTCTACTTTGAACCCCATCAAATATGGTGCGGTGCTCTTAAAATATGGGTAGGGTATGTGGTATGAAGTGTCCAGGAATAGGTTCACTTGGGGCTGAGATTCGGTTCGTACATGTGGAGAATGGCTATGAGAATGGTGGCAGTTGAGTTCTGGAGGCTTTGGGCTGCCAGGACTGGGTGCCTTGGGATGGGGAGGGATCTCATCCACGTCTTTTAGGGCACTCCATCATTCTGCATTCTTATAAGTACTTTACCTTCTGAGTCACACTTTACATTCTGCTTCATTGACGAAAATTGTTGAATTTGTCTTCTAATATTCTAGATCCTCTTTAGAGCTATAGTCTATTTGTATTTGGATCGCTTGGACTTCTTAGTAAATGAAAGATTCTCAACAAACATGTGTTACATGAAAGTCAATAATATAGTTGACTTTCAGAAGACAGAGTGGAAAGTTGAACTCTAAAAGACCACAATGCTGAATGTGGGGTCACTGGAGGATTAAGCAGAAGCAGGAAATTGGGAGTTAGATATCTATAGACCAGCAGAACAGCCATTGAAAACCATAGACTGAAATGGCCTTTCTCTAGAGTTATTTCTTTTTTCAGCTTTTAGTGCTTTTGAAATATTATTTTGTGATTTCTATAATATAAAGCTGGATACCAATTGTTTCACTCTTCTGTTAAAACAAACTGAGAATCAAATTAGGAAAGTTATCATTACATAAAATGATTTTTAATCAGTTTTATTGGTTTGGGAGTCAAAACAATTTTCACAATCAAGATCACGACCATCCTGCTGTTCATTGATTGTCTCGAGTAGGCCCCAGTAACGTCTCCTTCGTCCTAGCCCTGAGATTCAAGGCTCTTTCAGGGTTAGGAGAATGAGACCCATCATTGTTACTGGTATTTGGCATATTGGGTACGCCACGGGAGTTTGCCAGACTCTGCTGTGTGGGTAGGTTACATTCAGTAGCCTGCCAGTTGTCCAAAGTAAGCATGAGATAATTAGATGTCCAGGAGCTGGGTTTTTTAGTCTCTGGGTCTTGGCCATTGATGGGATTACACGGCGCCAGAGGACCAGTTGGTGGATGTGACCCCTGCCTACTGGAATATGGAGGATCTGGGAGGAGGATGCTCAGCCCCGATCCGAGCAGGCTTGGAGATCTCAGCCCCGGAACCCGCATGCCTTTGTTCCTCTGCCGATACTTTCATGCATGTGGAGAGTAGTCTCAGCTTGGTGGTGGCTGGTTCTGGAAGTCTTTGGCTTCTGGAGCCCTGGTCGGGGCAAGGAGGGAAACTCAACGTGCCCCCTTCCAAGGGGCCCTGGAGAGGACAGCCAGGCACGGGTGCAGGAGACTCTGGGCTGTTCTCTTCCGGGATCTGGGTTTTAATAGTCCTGCTCTGGTTTCTCTTCAGATCGTATAAAACAATTTTCAATGAGGGAAAATATGTAAGTTCCCCAAGTGCAATAAACGTGTGTGTGTGTGTGTGTGTGTGTGTGTGTGTGTGTGTGAAACTGAGGATTAAACTCAATGCCTCATATATGCAAGGCAAGTGCTTTATCACTGAGCTACATCCCCAGACTCTTTTGTATGTCATCACTGGTTATCCATTTGAACCAATTATTGTCTACAATTTCTTTATCTTCTAGTCATCTATATTCTAAAGAATAGCTGCATCCACAGCTTTAATTTTCCCTATTGCAGTGATTCGGGGACTTAAATTCCAGCTCCTTCCCAGTCTTTGAGGGTATTCTTATCTTCTCTGACTGAAGATTCTGATTCTACTGGAAGAGGCTTCTTTTGATCTTGACATATATGAAGAAACAGAACCTTCTGCTGTGGCTAATCTTCCTGAGTTGAAATCTGTGGAAAAAAATTCTTTGAATCCTAAGCCTGTCTCATACATGTATTATTTTCCACAGCCGAAGGAACCCTCTTGGTCTCATCATTGCCCTGGATGAGAAAAGACAAGCGAAAGGTGAACTCTTCTGGGATGATGGAGAATCGACAGGTGAGCGCTATTACTGCCATGTTGCTACACCCAAGCCTGCATCTTTGAGCTACTCCACCACTCCACAATGGAAGAAATCTCACTAGGCACAGAACTGTTAACCATTCTCGAGAAGTTTGGTTTGAGGTGTAATGCCTAGGGGTGGTGGCACAGGGACCAAAGGTGGAAATAAAACACATGTCTACCTCTTAGAATTTTTCCACTGCTGAGTTATGTAGTTCTAGGTTTTCTTTGTATTGCCAAAGAACTTCTGAGAGAGAGGCATTACTCTTCCTGCCATTTTATTTGCAAATAAGAATCTTTTTTTTAATCTTTTTTAAAATCTTTTTTAAAATCTTTTTTTAAAAAATGCCTCTGTGGCAGGGCATTCCATTTTGTTTTCTCTCTCTTATTGGGTGTTATGGTTTGCAAAAGAGGCAATGGGTGACAATCATGTTTGGCCTATAGTCTACTTTAAGCATGCTTCTCCCATCCTGGGAGGATCCTCCCAACACCCTTTTTTTTGGTGCTCCCTTCTTTATCTGAGCTCCCTTTTCCCCTAGCATGTGTGGCTGGCCTCCAAGCCATGGAGTAAAATTCCTGGTACTAATCTCAGACATTCTTGGGTGTTAGTCTCCTATTTTGTTACTTTATGTTTCTTTCTCCAAATACTTGTGAACTAATGTAAACAACATGAAGGACACACTCCTGTTAGTGAAACACTAACTTCACACTCTTAGCACCCCTGTTAAGAAAGCACTTTGTGAAGGTGCCTTGATCTAGCTGTGAGGCACCTTAGCCATGTTTCATACTGATGTTACTATAACTTAAGCATAGGGAACGGATTCACCTAAGACTCCAGTGGAAAATACTTGAAGTTGAAAGAAAAGGTCAAAATGAGGCTTGGCCTTGGTCTTGTCATTCATCAGAGGTAGCTTCATGGAGAACCAGGGTAAAATCTGTTCCATTATGGCAAGCAGACAGCAGTGACTCACTTTTCTCTCACTTTCAGGTACTTTGGCCCAAGACAAACATATCTTCTATGAGTTTTCTCTCATCAATGTGAGTGCTGTGTGTGTTCTGTGTTGTATTTGTTATTGTTGTTTTTGGCCTCAGCTAGTGACACTTGGGGACTACTCCTGGTACCATGCTTGGGAAGCATGCTATTGGTGTTGAGGAGTAAACCCTGAGGTCCTGCATACGAAGCATCTGCTCCAGTCGTTTGAGTGATCTTTCTAGTCCACAGTAGCATATTTTTTATAAAATTTGGGTGTGAGATTTGTCTATTAGCTCATGTGTATAATTATATTCTTATCATATGTTTTTATGACTACAGATGAGCACATTTTAATTTATGATTTGGCTCATAATACTTGAATCTCAATGCAGTCAGTCTTTAAAAGTTCTGTTTTAAGAATGGTTGTCTATGTTGCTATATATCTCTTATCTTTATCCTTCACATATACATGGATTATTAACTTATGCTTTTATTTACTGAGTAAATATTAGTAATAACATGTAAAAGCCATTAGAAAGCTTTGGGTAGCTGGCCTAAAATATATTGTTTGAGAACCTGTGTGTTATTGGTAAACACTTGTGCTTGTTTTATAGAACCGCTTGGATATGAAGCCTTTGCCTTCAACCTACAAAGATCCTAATAATTTAGAATTTCAAGATATTAAAATACTCGGGATCACACGTATTATTAATGTAACAGTGAAGCACAATGGTGCTCCAACTCAAATGTCTCCTGAAGTCACTTATGATGATAAACTACAGGTAAAAGTCCATTTATTGGGATAGCCAATTAGGATTTTCATAGTTTACAATGTTCTTTTCTGACAAAGTTACATGAATTCTTGATGGACTAAGGCATGCTTTAATACCTGATTAGGAAAGACATAAGCTTTGGAGAAGAGGAGTGACTGGGTTAGAATGAATTAGAGAGACAGTGCACATTTCCCCCCATTTTGGAAGTGGGGCTAGCACTAGTTCAGGTCTCAGCATTGTCAGGATTGAGGATGTTTTTCCTCTGTGAACTTCTTAGTTATAGCTATAATGGAGTTGGTTACAGGAGAATAAAAGCGTGTTCAGGGAGGAAAAGTTAAAATAAGGAATAGACTCCTAAAGCAAGGGAGTATAGATTGGCCAACTCGTCCAAAAACCCATAGCTAAGCTCTGTGAATTCAGCAGTTAGTTCGTTTCTGAAAATTTTGTTTTCCAAAGAGAAAAAAGTGACTAAGAGGGAAAATTTTACATGGGGTGGGCAACTATCAAAGTGTTCAACAAGTATGCATGGTTTTTCTAAAAGGGGCATTTATACAGATGAAACACTCAAACTGAGAAAGTAGAACAAACCCATCTAAGGATTCTAAGGACTGAAAATAGCTTGTGTTAATCCATAAGTGTACAAATACAATAGGCAAGATTCACTTTTGGAAAAGGATCAGTTTGGATTGAATTTGTGATCAGACTTCGAAGGGTCTAAGTGATCTCAACCACTGGTCCATGGACCCGTACTGATTTGAAGTTGGGGTTGAAAACCCCTAGTTAGTTTGCTGCCATGGTTTTAACTGCCAGTCCACAGACCAGTAGGTAGAACAGGTGTGCTAGTCTGAAGATGTAGCACTGTAGCACTGTAGCACTGTTGTCCAGTTGTTCATTGATTTGCTCGAGCGGGCACCAGTAACGTCTCCATTGTGAGACTTGTTGTTACTGTTTTTGGCATATCAACTATGCCATGGGTAGCTTGCCAGGCTCTGCTGTTTGGGTGGGATACTCTCAGTAGCTTGTCAGGCTGTCAGAGAAGGACAAGGAATCAATCGCGGGTCGGCCGCATGCAAGAGAAACACCCTACCTGCTGTGCTATGGCTCCAGCGTGGTTCAAGAACACTGATCTGAGGTATCCAAACTAGAAGGATCTATCTGACCTTGTCAGTTCTTGCAAGTTCTGAGCATGCCTTTCCTTGCTCTCTTTCTATTCATACAGATCGCCAACATCACAAAACTTAATCTTGCCCTGGGAGAAATGTATACCTTGGAGTGGGAACTATATACAAGGAATGAAGATAAAATAGACTGCTACCCCGACCAGGATGGTGCCACCGAGGAGAAATGCATTGCACGTGGTTGTATCTGGGAGGTAACCATTGTGTTAACTGACATTAAGGCCTTTATACTTTATCATTTTGTTAGCATAGCACCAGTTCCCATGTCACTCCTTAAAATCCTTGAAAAGAAAGGAATTCTGAAAGGAGTCTAAATTTTTTCTTCTGAATGTGAAGGATCAGTAAGAAGAGGGAGGGAATGTGGAGGGGATGTTTTTATTTTTACACATATTTTACATGATGACTAAGAATTCAAACTATGTCACTACTGAGGAGTGCATTTGATACAAGGAGATTCAGACTAGGGATATGCATCAGTGATAGAATTTCAGGCATTGGGCTTTCCTTCCTATAAATGGTTTTCCTTCCTATAAAATGCCTTCTCTAAACCCTTTTATCTGGTCATCCTCAGACTGTTGTGAAACTAACTTTGACTTAACTTTCCAGGAAACCAATGCTGAGCGAGTCCCTTACTGCTATTTTAACGACAGTCTATACAATGTCCACAATATTCAGAAACTACAAAACGGGATTACAGCTTCCCTCACCATAAAGCCCCAGGCTCGTGCTAGTGCTTTCCCCTCAACACCTGTGACACAGCTCAGTCTGAGTGTCACCTACCATAAGAATGAGATGCTGCAGTTTAAGGTAAGTATTTACAGTATAAATGTCAAGTATTAGTGACAGTTTTCTAAGTTCCACAAAGCTTTGCTAGTCATTGTGACTGAATCCTGAGAGAAGTGTGCTCTTTTAAACTCTCCTGACTGCCATATCATTTTCTAAAAGCAATCAGAGAACAGGCAGATCTCTTCCCATCTGGCAAGTACTAATGCAGAAAGAAAATGATCAGGAGGGCAATAATGCAAAAGGAGAGTCATATTAGGTGGTGATGAGTTGGTTGATTCATGTGCGGCATCCAGCTGAGTGAGACCTGATACAGGGAAAGAGATACAGAACAGTGTTCAACTTTGGGAGAGTTAGGAAGTAGGATGCTAGGATTTGGTGACTGATCATAGATTGGTCAGCTGAGAGAGGAAAGAGCTGGAAAAACACTGGGTCCCTACTTTGCACCTCTACACAAGGTGGTAACAAGGTGGTAACATTCATTGGTCTGGGATCATTGAAAAGGTTTGTTTGGGCTTATGTAAAATAAGACTGAGTTCCATTTTAGATACTGAATTTGGGGGATCTGTGAAAACAGCCAGAACAGTGTAGTGATCTTTTGGTTTCTAGGAATAAAATATAATACCGATGGACTATCTTTACATCTATTTTTCTGCAAAATTATTTTTCAGAGGCAGGTATTTGTCCTTTCATCTTTACATTTCTGAACTCTGGCATAGCGTATGTTCGATAGTTAGCATTCAGATGTTTATTGAGCGAGTGAGGGAATGAATGAAGGAAGCCAATGTAGCTTGCCTAAAAGGTTCTCATAATCTCATACTAAACTGTACTGGTTTCTTTTACAACATCTCATCAAGGATGATGCTCTTTCAATTCGCCATAAAGGTGATCATCATAGTGCTGAGACAGGGGAGGATTGAACTGGGCCTGAAATAAATAAATTTGCCTAAATTCCGTGCTGTGCTTCTTCACCACTGTTTAGTCTGACTATATAGTAGCTCTCTCCACAATGTTTTCCTCTTTCTGATCTATTTTAATTCTCTGTGTCTTTGCATGTGTTTTTCTATGTGTTCTTTTTTTCTTTATTTGGTTAACGGTTGGAAGTTTTTTGTACTCAGCCTATATTTTCCCCTCTAAACTGTCCCTGTTACCTAGATATAGCAGGAGACATTTTCTTCCCTCAGTCCATAGAGTCCTATGTGGTGGTCCTTTTCATTTTCTTTTTTTTTCTTTTTAAAAAATTTTTTTAAATGTATTTATTGAATCACTGTGGGAAAAGTTACAAAGCCTTCAGGTTTAAGTCTCGGTCATGCAATGATCAAACACATTTCCCTTCACGAGTAATTATTTTTCAACACCAAGAACCCCAATACACTCCTCCTCCCACCCCTCCCAATGCCTGTGAGGCAGATGAATTCTAGTTAGCATTCTGTCTACTTTGATTAGATTGTTTCGACAAAAGATGCACCATTATTGTTTAGAGTTTACACCCCAAAATCGGACCTGCTGAAAAGGCATTGCAAAATAATTTGTTTTCTACACCTGGTTACAAGAACCAAATGATGTCTCGCAGCCACGAGTTTGGATTTCTGATATTTTACTTATTAAGCCTGGAAGTATTTCTGCCGAGGGCAAGATAATTATGAGATTGGTTTCTGTGGCTCTGGAGCCATGGAGCCATGGATTAACGCATAGTCCATTCACTTTTCTGCTGCAAGCTTCTGGGCTCTGCATTAAGTCCTTGTGCTTCTGGAGCCCTGGCCGTGCCAGAGAGCAGCTCGTGAGTGGCAACCCGTGACCTCAGTAGGGCATGAAGGACGAGCCAGGAACGCCCCCCTTCCCATGTCCTTTTCATTTTCTTTTGGTGATCATTCTCTTCTTAAAGACAACATCTTCTTCAGTTTAGTAGTATGGCAAGCAGAAATAAAACGGATACATAATGAATCAATTTAGCAAGGGCAGTAATTTTTCTAATCAAAGTAGAGTTAATGTTTTTGGAGGGTGTTCTTTTTTTTCAGTTTGGAAATTTTCAGGTATTTGTATATACTTGTGCATTTAAATATGATGCACTGAAAACATATTCATATATACATAAGCACCAACTAACCAGTATCAAAATGATTGTATTTCCATATTAATACATTCCTTAGAAATAAAATGCAATAGATTTGAATCATGTTAATTCTGATATTATTCTTTGGCATGTCAATAAAATCCAAATGAGCATGAAGGTAAGGCCGTCAGACTTTGTCAAAAAGGTCAAAATTCTATGAACGGTAGAGATTTCAAAAGTACTGTTCTCACCTACAGTCTATTTCCTCTATTCTAGATTTATGATCCCAACAACAAACGCTATGAAGTCCCAGTTCCTCTCAACTTACCCAATACTCCATCCAGCACCCCTGAAGGTAGACTTTATGAAGTCGAAATTGCAGACGATCCATTTGGGATTTTAATCATTCGGAAGAGCACAGGCACCACCATGCAAGTATCTCCATGTCTGGTTTTGGAATTGGTGTTGATTAATTGTCTTTCTACATTCATGTCACTGCAGGTCATATTCTGAGTCAAAACATCACATCGTCCATCCTTTTATGTCAATTCTTTTTGTCAAGAAATGTTCAGCCCACTAAGTGTAATTACCAAGGCAATAGCAGAGACCTGGGGATTCATTTAAGAAATGTTGTAGAAGGTGGTTGTAGAAAATGAGTTCTCTCTTCTCATGACCAAAGAAAATGTAATTAGCAAGTAACAAATATAAACTCAAAATCTGCACAATGGAGTTTAAAATTGTGCAGCTACTATGTAGGAAAAAATCCTGGTGACCCTAGGATGCTATACTTTTGATGCTATGTTTAAAATAAACCTCTTTAAGGAAGTGACATTAAAATAGACCTGCTCAAATGAATGATTTTGTGTTTTGGAGGCAGATGCCAAGAAATTAATCACTGGGTCATATGAAAGTCAAATATATATATATATATATATATATATATATATATAATGTTGATACCTATATGTATTTTTTGAGAAGTCTCCATACTATTTTCCACAGAGACATTGGCACCAATAGTGAATGGTCATGGTCACGGTCCTCCCGTTGTTCATCGATTTTCTCGAGCTGGCCCAGTAACGTCTCCATTGTGAGACTTTCTTGTTACTGTTTGGCATATCGAATACGTCATGGGTAGCTTGCCAGGCTCTGCTGTGCGGGCGAGATACTCTCAGTAGCTTGCCGAGCTCTCTGAATGGGGCGGAGGAATCGAACTCGGGTCGGCCATGTTGGCCGCTTGTAATGCAAATGCCCTACCTCTGTGAAGATTCCTTTTTCACTGCATCCCAGCCAACACTGATTGTTTCCATTTTTTTTATGTATACCATTTTCCATACTGTTAAATGGTATCTCATTGAAATTCTAATTTGTATTACACCAGTAAATTACAATAAACATGCTTTAATTATGCCTGGTGGCATGGTTGGCCATATGTCCCTTTGGGGGAAGTATTGGTTTATCTCCTTTTCCAATATTTTGATGTATCTTCTTTTTTGATGGGCCTTATTTTGTTGTTGTTGTTGAGCATTGGAGTGCTTGATGTAGTGTGGATATTAGTCTTTTATCTGATGTATGGTGTAGAACTGTTTTCTCCCATTTATAGGAGTGGTTTTTACTTTTGACCCTGTCAAACTTTTGTAATTTGATGTAGTACCCATTTTTGTTATTTTTGCTAATGGAGTCTAAAAAATGACTTCATATTTGGAGAATTCTGCAGATATTTTTCCTTCACTTGTTTTATGAATTACTAACATTTTCATTCAACTTTGAATGAATTTTTGTGTATGATCCAGTATCATTGCTGCACTGAGTGTAATAACTAGGATTTAAAACGATTTACATATCCAATGACAGATAAATGAATGAATATAGAGTATATCATGTTAGGTCAAATAACTCAAATAAGTCAGAGAGAAAGGGCAGTATCAGATCTCAATCACCTTTGGTATGCAGAGCAAACCACAGCAAAAGACAGGGAGTGGACAGTATCTAACACTGACAAACACCTAGCCTTGGATTACAGGACTGAGATTATGTAGTTGATGTCCGGTAAGGGGTCGTAGGAGAATGAAGAGATAGACAGGAATTAATGTATGAATATTGGTGGGGGGTCTTGGGTACTTTGTTGGTGGTGAGGTTTGATAAATGTTAACACTATTGTAGACCTCATACCTAAATATAATCAAATTAATGTTAATAACGATCACGTTCATCCTGTTTTTCATCAATTACCTCGAGCAGGCACCAGTAACGTCTCCTTCATCCTAGCCCTGAGATTTTAAAAAGTGCCATATTCAAAGCTCTTTCAGGGTTAGGAGAATGAGACCCATCATTGTTACTGGTATTTGTCATATTGGGTACGCCACGGGGAGTTTGCCAAACTCTACCGTGTGGGCAAGTTACATTCATTTGCCTGCCAGGTTGTCCAAAGTAAGAATGAGATAAAAAAAAAAAAAGATGTCACGCAGCCATAAATGCATTCATGCGCTTCCCGGAGCTAGGTTTTATGGTCTCTGGGTCTTGGCCGTTTATGGTATTACATGGCGCTGGGGGGCCATGTTAATAACATTGTTATAGCAATGTTAATATATGACTTAGATAAGAACAAGGCTCCACTACATGGTGATCTAGGAGAAGGGTTGGTAAACTTGAGATAAACGTTTTAGTAAGTGCCCAGAACCAAAGACAGGAGCAAAGCCAGCATGAAAAGAGGGACAGAAGTCCAATCTATTTGAGCTAAATTATGAATAAGGAACTTATGTGATGGGAAGTGGAGCTGGGAATTGTGTGATTCATGTGATCGATGAAAAAAATCACTAAGGACTATAAACCAGGGAGTCATAGAGAAGAGGCGCATCATTTAATTTTTGACTTCTGTCACTCTCAGTAATGCTCGGGCCTGGCTTAGACATGGCTCTGTGTGCCAGGATCGGTCTGGCCATATTTTGGGGTGCATATGTGGTGCTGAGAATTGAACTAGGGTTGGTTATGTGCAAGACCTTAATGTTTATGCTGTCTCTCTAGCCCTAGAGAAGTCTCTTTAAAAATATCTTCCTAGGGGAGCAAGAGCAGTCCTTTGAGTGGAAAGGAGTGCCAGCAATCAAAGATGTGTAATAAGACTTGATATTCTGAAGGGAGAACTGAAAAGAACTAGCAGTCAAGGAAAATAAAGCAAAGGCTGCCATTGTCACTGTCACTGTCTTCCCATTGTTCATCGATTTGCTCAAGCGGGCCCAGTGACATCTCCATTGGAGACTTTGTTGTTACTGTGTTTTGCATATCGAATACATCACGGGTAGCTTGCCAGGCTCTGCCGTGAGGGCGAGATATTCTCGGTAGCTTGCCGAGCTCTCTGAGAGGGGCGGAGGAATCAAACTCGGGTCAGTCATGTTGGCTGCATGCAAGGCAAACGCCCTGCAGCTGTGCTATTGCTCCAGCCTAGTTCCTGTATTTTTAGCCAGAACAATTATTATCATTATTATTATTATTAGGGGATTGGGGACTACACCTGGTGATATTCAGGGTTCACTCCTTTCTCTGTGCTCAGAAATTACTCTTATGTATCCTCAGGGGACATTGGGGACAAAAGCAATCAAATTCAGGTTGGTCACAGGACAACTATGATTATTTTTATCAAATAGGCTTCCCTCCCCCTGTATTTTGAATAGGAGGAGAGAACCAAAAGTCTGATTGTCCTTGGAAAGTTAACTGCTCAAAATCAATAGAATGACTTTTTCCTAAATATGCCCTTTTTTTGGTGTGTGTTGCAGATGGGACTCCCGCGTCCTTGGCTTCACTTTCAATGACATGTTCATTCGTATCTCCACGCGCCTCCCCTCCACCTATCTCTATGGCTTTGGGGAGAATGAGCACACATCTTTCCGAAGAGACTTGAACTGGCGCACCTGGGGGATGTTTTCCCGAGACGAACCCCCTGGGGTAAGAGCAGAGCCTCTGGCATCCCGTGACTTGGCTTCTCTTCACCCACATAGAATTCCCTTCATGCTCTGTCTTCCAATACTCCACTTGGAAGGTCACATTCTGCTTATAGACATGTGGGACAATTTTTAGACTCCTTTGCTTATTATTTATTTCACATAAGTCTAGATATAACTACTCTTGTGATTTTGTTGTTTCTCTCCCTGGCACAGTCCCTTCTAACCAACTACCTCACATGACTCTTTTAGTACCTGAAGAATTCTTATGGTTTCCAACCCTACTACATGGCCATGGAGGAGGAAGGAAATGCCCACGGGGTGCTCCTGCTAAACAGCAATGCCATGGGTAAGAGAATGCCAGCATCTCCCCTTGTTTTTTGTGAAGAAATCCTTCTTGAGGAATTTTAGTGTGTGTTTAATCTAGATGCTCCCTGAAGCCAAAATTATTATCTTCTGGGCAGTTATTATTATTTTTCTTTCTGGATAATCTTTCTATTTATTTCTATTCAGTAACATGCAACAACAAAAACCAGCCCAACTTTTACTTGGCTAAAATTACAAAAACAGGGATAGCAAAACTAAGTGAACACTTAAAAACCCAAAGGACTTTAGATCCAGTGAGAGATGTTGGTGTATTTTGAATTACTGGTGAAACTGTGGGTTAGAGTGCGTACTCTGAGGGACTTATGGGATTAAGAAAATTTGTATGGTATATTGAGAAAAAGGAGGAAAATCAGGAAGTGGTGTGTGAAAAACATACACATGAAAACTGGGGACATCTAAAGTTCTCTAGCTGATCAATTGTATTCTATTATGTCAGCTTCTTGATTTTGACAATACAGGATGGTTATGTAAGAGGAAAATTTTCTAAGACTTAAGTTATTCTAAGTTACAATAATAATATAAAATGAGCTGGCTTATCAGACATATTCAATAAAACACAGCCATGGGGAAAATCCAGGTAGGACCATGTTACTGACTTTTCAACTCTGTGTAGGTATAATAAAAATACTTCCTCTTAGTATTACATATAATACATGTAATACTTAGTATTACATGTAATACTAAGGAAGTGGGAGAACATAGAATGAATTCAAGGGGAATCCCACACCTTGAAACTTTCTAACCCGGTTGGTACTTTCCTATAATTTCAGATGTGACATTCCAGCCCATGCCAGCTGTAACATATCGTACCATAGGAGGAATTCTGGACTTTTATGTGGTCTTGGGGCCCACTCCAGAACTTGTCACTCAGCAATACACTGAGGTAAGTTTTAGTTTAATTGATTACCATGTGTTTAGATAATATTTTATGAGTGCCCACACCCATATTCATTAGTACAGCTCTCAAATAGTAACTGGAATTGTTGATGTTTCTGAGATACAGGTTTATAGATCAAGCAACACAGCAACAATAAGTGAAATCCAAATGAACATCCAGTTCTTATCATCTCAAAGCCTCTGAGAGTGGCATAAATAGTAGTAACGACATTGGTTGTGGAGGCCATAAAAATAGTGATGGTGATTGTGGTGGTAGATGTGATAATGAGGAATGATGGTGATGATGATGATGGTTGTGGTGACTGTCACAATGGTGGAAGCAGTGGTTAAGATTCTGGCCATGATGTAGTAATGTTGATGGTGTTAAGGCTGATAGAAGTGGCAGTAACGAAAGATTTGATTGGTGACTCTGTTGGTCATAGTGACCATGACAGCTGTCTTGGTGGCAGCAGTAACTTATATGTAAAACCTATGGAATATCACTGAGATATTTGCTGAATATCAGAACATTTTTTCACTTATTTCATCATCCTCCAAACCAGTATGAATCAAATACTGTTATTATCTCTAACTGTGGGAGAAGAAACTAAATGTATATAAAGGATAGTTAAATTTTTCTGAGTCATATTAGCCAACAGGATGGAGCCTGTTTGTAACCCAGGCCCTTTGGTGTTTAGATTCTGTTATTAGCTAATATGTTAGGATGCTCCTAGATATCAGAATCAGACCGTATTTCTCCTAAATTCTACAGAGTGTAATCAAGCCTAGTAGGATGCTTTCTCCCAGATGAGAGGAGCTTTGCACACTTAATTTCTCTCTAGAATTAAATTTGTTGACTCTCAGACTTGGGGCACTTTAAAAAAAATTATTTATTTATTTATTTATTTATTTTTTATTAGTGAAACACCATGAGGTAGAGTTGTAGACTTACAAATTTTTGTGCTTGGATTTCAGTTATACAATGATCAAGTACCCATCCCTCCACAAGTGCCCATTCTCCACCCCCACCAATCCCAGTATCCCTCCCACCCACCATCCCCCCCATCCCGCCCTGCCTCTGTGGCAGGGAACTCCCTTTTGTTTTCTCTCTCCTTTTGGGTGCTGTGGTTTGCAAAAGAGGCATTGGGTGGCAATCTTGTTCAGTCTATAGTCTACTTTCAGCAAGCATCTCCCATCCTGGGCGGATCTTCCCAACACTCTTTATTTGGTACTCCCTTCTCTATCTGAGCTGTCTTTGCCCCTAGAGTGTGCAGCTGGCCTCCAAGCCATGGACTGAACCTCCTGGTATTTATCACAGGTATTCTTGGGTGTTATTCCTGGGGCAATTTTAAAGTGCCCCTCTTCTTTTGTTTTCCTTAATACAGACCTTCCCGTTTAATTACTAATATGGTTTATTTATTTTTCTAGCTAGTTGGTCGCCCAGTGATGGTTCCTTACTGGTCCTTGGGATTTCAGCTCTGCCGTTATGGATACCAGAATGATTCAGAGATTGCCGATTTGTATGATAGAATGGTGGCTGCCCAGATCCCCTATGTAAGTTCTTAATCTGTGGTGTGCTAGCTCTGAAACCTCCTAAGAGCCAGTACTGGATTCATTTGTTTGATTGGGAAGGGAGCTAGTCAATCAAGTTGCAAAGATCTTTCTCACATAATACCATGAAGAACTCACCCCAATCCAGCATTTCTGGGAGATTACTGTCCCCATCTAGATTCATGTGATTCACCAAGGGAGGGACCCTTATAGCCAACCAAGGGTTCTTTTTTTGTTTTCTTTTAAAGAATATTCTTTTATTTTTTTATTTTTTTTTGCTGGGGTGTATTTTATTTTTAATTGGAAATATTCAGAATTATAAAAAGAGGTATGTATTCAGCGTTTACTCACCAGGAAAATTCTTTTTTTTTTTTTATTTATTGAATCACTGTGGGAAAGGTTACAAAGCTTTCAGGTTTATGTCTCAGTCATGCAAATATCAAACACATTTCCCTTTACCAATACCAATACTTTACCAATACTTAATACTTATTTTTTACCATGAAGAACCCCAATAAAACCCCACCCCCCACCCCTCCCCGTCCCTGTGAGGCAGATGAATTCTAGTTAACACTCTATAAAGAATATTCTTTTAATTGAATCACAGTGAAATACACAGTCACAAATTTGTCCATGATTGGATTTCAGTCATATAATGTTCCAACACCCGTCCCCTTCACCAGTGTGCATTTCCCACTACCAATTGTCCCAGTTTTCCTACCACCCCACTCCTGTCTCTCTGGAAACTACTTCTATTTCTCTCTTTTTCTCTCTCTCTTTCTCTCTCTCTGTCTCTCTCATTTTGGCCATTCTGGTTTGCAACACAGATACTGAAAGTTTATCCCTTTACCAACTTCAACACTCATTTCCTGCCCAGAGTGATCATTTCCAACAACCAAGGGTTCTTTTGTACTATGTCATACCTCCACATCTCTTAAATTGCCTCAAAAATCGTTTAGTTATGAACAATCTTGGTGCCATAAGAACAGAAGATTTCCCCAATAGTACTTTTGTTTATTACACGAACAAAACCAGGGCCAAATCCAGTACATCACAGTGGTTATAGGTAAAATCTTTTTGAGAACTTCGGCCACTGTTCCCTGAAGTCTGAGCTGATCCAGAGTCTAATGTAGGGATCTCTTTGGAGGAAGCACCTATGGAAACACACTCTTTTCTTCTCTTGTGCATCTGAAAACAGGTTTTGATCATAAGAAAACTGATCCTTTTAACCATCGGCCATTACAAGGCAGTTTATCATTCATTGTTTTCTTTTATTTTTATCATATCCCTAGCAAATAGGTCTTATCACTATATTTTTCTATTTTGTTGATTTATTCTTGCCCCCACTTCATTTTATGACAATAAACTAGAAAATTGGATGAATTTCCTAGACTACAACTTAACAAATAACAAAACTAGAGTTTTAAAGAAAGAAGCCACTTGACACATTATCACTTGGTGGAGGGGGGTTTTCACCTAGAATCGGGATGTTTAAGCCAGCAGTCTCAGTTTCTTGTGCATTTCCCCTCCCCAGGATGTGCAATACTCTGACATTGACTACATGGAGCGACAGCTGGACTTCACCCTCAACCCCAAGTTTAAGGGCTTCCCAGAGCTGATTAATCGCATAAAGAACGATGGGATGCGAATCATCCTCATTCTGGTCAGTGCCCATGGGAACATGAGGAGTTGCCTTAGGAAAGCCCATGGGGATTGGTGGAGAATGCTTTATCTTCTGCTTCTTTTGAACAGAGATTCCTAGGTCTAATGGACTGTGAAGAAGGAATATTGATACATTGGCTGTGGGAGTGGGGGTAACACACTTAAATAGTGCAGAATTGGAGTGAAAGCCAAGGCTACCTTAATAAAAAATATGTATGTGTCCATTTACGCATATTCATAGGGTCCAAGGGGAGGCAATGCCTTCTCTTTTGAGTCATCTTCTGAGTAATTCTCCATCTTTGGCTTTTCTCTCCTCACCTGTGTGAATTCATTTCAGGATCCAGCCATTTCTGGCAATGAGACTCAGCCCTATCCTGCATTTGAGCTGGGGAAAGAGAATGATGTTTTCATCAAGGATCCAAGTGATGGAAGCATTGTCTGGGGAAAGGTATAACCATTGTTGATTTCTGAACCTTTGCTGGGGTGTTGGTACTAGTGTGAGTGGGTGGTTTCTTGGATTTTCCCATTGTAGTTTTGAGTCAGATGTAGTAACTTTCTCGATCAGTGTTTATCAGCATGGTTAAGAATTATTAAAGAACTGCATACATCATGGTGTCTACTTTTCCCCCAAATCAATCTTACCTGAAAATAAAAATGTATCACTCCTAGGACCACGATGTACAGTTTCTTAGGAGATACTGGGGTGAGAGAAATTACCTAGTGCTTTGCTTCTGAACATTTTTCTTTTCATAGGTCTGGCCTGATTTACCCGGTGTTGTTATAAACAGTTCTCTAGACTGGGATACTCAAGTGAAGGTAAAGGGTTCTTGGTGGGCATGAGAAATTCAGGGTTGTCATCAAGATTCAATCTTATTTAGTTTGCTGAATTTTTTGCCTTGGATGTGTGGGTATAGTGAGGGAATAACCTCAGGGAGCCTGTCTTGTATGTCTCCCTAGGTAACAATTATTTTACATCATCTTTTTTGGTTTCTAATTGGGAGGTGGGTATTACTACCCTCAGTTTAGTGACTCAGAGATGACATGACTTGTTCATGGTTTCAAGTAACAGAGGGAATTTAAAATTCAAGGTTGTCAGATTCAAAGATGCATGAAATTGCCCCTGGGTAATACATCTAAAAAGGGCTGGAGCAATAGCACAGCGGACAGGATGTTTGCCTTGCACGTGGCCGACCTGGCCGACCCATGTTCAATTCCTCTGCCCCTCTCGGAGAGCCCGGCAAGCTGCCTAGAGTATCTCGCCTGCATGGCAAAGCCAGGCAAGCTCCCTGTGATGTATTCAATATGCCAAGCACAGTAACAACAAGTCTCACAATGTTACTGGTGCCCACTCCAGCAAATCGAAGAACAATGGGAGGACAGTGACAGTGACAATACCTCCAAAAACTATTGTCTTCTACCAGATTTAGTAGGTTTCTTGCTGCTGTGTTTTGTTGTTTTTTCACCCCTGCTCCCATCTTCAGGGCTTGGGTCTTCTCTGCACATCTTTCTTTCTTGAACAGACTCCTCCCTATTCACTCATTACCACCGCACTCCTCTTCCTTCGGTTTCTCTACTATGTTCTTTGTTCCAGTGCTAGTCTATGTTGAAACTTGCTCCCAATCGAGAACAAGTTCTTACTTATAATTGATCTCAGAGAAGGATTCTAGGGAGAATACCTTGCTTCATGTTCCCTGTTTTTCCATAGAAGATCACTTTAGTTGGGCTGGAGCGATAGCACAACAGTAGGGCATTTGCCTTGCACGCAGCCAACATGGCCGACTCTAGTTTGATTCCTCTGCCCCTCTCGGAGAGCCAGGCAAGCTACTGAGAGTATCTCGCCCGCACGGCAGAGCCTGGCAAGCTACCTGTGATATACTCGATATGCCAAACACAGTAACAACAAGTCTCATGATGGAGATGTTACTGGGCCCACTTGAGCAAATCGATGAACAATGGGAGGACCGTGACCATGATCACTTTAGTTTAGGTGGCAAGCCATATGCACACAGGAATCTGCCAGATCAGAGAAGTTCCAAGCCATGTACTCCTTGATTTTTATTTACTTTTTAAAAATATCACTGCCTCCAGCTTAATTGAAGTATAATTGACTAATAAAATTATGAAGTAAATAATAGAGATATTTTATATGCATGCACATGCACATATATATTAAAATAATGATAATAGGTTTATTATATACCATCACCTTATATAGTTACCCATTGGATGTGTATTTGTTGAGCATGGTTAAGATATATGTTTTACATGTACAACATCAGCAATAACTGTCACATCATTATATATTATATCCCAAACACTTATGTATCTTCTTTTGGGGGGAGCACACCAAGTGGTACCCAGAGTTACTTATGACTTTGCACTCAGAAATTACTCCTGTCAGTCTTCATGAAATCATATGGGATATGGGGGATTGAACTCATTAGTATACATGCAGGTGGGCTGCATGCAAGGAAAGTCTTATCCTCTGTAGTATCACAAAAAGAAAAGATTCATTTGTTTGTTTGAAGGCTATGCCTGGCAGTGATCAGGGCTTTTTTTTTTCCTGACTCTGACCTCAGGGATCACTCCTGGTGGTATTGGGCAACCAAAGTGGCCCCAGGGATCTAACCCTAGTCAGCGGCTTGCAAGGCAAATGTTGTACCTGTGGTATCATCACTCCATTGTGTGTTCTGGTACCCTTACGCTAAAGATCAATTGACTATCTCTGTACATTAATTTCTGGGATTAAATTTTGTTTCATTGGTTTGTGTATCTGTTTTCATGCCAGATCCTAGGCTTTTAAATCACTTGACTGGGAAAGAGGTTCCGTCACCAATAAAAGAATGTGCTATCGCTATTGAACCCTACAAATTATTTATTTATTTATTTACATTTATTTATTGGATCATTTTTAGAAAAGTTACAAAACTTTCAGGTTTAAGTCTCTGTCATACAATGATCAAACACCCATCCCTTCACCAGTGCATATTTTCCACCACCAAGAACCCATCCCCTATGCCTGTGAGGCAGATGATTTCCACTTAACTCTATCTCTACTTTGATTACATTCATTATTCTGACAAAAGATGCACCATTATTATTTGGAATTTTCCCCCAACAATCAGACCTGCTGAAAAGGCATTGTGAAATAATTTGTTTTGTATTGCTGGTTATGAGAACCACATGATGTTTGGATTTCTGATATTTTACTAATATTTTGGATTTCTGGCATTTTACTAATTAAGTCTGGAGGGATTTCTGCCAAAAGCCGCAGAGTTCTGAGATTGGTTTGTGTGCCTCTAGGTCAATGGTTGTGTCGGAGAGCCGCTCATGGGGGGCAACTCGTGGACTCGGCAGGGGAGAAAGAACATGCCAGTTTTGCCCCCAATCCCGTGAGGTGGCAGTTGCCCCATCACTACCGGCTCATTCCTGACTGTCCAATAAGCTCTGAGGTGGCGGCCACTCTGCTTTGGGTGGGGGGGGGGAGGAGAAGGTGGAAGAGACAGACACCCTTTCCCTCCTGTGGCGAGGGAGGCACAGCACAGTCGCTTAATGCATAGTCCATTTACATTTCTGCTGAAAGCTCCTGAGTTTTGAATTAGGTCCATGTGCCTCTGGGGCCATGCTGGAGAGCCGCTCATTGGGGGGCAACTCTGAACCCCACAATTTATTATACATTAGTAGCATTTATTTTGTCTGGTTTCGCTGGTCAAACAGAACCAGTGGAATAAGGCATAAGGTCCTTGCTCTTTTTGTATTGGTTAAGGATAACTTCCAAGTTAAAATGAAGATATGAATAATTTATTCATTATTTAGGGATGATCAGTCAATGGTGAGGAAGGCTAAAACTTCTTCTTACCTTCTCCCAATTACTAGATTCACAATTAAGTTTTCAATTTATTCTGAAGCTACAGAAAACACAGGTGGATATTAGTTAAATAGTCTAGTCTAATACAATTCAGTCTCCCTCTTTCTCAGTGGTAAGGAGACAGGAGACGAAGACAATCAGGCTCTTGCTTTCCAATCTGTAGACTGAGCAGCAGATGTCTTTCCTTCCCAGACTGTGTCTCTCCAGCCCATTCTACATGTCAAAGGAATGCTGAGGACACTGCAGGGGAGAGTTGAGGGTTGAACATTTAATACAAAAGACAGTGAATTCACAGTGTTGGAAGTCTAATGGCTGCTTTCCAAATGCTAGGAAACCATTTAAATTATGCTTTTCCCCCCTTCATCCTCATTGTAGCACTGTAGCACTGTACATTGTTCATCGATTTGCTCGAGCAGGCACCAGTAACTTCTCCATTGTGAGACTTGTTGTTACTTAATTTGGCATATCGAATATGCCGGGTAGCTTGCCAGGCTTTGCCATGAGGGCAGAATACTCTCAGTAGCTTGCCGGGCTCTCCGAGAGGGCAGAGGAATTGAAGCTTGGTTGACCGCATGCAAGGCAAATGCTCTACCCTCTATGCTATCAGTCCGGCCCATGCTATCTCATTGTAATAGGAATAAACTCAAATTATTTAGGCTTTGCACTGTTATGTTTTATTTTCTTTTGATAATCCATAGTTAAAGACTTTGCCTGAGTTTTCAGTAAATGCCTATTGCTGCCCAATAGACTTGATTAGAATAAATTATATCTAATTATTATATTAAATTACTACTTAATTATTAATTTTTTTGATTATAAATAAATTCTATTTTGTTTTTATGTGACAGCTGTACCGAGCTCATGCAGCTTTCCCAGACTTTTTCCGAACTTCAGCTATAAACTGGTGGAAGAATGAGTTGAAAGAATTACACACCAATACCCGGGAACCCGAAAAGAGCCTGAAGTATGATGGCATATGGATTGTAAGTGTGTGTTTTGCTTGTGCACACACAGATGGCATGTTTATTTCTGTGTGTCTAAGCAGCTGTATGGCTGAACTTTAATCTCCTAGTAGTGATCATTAAGAAAGACTTTGTATATATCAGATGCAATTGGTCCACTTGGTAGTAAATCCCACTGTGATTACCAAAAATTTTTTGCAATAGAGTGTTCTCACATACTCAAACAAGAAGTTTTACAAATAAAAATTTCTCTCTCTAGATATTACAGTTCATTTTCAGCTAGATTGGGTGCATTTCCCTGGGTTTGTATTCAGGGTTTTATGACACAGTGAATTATTTCATTCACCACTTCCTTGCCTCTGAATTGACAGCATATAAATCATTTTCAAAAGTAAAATAAGGGGCTGGAGTGATAGCACAATGGGTAGGGTATTTGCCTTGCATGTAGCCAACCCCGATTCGATTCCCAGCATCCCATATAGTCCCCCGAGCACCGCCAGGAGTAATTCCTGAGTCTATGAGCCAGGAGTAACTCCTGTGCATTGCCGGGTGTGACCTAAAAAGCAAAAAAAAAAAAAAAAAAAAAAAAGTAAAATAAACCTGTTTGACATTTCTAGGATATGAATGAACCCTCCAGCTTTGTGAATGGGGCAGTTGAAGGCTGCAAAAATCCCACTCTGAACCGACCTCCCTATATGCCACGTAAGCATCCTGGGTACTCTCTGTTAGCAGAGTAATGGCTCTCAGGAGTGCCCCATGCAAGAGTCCAGCAGTCAGGGGCTTTTCCTGATCACTAGCACACATTCTCACTAGTGTTTTTATTGGTGGGAGGAGGATGTCATAGCCAAATAGACTTCAAGTACTTTACCCACTTGGGTCCATGAAAATTACTGGCTCCACCGAATGAATTCCTCAAATTTGTTCAGAAAGCTAGATCTAATTCAGACATGTCAATTCCTTTATGATTAATTTTTGGGTCACTAACTGGGGAATGTTATTGCTTCCCCATCTATCATGACAACATGGACATTGGAGTCACACTTATTGTCATACCTCTGTTATAGAACATCATTGTACAATACTTATATGACGTGCAGTAGAATGCTTGAGCTTATCTAAATTAGGAGGCTTAATATGTTTATGGAATCATGTTTTTTGTAATTTATATGTAATATATATGTAATTTATATATAGTGTGTAATATATATGTAATTTATATGTAATAATGTACATCAGAGAAGCTTAGATTGGAGGCTGTTAGTCACCAGGTTTGGTCACTGCGTGTTCTACCTTGTGGCCCCACCCTCACCCTGGAGGATTGATATTGAAACACTCTGTGGGTGTCATTGCATCTCAGAGATGAGTGTACCCTCATTCCCCTTGGGAGGAGAGAGACCCCTACAGTGGCAAAGAGGCCTTGATGAGAAGCTGGGGTGAATAGCATCTGGGTAGCTTTCCCATCTCTGCATCTCTTGTTTCAGATCTGGAAACGAGAGACAGAGGTCTAAGCAGCAAGACCCTGTGCATGGAGAGTGAGCATATCCTGGAAGATGGCACCAAAGTACAACACTACAATGTGCATAACCTATATGGGTGGTCCCAGACCAGACCTACCTACGAGTGAGTTGTCATCTCCCTTCTTCTGTCGTACAACCTGCAGTGATTGCCCATGGCCGATGACACCACTGACTTTCCTTTTCAATCCCCCTTACAAGGGCTAATAAGACTTTTACAACAGGGTCACAGCTCACATTTATTAAACAACTACTTGCTAGCATGAAGCCAGAGCCCGTGGAGGCTGATCTAAACAAGGCATTGTCCTGCTAGTAAGAAACTCAGAAGCAGGACAGAGGTTTACCATTGTACATTTGATGAAAACTAATGAGCTTTCACAGAAAAAGGAGGCAGAGGACTAGATAGCTCTCTCCTTTATTTCTAAAGTGACCTCTCTCTCTCTCTAACACACATTTCAATCATTCTTATTGGACATCCAACTGATACTTTTCTGAATTAATACTGTGGTATTTTGTGTATTCATTAGGACAAGTAACAAAATTTATCCTAAAGAAAGCCTTATACAGAGTCATTCTGACTACATAATGCTAGGTGTTGAGTAAATAAATAGCAATAGAAACTTCTCTAAATTGACCCAAAGAGTTTATTCCATGGTTATTTTCTTTCTTTTTGCTAAATAGTGTAAATTACTCTGTTAAAGCATGTCCGTCCATCATCTGGACTCAGTCAGCTGGAATCCTATCATGATTTCCATTTCTGTTTTCTCTCTAATAACATAGTGGCAATTGGTCACCATACTGTAGGCCTGGAAAATCTGGAAAGAAAACCTTTGTGGCCTTTTCTCCCCTGCTCTGGCTCACAATCATCTCCTTCATTCTCTCCAACCAGAGGTGTGCAGGAAGTGACTGGAGAGCGAGGGATTGTCGTCACCCGCTCCACGTACCCATCTTCTGGTCGCTGGGCAGGACACTGGCTGGGAGACAACACTTCTGGGTGGGACCAGTTGAAGAAATCTATCATTGGTGTGTGGGCATGTTCCCAGGGTCTCTGCTTGCTGGTGTGGGGAGGGTAGGTGGTGATGGGGAGGCATGGAGATAGGTTTCCTGATAAAAATCTGAGAAAAGGCTGGGAAGAAAGCTCAATGGGCTGAAGCACCTGCTCTGCAATCTGGCACTGCATGGTCCCCTGAGCTCTGCTGGGATCAACTTTCACACATGGAGACCCTGAGCCCAGGCCTGAAAACAAAAACAAAAATGATCTAAGCGAGGAGGAGGCAGGTGCCAATCATGGTATCTGACACAGTGTGCTCTCATTGCAGGCATGATGGAGTTTAGCCTCTTCGGCATATCCTATGTAAGTGTCCCTGGCACCACTCTAAATCATCAGGTAAATGGTGACATCTTTCAAAAGCCATTAACAGCCACATTTTCTTCCATTCTTTTTTCCAGACAGGAGCAGATATTTGTGGGTTCTTTCGAGATGCTGAATATGAGATGTGTGCTCGCTGGATGCAGCTGGGGGCCTTTTACCCCTTCTCGAGGAACCATAACACCATTGGGACCAGGGTAGGATATTTGCTCTTAGTTCAAAAGTTATGCATGGACATGAAAATAGTCTCCAGTTCTGAGCTACAATTCATGAGAGCTGTGATCCCTGGAGACACCATAAAAACAACTAAATCCTTATGCTGAAACCATATAATATCTACCCTCCTAGAAAATTTCAAATAAATGCCACGGTATTGTTAACTTTAGTCACTATGCCACATGCTAGATTACCAGAATATATGCAATTTACAAGTAAGTTTATGCCCTTTGGCCACTTCCCCCGAAGTAAGTTTATGCCCTTTGGCCACTTCGGGGGAAGTGGCCAAAGGGCATAAACTTATATCTTATAACCACCAATCTGCAATTTGTTTCCATGTGTTCTACTTTTTTTAGATACCACGTATAAATGACATGATACAGTAGTTAGTATTGATCTTTCTGTCTGACATATTTCATTTTGCATGGTGAAATCAGATCCATCTATGTTGTTGAAAGTGATAGGAGTTCTTTATTCATGGCTAAGTAATATTCCATAAACTATACATATTCTTGAGTCCTGTCATATATTTAATAGGCAAAAAAAAGGTAAAGGCCCTCCCATTGTTCATCGATTTGCTCAAGCGGGCCCAGTAACGTCTCCATTGGAGACTTTGTTGTTACTGTGTTTGGCATATCGAATATGTCACGGGGAGTTTGCCAGGCTCTGCTGTGCAGGCGAGAAACTCTCGGTAGCTTGCCGGGCTCTCCGAGTGGAGGAATCGAACTTGGGTTGGTCATGTTGGCTGCGTGCAAGGCAAACGCCCTAGCGCTGTGCTATCGCTCCAGCCTGCTATCGCTCCAGCCGTATATTTAATATTAATTTATTTTATATCTCCATATAGACACACATATATACAGACACAAACTCACAAGTGGTACAAGTGGTATTGCTATATCATATGGCAGTTCCTTTTTCAAACTTTGAATAAAAACATACCATTTAACACAGAAGCTGTAAATTAAGATCAGTGCTGCATACAGATTTCCCCTTCTTTCACTTCTTAGCTAAAACTTGTTATTTTTTAGCTTTTGGATATCATCCGTTCTAACAGGTATTTGATAATATGCCGTGGTGGTTTTATTTGTATTTCTCTCATTTTGGTAATATTTAGCATCTATACGTATATACTTTTTGTCCAATTATATGTCATCTATGAAAACTAAGTATCAATAACAGTATGAACTAAAGAATTAATAAACATGAGAAAATTGAAGTTACAGAAACATCTTAAAAATATAAACATAATATTAAAAAGTTTATAGATGAAGATATAGATGATTCAATTTAAAAAGTTTATAAAATGCACCAAAAGTGGTTCTAAAAAACTTTTTTAGTGATAAATTACTAATGTCATTAACAACAACAACAAGAACAAAATTTTTGCTTTCCCTCTCACCATGGCCTGGTTCGAGATGGAAAGCCTTGTCCTGGGACCCTGAGGGCCTCTCCTTGCCAAAACACAGTCCCTAGATCAGGAAGCTGCATCGACTGAATCAGCTCTAATTCTCCAAACCCCAAATGGCACAGACACTTTAGTGTCTGCAAGAAATTATTACTGAACACATCTTCCTTCATATTGAAGCCAGTGGTTGCAACAGCTTTATTTCATTGATCATTTGCAATTGAAAAATCTCGAAGGGTCTCTAACTTTTCAGTTAAGGTAACTAAAAACAGCAAGATAGCTGAGATTAAAGCAAGTTGAATAAAGGAACTAAGGTTAAGGACAGAAATAAAGAAAATAGACCATAAAAGTAATAGAGAAGATTAAATAAAACTCAGAGCTGATTTTTCAAAAAGATACGGAAAAATTGACAAACATCTAGTTGGACGTCCTAAAATCTGAAGACCCCAAAAACAATATAATAAATAAAATAAATAAGGAAAATGATAAATAAATAAGAAGATCTTGCATATAACACCAAATAATACAAGAAATCATGAGATTCTTCTATTATTAATTGTATACTAACATATTTAGACAACCTACAAGACACAAAGAAATTTCTAGGCATACTAAACAAACAAATCCTAGAGAGATTGAGTCATGAAGAAATAAAAATATGAACAGGACAGCAATGAATAAAGACATTGTTTCAATAGTCAAAAAAATTCCCCCCCCCAAAAAAAATCCAGGACTAAGTGGTCTCCTTGGTGAATTTTATCAAACATTTTAAGAACTAATGACAATTATTTTAAAACTTCCTGAAAATTGACATGTACTAAACATTACCAATGTTCATTTTATAGGAACATTACCTTGATACTAACTCTGGTTTTCCATTATAAATTATAAATTATGGACATTATAATGAAAGAAAATTGCACATCAATATACCTGATAAATAAAGAGTTAAAACTGAACAAAATAATAGCACAGTAAGAATGAGGTGCCTGGGCAAGACAGATAGTACAGGGATTAAGGCACTTGCCTTGCATGAGACAGTTCCAGACAGATTTCCAGCAATGTGTATGGCTCCCTGCCCACTGCCAGGAATGATCACTGAGCACTACTAGGTGTAGACTAATAAATAAATAAATAAATAAAAATAGAATTCTTTGTCTTTATTAAGTATAATTTAAACCTTGGCATACAAAGGTGGTTCAATATATGCAAACAAATTAATGTGATACTCCACATTAACAGAATGAAAGATAAAAATTATATCATAATTTCAATAGGTGCAGAGAAAATTTATGACAAGAACAACATCCTTTTATGATAAAAACTCTTAACAAAAAATTTTTTTTACTCAGTTTGTTTCACCCACTAGAAGTATTCTATCCTACATTATACAGACTTTGACACACACGTGTTATATTCAACAGTGAAACATTGAAAACCTGTTTAATATCAGGGACAGGTCAAAGGTTTTATTAATATCACTCCTAATTTACATAGTAGTTGAAGTCCTAATCAGAACAATCAATCAGGCAAGAACACGATATAAATGGTATACAAAAATAATGGAAGACGTAAAATAATCTCTTGATAATTTAATGATCTTACATATAAAAAACCCTATACGTGGTACAACAACTATCAAAGCTAATAAATTTTCAGAAATTATATTTTATTCACAATGAAATATCTGAAGAGGTAAAAAAAGCAATCTCATTTATAATGCATCAAAAAGCAACAAAATATTTAGGAATACATGTAATTGAGATGGTGAAAGACTCGTTTACTGAAAACTATAACATTGATGAAAGAAGTTTAACAAAAACAAATGGCAATACCTTCCTTGCTTATGGATTAGTAGAATTAATAATGTTAAAATAACCAAGCAATTTAAAGCCATTCAGAGAGCTAATTTCTATAAAAATTCACATGAAATTTCTTAAAGTTGTAACAAAGAAAATCTCTGAAGAATGGTTTGGAACTATAAAAGACTTTCTATAATCAAAACAATCGTGAGAAAGAACAAAGTTAAAAATATTATGTATCTTTATTGCAGAACTATAATAAACCTTACATTATGATACTGGAGTTAAAAATAGACACATAAGAGAGCCTAGAAAAAACCTTTGGATATACTGAAAACTAACACTTCACAGTAGATCCAGAAATTCTCAATGTAGAAAACATGGCATATTTAATATGAGATGTTAAAAAAAAACTAAGCAATCAACACATAGCCAAATGAATTGGTCTCTGATTATGAGTACTAACATCACCTCTAACAAAAATAAACTAAATATAATACCAGAAACTAGAAAGATTATAGAAGAAAAGAAATATTAAAACAGATCTCAGAAAAAAAGAGAGAGGAAGCTTCCTGATTCTGTTCTTGGCATTGAAATTTTTAGATATGACATTAAGACAAAAATTATTAGCAAAAATAACAAGCAGGACAATGTCAAACAGAAAACTTTCCATGGATCAAAGGAAACAACAAAATGAAAAGATAATCTTTTGGAATTGGAGAAAATATATGCAAGCCATGTATTGGATGGGGAGACAATATTCAGATATATGTAATACAATGTGGTGGAAATAGACAATTTTCATTTAAAGATGGGCATAAGAACTGAATGGATGAATTTCTAAAGCAGACATACAAATCATCATCAGGTACACTGGCTGGTACTCATGCTTCAGTGAATACAATTGTCATTGTTTTTTTTAAAATGTTATTCTTCCTGTTTTCTATCTGCAGATAGTTTATTAGCTGCCGTTGGATAGTTTCAGTAAAAATGTCACTTTGGTCTATTAAAAATATTCTGTCTCATCTATAATTATCATTGCTTTAGTTGTTTTTCATCATCATTTGGAATAAATAATTAGTGAACTTCTTAATTCTCCCCCCACCCCCTATTCACCCCCTCCACCTCATCCCACCAATGCTAGCACTTTTTTACTTTTTCAGAATCAAGACCCTGTGTCCTGGGATAAAGAATTTGAGGATCTCTCCAGAAATGTCCTGAACATCAGATACACCTTGTTGCCATATCTCTATACCCTGATGCACCTGGCCAACACAGAGGGCGTTACTGTTGTGCGACCTCTACTCCATGAGTGAGTATCTCACTGGGGTCCCAATGAAATTTGCATTCTTTGTGGTTCCAATTGAGGAAGCCATGCTTTCAAATCAAAAGGAAACTGTGATTGCCTTTGTCATAGCTTTCTGGGCAGAGCCCATGCTTCACCACTCTTTCAGCAGAGTATAAATTATGCCTTGGGTCTTCGATAAAAGGCTAGATTTAATCTCTTTTTCTCTGAAAGAGTAAATTATAACACGAAATATTTTCTTTCTAGTTTTTATATCAGGAAACCCATCTGTTTTTCTTTTTGTGTCAGCTCAGTTCATCTCAGGTCATAAAAGAAGGCATTTAGGAAAATCTGTAAGGATGAAGGCCATATTTGCACATGAAATGTGTTCAGGTTGAGGAAGGTGGAGATATCTATGGTGATAACATATATTAATTCAGCCATGTCTGGAGCTGCAACACATGCCTTGTAGATAGTGAGTAATGTGTCCAGTCAAAAAGTAATGGATAATATAATATATGAAGCAGTCAAGTCTAAACAGGAGGGGTTTCTTTAAGGTCTTTTGTTGGGATTCTGCTGGAGGATGCTAATAGCGGTAATGTGTCTTCTCTTTCCAGGTTTGTGTCGGACAGGAAAACTTGGGACATAGACAGTCAGTTCCTGCTGGGTCCAGCTTTCCTGGTCAGCCCTGTTCTGGAACCTGTAAGTATGAGGTCCTCTGGCAATAGAGGGATCCCGAGGCAGGTAAATTGGGCAAGAAGAACTGTTCTAGTAGGGATCCTTATTCTACTATGTCACCTCCTCTTCCTCTGAGCTGAAGTCCTTCACTTGGTGTTATGGTCCTTTGCATCCCTAGCATTTAAATAAGTGCAACAGATCTGATTGACTAGACAATCCAGAAGGGGAAAAAGATATCTTCTATATTTAAAAACACAATCATCTCTTTAATTGAAATCAGCAGTATAGGTCATGTGGGTGTAGAACTATGAAGAATTTGTTGCCATAATCTACTATCATAAAAACAAAACTTTGATTAGAGGTGCAGATAGTCTTGTTCGCTAGTACTTCTCTTCCTGCTGTCAGAGGATTTGGGGTACCCCCTCCTTTACTTTGGTGGTGATTGTATTTCTGACTAAAATGCTAGTTAATTATATCCTCCCAAAATTTATTACACTACTAATAATTTCTGAAGTATGTTTTGTTTGTTTGCTTGACTGTGGGTCATATCTCGTGATGCTCAGGGCTTACTCTTGACTCTTTGCTTAGGAATCATTTCTTGGGTTTGTTTTTAAAACCAATATGTGGTATCATATTTTGAACTAGGGTTGAACGTGTGCAAGGCAAGCACCTCAATACCTCAACTTTCTATCTGGTACTGTAAAGTCCTGACATAAACACCATAAAACTGGGGTTGCCTTGATCCCAGCCTCAAGTTTTATCTTTAGAGAGGGCACAGGATAAGTTAAAGAGCAAGTATAATGCTCTTCTATGTCAAGGCTATGTCCCAATAGATTTTATGGAAATGGCCATGTTAAGGTAGGCAGATCTTTTCCCATTTGAGAAGGGGAAAGGCAGAAGAATCTCCCCCAATATTATTGATTTCTAGAGCTCTGAGATGGGTGTCATTTCTCTTTGATCCATCTTTTATGCAAATTGGTTACTCTGCTCTGGATAAATAACATAGCCCACTGTCCATGCCTCTGTGTTTTATTTTAGAACGCTAGAACTGTCAATGCATATTTTCCTGATGCCCGCTGGTATGATTACCACACGGTAAGTTTTTCTGATTGTGTGTGCAACCTGGGAAAACAGAAGTGTGCTCAAATGTCAGATAAAATTCTGACTGCATAGGAGCTAGAGAGATAGTGTTGAGCTTAACTTGCATGAGGTTGCCCTAGTTTCCACCCTCAGCACCCCATATATTCTCGTGAACCCAGCCAAGAAGGATCCTTGGCATAGAACCAGGAGATCCATGATTATTTTTTTCTCCTTTAAAACAGTCAAATGCACTCCACTATCAAACCTGACTGGCATCTGGTTTTGTAAGTAACGTTTTATTGGAATTCACTGTAGGCATTTTTTTTAACTTATCGACAATAATTGGGTTCCCAATTCGACAACAGAGTTCTTTGGTTACATCAGAAATTAGCTGGAGCATAATTTTTAAATTTAGTGCTTCTTACATGGCGTTTTACATTCAAAGTTTATTAATCCCTGTTACAGAGGATACACAAACTGATGCAACTTATTACTGAAATGTATGGGATCATGTGAAAGGAACAGAGCAATTATCTAAAAACATTGTAGAAAAATAAACCCCCATGTAGACATTTATAGAAAAATAGATGCAGGCAGACTAGGTAAAAAATGAAGACATTTGGGGAGTTGGGTATTATTGAAAAGGTATCCTGAAAGATAGATGGATGTTTAAAAAGTTCACTAGGAAAGTCAAAGTACCTTCACCCATAAAAATACAAACATACAGAAGGTCAAACAGTAGAAAACGGAAAGCAAAATTAATCATTTTTGAGCACCAAGAGATACCACTTCCCACTGCAAGAATGTCCATCAAAAAATGATAAAAAAATAAATGATGGACAGGTTTAGGGAAGAAATGCCCAGCAAACTGCAGGTGGGAATATAAGTAGCTATAGTCATTATGGAGAATAGATCTTGAAGAAAAGAATACAACTACCCTCTGATTCAGTTAATTACTCTTTGTAGAGAACTTTGCTTGTCCCGGTTGATCTTGGTGAACATAGATACAATAAAATCTATTTTTGCTCATCCTCTCTTATTTCATCATGTAATACATTAAGTAGTTTGAGTGGTTTGTGCCTTCATTTAAAAGAGAGGAGACATAGAATTAATCCAATTTGTCTTATTCATTAACAATTTTTATGACATTAAGAGCAGACTATGTATATGAATTAAGGGTTTTCATTGGGTAGTTTTCTTGGTTACAGCATAGAACATAAGTTAGGGTTTTAAAATAGTGTTTTAATCCACTAACTCCACTACCCAGCCGCCGCCACGCTCCAGGATGTTTTCCGGACACATCATAAGACACTTAATACCCATCTTTCAGGATTGCTGCGCCATATTTGATAGGGTTCAAATACGATTTGAACCATGGGAACACCTACAAGGGCAATTAGAGGCCGCCCCAATTCCTCTTGGAGAGACTGGCAAGCTACCGAGAGTATTCCTCCCACACGGCAGAGCCTGGCAAGCTATCCGTTGTGTATTTGATATGCCAAAACCAGCAATTACAATGGGTCTCATTCCCCTGACCCTGAAGGAGTAACTGATTTGGCAGCGTTGAGAAGGATGAGGAAGGAGCAGCTGATAAAATCTCAAGGCTGAACTAGGCTGCCAAAATGAAGAAAGACAAAAATGATTGTCTGTACTTTCAATGCATGTATGGTGGTATCTGATGCATCCATCGAGGACCTGATGGTACAAGCACGAAAGATCAAGTATGACATCATTGATCTGACCGAGACAAGAAGGCATCAATCACATCACACCGTTTTTGACACTGGAGAAGAACTATTCCTCAGAACATGCAACACAGGAGGCGTCGGAGGCATTGGTGTCCTTGTCAACACGAACTTGGCCATGATCATTGATTCATTCCAATGCCTAACAACCCGAATGGGACGATTACACTTGAATAGATGTGGCTCACTGCCGGCAGTTTCTATCTTTGTCGTCTATGTATCAACATCCAATTATGATGAAGAAGAATTTGAGAAGTTCTACATGGAGCTGGAGAAGTTCTATATAGAAGACCACACCTTCTACAAGATCATTGTTGGTAATTTTAATGCCAAGATAGGATCAAGAAGATCAGCCGAAGAACTCCACATTGGGACCCATGGTCTAGAATGGAACGAACAGAGTGAGAGACTGTCTAAATTCATCCTGTCAACCAAGACCATCCATGGTAACTCACAGTTCCAGAAGGCCAAATATAAAAAATTGGACATGGGAGTCTCCCAGTGGACGGTTCCACAATGAAATTGACCACATCATATTCAATTGACGGTTTTGCCTGACTGATAGCACTGTTGTCCCAAAATTTCAAACTGGATCGGACCACCATCTCCTTCATGCAGAATTTTACTTCACAGAGTGGGGAGAAAGGGCTGCAAAGTTTAAGAGGAGAACTCCCAGAATGACCAGCAAGTGGGAGCTCTTTGGCACTATTGCTGCAACATGGGAAGATGCTGTCACTGACAACACTTATGAAGAATACAATCGACTAGTTCAGCACCTCCATGATTATGCGAGGAACACCAAGAGAGAGATAGCCACAAAAAATGCCTATCTTCGAAAACTCTTGAGCTTATTCGCCAACCTGGTTTGGCGCATGCTTCAGGCAACCACAAGTGGATGTCCAAGCTTGCAAAGCAGTGCAGAGATGTGATAAAGGAAGACCTCAAAGACCTCAAAGAGAGAAGAGCAGCAGTGCTGGTAGATGTGGCAGAAGTCGGGAAAAGCATTCACAAAGCCCGCCTGTCCTTAGCCAATTACAAGACCAAGATGACTGTCCTCTGATGTCCTGATGGATCTTTCACATCTTCCAGAAGGGCAATGGAGAAGATTATCCATGACTTCTACTCAGATCTCTTTGATAACCACATCCACCTGTTCACATACCAAATTCCGCAGGATAGATATGTTGTTCCCAACGTTCTCCCTTCCAAAATCTGACACGTAATTTCTTTCAGTAAAGAAACGCACAGTACCTGGCTCAGACAAGGTCAGACCTGAACACCTGAAGAACCTGAAGAAGCACTCATCAATACACTGGTTCGGCTCTTCACATGCTACCTGTCTGAATGCAAGATTCTGAACCAATGGAAAACCAGCAGGACTGTACTACTGTACTAGAAGGGAGACATCCACAACATCAGCAACTATCGCCCCATCTTCTGCCATCTACAAGTTGTTCATTTGAATCATCCTAAATAGAATAGGCAGAACACTAGATGAAGGGCAACCATACAAGCAAGCTGGGTTCCAAAAAGGATTCAACACAATCAACCATATATATACTGTGACCAAGCTCATTGAGTTTTTGCCAGAGTTCAAGATGCTGCTCTGTCCAATGTTCATCGATTTAAAGAAGGCCTTTGATTCTGTTGAGACTGAAGTGATCATTGAAGTCCTAGCCAAACAGGGTGTTTAACCTAAGTACATCAGATCTTCTGTGAGCTGTATTATGGATTCACCACCAGGATCTCACCATTCTACAAGAAAGTGCTCATGGATGTTAAGAGAGGAGTTCGGCAGGGTGATACCATTTCACTGAAATTCTTGAGTGGTACCCTCAAGAATATCATGGGATGACTGGAATGTTATACAAGAGGAAAGATATTATAGCTTGGGGCTGAAGACCAAGTATAGCTGGTAAAGCACTGCACTTGCCTTGCATATTACTGATCTGAGTTTGACTCTAGCACCACATATGATCTCCTGAGCACTGCCAGAAGTGATCCGTGAGACTGGCGCCAGTGTGGAAGCCCCAAGCATAGCTGGGTGTGGCCTACCAAAAAGATAGTGAATGTTAAGGAAGACAGAGTTAGTTGATGGTAAAGATTCATAAAACAAGACCATTCACTAAATTCTTTCCTGTTAAGCATGTGCCAGGTGTTATTTTAGTCAGTAGGAGAGGAAATTGGGGAAGAAAGATGAATCACGGTGAAAGAGAAGGAAAAATGCCTTGAGGGGTGTATATAGAAGTGTTCAGAAGTGAATAACCCCCCTCTCCTGTGAGAAGGGATCCCGACCTGCTGCTGGACAGAACAGCAGTTGTGGAGCAGCTGGGTAAGTGTGAGGAATGCAGGGGCTGGAGAGATAGCACAGAGGGTAGGGCGTTTGCCTTGCACGTACCCGACCCGGGTTCTATTCCCAGGATCCAATTTGGTCCCCTGAGCATCGCCAGGGGTGACTCCTGAGTGCAGAGCCAGGAGTAACCCCTGTGCGTCGCTGGTGTGACCCAAAAAGCAAAATAAATAAATAAAATAAAAAGTCTGAGGAGTGCAGCTGAGGGTGTATGAAAGGTCAGGAAGGGCAGCAAGTTCTATGGGATGACAAGATGCATGGCGATTTCCTGTTCAAAGAGGCGTGCTCTTACCTTCATCATCTCTTTCCCTCTTGTCTGCAGGGTGTGGACATTGGAGCAAAGGGAGTAATGATGAACTTGTCAGCCCCTCTCAACCACATTAATCTCCATGTCCGTGGAGGCTACATTCTGCCCTGGCAAGTGCCTGCACAAAACACACACTTCAGGTGAGTGACTGGCCAGGTGTCCCTATTGCATGTCACTAAGCTCAGATCATGTTGAAACCCAGCTATATGGAAACTTTACCTTTAGGCTCCAAAGCACTTTAAGCATTTTGCTTGTTTTGCTTGTTGGACCTCTCTAGTCAATTTTTTGACAAGTGATTATGGACTTTCTTCTGGGGAGGGGGAACTGATGGAAGTTTGGGAAACACCTGACAATGTTCAGGGGCTATTCCTAGCTCAGTACTCAGGCATAATCCCTGGTGATGCTCAAGGGACCATATGTGTTATTGGCATTGAACCAGGGTTAGCAGGATGGAAGGAGAGTGCCTTAATCCCTATAGTATCTCTGCAGCTCAATGGGTTTTCCTAAGTGTTAACTTTTTCCAATTACGGTACCATTGTGTTTTTAAAAGACTGTCTTGTTTTAGGAATACAATTTCACAGCTCTTCCAAATCAATGTTCCAACCCCATGTTCGTCATCAAGTGTCAATAATCCCTCCTCCATAGTCCATTATTATTGGCAAATACATTAGATCTACGTAGATGAGAGAATAGTTAGAAATTGTTATGTGCATTTGAAAAAGCATACAGAGGCCATGGATATTTATGCTTATAATAGAAAAACTTGTATCTTAATGGACTCTTTACTAAGAAAGCTATTATCCAAAAACTTGCAAACTTTATTATAAATTAAGCCTGAGTCTGGGATTCCTTTTAAATTTCTAGACCTACATCTCTGTAATAATAATAGTATCAAGTCAAGAATCCCTACTCTTCTTTTCGAACAGTACTGAAAATGGAGGTTCTTTTTGTAGATTATTTTTTTATTAACAAAAATAAGATAATAAAATCTATGATTTAAATCAGTGGTTTTCAATCCTTTCACACCTGTGGGTCAACTTTGGTCAAGATTCACAGTTGAAAATAGAGTTTTCTATTCTAATAAAAAATTATTCACATTTCGCTGTTGGACAAAGAGAATACAAAAAGTTAAATGAACTCAGAATCTCTCAGTTAGTAAGTTTTTGTAAATTTAGCTAATAATTTCAACTATGCACTGAAATTTGTGAAACCTGTCAGTTGAGCCTAAAAATTCAGTTAAAAGTGGAAGAACTTAAGGGCCAATGTGACAGTACAGCGAATAGGGTGCTTACCTTGCAAGTGGTCTTCCTGGCACCACACATGGTTCCCCAAACCTTGCAAGGAGTGTTGTCTGTGGAGAAAGGAAGAAATCCAATGAGATACTGTTCATTTCTTATAGGCTTACATAGCCTTAGAGGGAAAAAAATCCCCATTGATCAGTTGATTGATTAATTAACTCATTTCAAGCCTGAAGTTTGATAGCTAAAGGAGACAAGAACTAAAAGCAAATCCCAAGTCCCTTCAATCTGTGTAACAATTTTTACACCACAGAGTACTTTTCTCTGTTTTCATGAACAGCCTGGGCTTGTTGCTGTGCTTTGTTTATATCTAATATTTCTCTCCTTTCTCCCTGCAGTCGTCAAAATTTTATAGGCTTCAAGGTTGCCTTGAGTGATGCAGGAGCTGCTGAAGGCAAGCTCTTCTGGGACGATGGGAAAACCATTGGTAAGTCATGGTGCTCTGATTCACGTCCATCTCAGAGGCAAAGTTCCTTTGCACTGCATAGGCCTGCTTTCTCCTTTTCTAAGGTTACTGTTACTTAGCACTTTTAAATAGAGAATAACCGTGTATTACTTCTAAGTGTTTGACACATACTGTACATGATTTCTGTGAGTTAATAAAGCTTAACTCTCAGTGACCAAATTTGCTGCGGAAGCAGTGTGGAAGCTGTAGGGAAAATCTTTGTCCCCTCTGAGAGATTCTTCTGTCTGGTTTCTGCTGAAGGACACATTTCCTAAGGACATAGTTCACTGGGAAAATAAAGAAGACGCGTGCGTCTATCTTGTGTGGGTGTTTTTAACTTGAAGCAATTCGCAAAATTTTAGGTAGATGATTCAAGCACTGCTAGCTATTTTCAGGCAAGTGACGTCCAATAGAACTTCTAACAATGATGGGAATGTTCTAGATCTCATTGTCAAAAAATAGTCATTAAGCATATGTGTGTAATGGCACCTTGAACACAACTAATGCATCTGGGGACCTAAGTTCTTAATATTGTTTCATGTTAATTTAAATTGTGTGAGTGGCTACTGTCTTTGAAGGCATAGCTCTAGAGTAACACTTGTTGCATTTTTGTTTTCTCATGATCCTTTTTCACCCACGAAATGTAGCACAGGGAAGTGGTATCTATGGTTTGTGACACGTTTGACTTGGAATTTACTTTTGGTCATTGCGTGTTCAGAAATTTTTTACTATTGCCAAATTGTTAGCAAGCCCACATTCAATCACGTCACCCCAGATGGGACTGGCGCCTTTGTTTTAGGAAACGAAGCTCTAGAGGATATCTGTTTTCCTTTAGATTTAGGTCAGCAAATTAGATGAGAAGCAACCACCTGGGGAAGGGGCGGTGCCAAATGTAGAATGTAGCATGGAAAAGTCTGAAAATTGTTTCTGTTTAGGGAAATTTAATGGAGTTTCCCATGTCCCTGAACCTGTGGCATAAATGAAGAACAAGAGAGAAGGAAAACTTTTTTTTTATTCTTTGAAGATTGTATTTGAAAATTGCCTAAATACTCTTCAATTTAAACCGAGCAAGACTTCAGCTTTGGTGTTTGTGATCTGTTCACCTCTGAGTGTGCACATATGTATGCTCTTGCAGAAGGAGTCTGTCAATTCTGAGGTGACAAGGGAGCTTTTGATAGTGGTCGATCACAAGAAAGAAAAGAATTAAGAGTTTGTTTAGGAAACCACATGCAATGAGGTGACTTTGCCACACAGCTGCATACCTGTATACACTTATTGCAAACATTTAGTACAAACTGAGGCTGGGGGCACAGTCCGACTTTGCCCTCACAAAATAAACCTCTGTAGAGAATAAAAATGGCACAGAAAATGAACAAAAATCATGTCTACTTTCTCTACTAACAAGTAACTGATAGAATCTTAGAGCATAACTCGTGATGACAATTATTTTGTTGTTTGCAGATACCATTGGAAAAAAGAGCTATTACTTGGCAAACTTCTATGTCAGCAATGTAAGTGTGGCTGATAAACCAAGGGATAATGGAGTTATGCTAGTATCCTGGGGCTCTGCATGGCACCCAGGATTCTAGATGGTACTTGATGCTATGAGAATCTGAAGGGCCTAAGGTACCACCTACAATTCCTTCATCCCCCCCATTGGGAATTTATTTCATTTTTATTTCTTTTTTTAATTTAAATTTTTATTAGTGAAATACCATGAGGTACACTTGTAGACTTAGAAATTTTTGTGCTTGGGTTTCAGTTATACAATGATCAAATACCCATCCCTCCACCAGTGCCCACTCTCCACCACCACTGATCCCAGTATCCCTCCCACCTCCACCCCCCAATCCTCCCCTGCCTCTGTGGCAGGGCATTCCCTTTTGTTCTCTCTCTCCTTTTGGACTTCATTACTTTTTTAATATGCATTATTCACTCCTCTAAACTCAAGATGGAGATTTAGTTTGAACCTAGGGCAGTTTCTGTGATTAAGCCCAACATGTTTCATTGGTTACTTATGCCACACCTGCACAGACTGCATCTATATTACCTAACCCTTAGTCCTAAATTGCTATAGAATGACCTGCACATTTTATGATTTCTTCACATGTAGGGTTTCTGATACTGAGACTCTTTGTCTCTTTGGAATTCAGGGAAATGCCAGATATTTATCAGGCCCTCAGCCAACACAAAGTTAGAGGACAGATGGCAAGAAGGGATAGAATCTCAAAATCATAGCCTTCAAGGGCACTATCCAAGAGCATTAGAAGATAACTCTGACATTGTAAATGCCTACACTGTAAATTTTCTACATTTATAATTGATAAAAATAGGCTGGGAAGTACCGAAGATATTGCTCAGCATTAGAGCATAGATAGGATTTCCATGTCTGTGGCCTTGGGTTCAATCTCTGATGTTGAAAAAAGAAAAAGGAAAAGTTGAAAGGGTTTTCTATTTTTACCTCCTCTAATTTCTTGTATCTCCTATTGACAGAACATGATGAAAAGTGACATAGTTTTCAACAACTACATTAGCGACTCAAACCCTCTGCTGCTGGGGTTCATTGATATCTGGGGAGTGGACAGAGCCTCCACAGCCCAAATCAAGATGACTGTTTTGATTAATGAGGTTGATACACAAGTTATAACACCCAAAGCAAGCTACAACTCTACATCAAAGGTTTGTACCACTGAAAAGTTCAATGGTATTTCCCAGTCCTGAGCTAGTTGTATAACTCCTATCTGACTCCCTTTCAATTTAGACGAGGTAACATTGAATGTGAAGAAATGTAAGGAATAATTTAACTTATATTTTTCAACTTTTCTGTATTTTAAATTCTTTAGTTTTTATTATATTTTTTATTATTTTATGTGTTATTGTTTTTAAGGGTAATTTCTTTCTTTGAAAATGATTTTTATTGAAGCATTGTGATTCTCAAAGTTATTTATGGTTGAATTTCAAGCATAAATTTTCCAACAACAAACCAAGTATTAACTTCCCACTACCAATGTCCCCAATCTCCCTGACACCCCTGGCCTGCCTCCTTGATGGGCACATTTTTAAGTGTCATGGCTGTAGTTTAGGTCTCATTCAGTCACTTTGTTCTTGTTGTTCTGTGGTTCAGATATTTACTGAGAACAATTAGCTCTCAGTAATTTGAGATAAACTGCCTCATCTTCAAACTGCCCCTTCCTCCTAGTCTGGTTGTCTCCTTTCTGTCTCCTTTTATTTCCCCCTTCAGTTTCTAACCTTCCCTATCATTCTCAGTTCTATAATCGAGGGACCAGGGTAAGCAAGCTATCTCTCCTTTGAAAACTTTCATTTTTTGTCCTCTTATTCTATATACTACAGATAAGTGAGAACATCCAGCATTGGACTTTCTCCTTCTCACTCTATTTAGTATGATAGCCTCACTCAAGTTTCAGTGTGTTGTATCATTTCATTCTTTTTTTTTATTAGTGAAACACCATGAGGTACAGTTGTAGATTTACAAAATTTGTGCTTGGGTTTCGGTTATACAATGCTTAAATACCCATCCTTCCACCAGTGCCCATTTTCCAACACCATGGATAATATCCCCCCCCTTGTCCCCCCCATCCCACCCTGCCTCTGTGGCAGGGCATTCCCTTTTGTTCTCTCTCTCCTTTTGGGTGTTGTGGTATGCAAAAGAGGCATTGAGTGGCAAACATGTTCAGTCCATAGTCTACTTTCAACATGAATCTCCCCTCCTGGGAGAATCCTCCAAACACCCTTTATTTGGTGCTCCCTTCTCTATCTGAACTGCCCTTTCCCATAGAATACCCGGCTGGCCTCTAAGCTATGGAGTAATCCTCCTGATGTTGATCTCAGCTATTCTTGGGAATTAATCTCATATTTTGTTACTTTATATTCCCCAGATGAATGCAATCTTTCTATGTCTATCTCTCTCTTTCTGACTCATTTCGCTTAGCATGGTACTTTCCATATTGTACTACTTGTATGTAAATTTCATGACTTCATCTTTTCTAAGAGCTACATAGTACTCCATTGTGTCGATGTACCAAAGTTTCTTTAACCAGTCATCTGTTCTTGGGCATTCAGGTTTCTTCCAGTTTCTGGCTATTGTAAAGAGTGCTACAATGAACAAACAAGTGCAGATGTCACTTCGACTATACATTTTTGCCTCTCTGGGATATATTCCCAGGAGTGGTATTGCTGGGTCAAATGAAAGCTCAATTTCTAATTTCTTGAGAATCGTCCATACTGTTTTCCAAAAGGACTGAACCAGTCGGCATTCTCCCCAACAGTGAAGGAGTGTCCCTTTCTTGCCACATCCACGCCAACATCAGTTGTTTTTGTTCTTTTGAATATGGGCCAGTTTCTGAAGTGTGAGATTGTATCTCATTGTGGTTTTGATCTGCATCTCCCTGATGATTAATGATGTAGAGCATTTTCTCATGTGCTTTTTTGCCATTCGGATTTCTTCTTTGAGAAAGTTTCTGTTCATTTCATTGCCCCATTTTTTGATGGGGTTGGATGTTTTATTCTTGTGCAGTTCAACCAGTACTATGTATATCCTTGATATCAATCCCTTGTCAGATGTGTATTTGGCGAATATCCATTCCCATTCTGTAGACTGTCTTTGTACTTTGGTCACTGTTTCTTTGGAGGTGCAGAAGCTTCTTAGTTTAAGATAGTCCCATTTATCTATCTGTTTTCACTTGCTCAGCCAGTGGCGTGGCATCTTTGAAAATACCATTAGCCTCAATGTCATGGAGGGTTTTGCCAACTTTGTCTTCAATGTACCTTATGGTTTCTGGTCTGATGTTGAGGTCTTTAATCCATTTTTATCTTACTTTTGTACATGGTGTGAGGCAGAGTTCTGAGCCCATTTTTTTGCATGTAGCCAACCAGTGATGCCAGCACAATTTGTTAAAGAGACTTTTCTTACTCCACTTCACATTTCTTGCACCTTTATCAAAGATCAGATGATCATATGATTGAGGGGAGATGTCAGTGTATTCAATCCGGTTCCACTGGTCTACAGTTCTTCCTTTGTTCCAGTACCATGCTGTTTTAATTATTACTGCTTTGTAGTACAGTTTGAAGTTAGGGAGGTTGATTCCTCCCATTTTCTTTTTCCCAAGAAGTGCTTTAGCTATTCGTGGGGGCTTATTGTTCCATATAAATTTCAGGAGTGTTTGCTCCATTTCTTTGTAGAATTTCATGGGTATCCTTATAGGAATTGCATTGAATTTATACAATGCTTTCGGTAGTATTGCCTTTTTGACAATGTTAAGTCTCCCAACCCATGAGCAGGGGATATCTTTCCATTTCCTCATGTCCTCTTTTATTTCCTGAAGTAACATTTTGTAGTTTTCTTTGTACACGTCCTTTACATCCTTAGTTAAGCTGATTCCCAGGTACTTGATTTTCTGGGGCACAATTCTGAACGGGATTGTTGTTTTCATATAGCTTTCCTCTCTCTCACTGTTTGCATATAGGAAAGCCATGGACTTTTGTGTATTGATTTTATAGCCTGCAACTTTACTATACAAGTCTATTGTTTCTAAGAGTGTTTTGGTGGAGGTTATTTGGTTCTCTAAGCATAGAATCATATCATCTGCGAATAGTGAGAGCTTGATTTCTTCCTTTCCTATCTGAATGCGCTTAATATCTTTTTCTTGCCTAATCGTTATTGCAAGTACTTCCAGTACTATATTGAACAGCAGTGGAGAGAGTGGGCATTTTTGTCTCGTCCCTGAACTTAGAGGAAAGGCTCTCAGTTTTTCCCCATTGAGGATGATGCTTGCTGTAAACTTGTGGTAGATGGCTTTAACTATGTTGAGGAAAGTCCCCTCTATACCCATTTTGGCTAGGGTTTTCATCACAAAGGGGTGCTGGATCTTGTCAAATACTTTCTCTGCATCTATTGATATGATTATATGCTTTTTATCTTTTCTTTTGTTGATATGATGGATTATGTTGATTGATTTCCGAACGTTAAATCATCCTTGCATCCCTGGGATGAATCCTACTTGGTCATGGTGTATGATCTTTTTTATGAGTCGTTGGATTCTATTTGCTAGTAGTTTGTTGAGGATCTTTGCATCTGTGTTCATCAGGGATATTGGCCTGTAATTCTCTTTCTTTGTGGTATCTCTGTCTGCTTTTGGTATCAGTGTGATATTTGCTTCATACAAACTGTTCCGAAGTGTATTTGATATTTCAATTTTGTGGAAAAGCTTAAAGAGGATTGGGAGTAAAGGTAAAGGTAAAGGCCCTCCCGTTGATCATCGATTTGCTCGAGCGGGCCCAGTAACATCTCCATTGGAGACTTTGTTGTTACTGTGTCTGGCATATCGAATACTCTCGGTAGCTTGCCGGGCTCTCAGAGAGGGGCGGAGGAATCGAACTCGGGTCGGCCATGTTGTCTGCGTGCAAGGCAAACGCCCTACCCGCTGAGGGGCCTGTATTGCCTTAAAGTGGCCCATTTAGTTGTTCTTGTAACCATGGTTTTGAGTCTATGAAGTTTCTGAGCTGTTATTTGTCTGTGAAACTGTGTGTTATTCCTTCTATTATAAATGAGAGTCTCGCTGGGTAAAGTATTTTTGGAGAGGCATTTATTTCATTGAGTTTTTTCACTACGTCCCACCACTGTTTTCGGGCCATGAGGGTTTCATCAGAACAATCAGCTGTAAATTTTAAGGATGCTCCTTTGTAAGAGATTTCTTTCTTGATCTTGCTGCTTTCAGAATTTTGTCTCTGTCTAAAGTTTTGGTCATTTTGATCAGGATGTGTCTTCAGGTATTTTTATTCGGATTTCTTCTAGCTGGTACCCTTCAGGCCTCCTGAATGTGGTCACAAGTTTTCTTCAGCTCTGGAAACGTTGTAGCAATGATGTCTTTGACAGTTTCTTCTTCATCAAGGTTTTCTTCCTGTCCCTCTGGGACTCCAATAATTCTCATGTTACCCCTCTTGGCTTCATCACGATCTTCTCTTGCCATCTGTTTCTGAACTGTGAGTCTCTTTTCCATTTTCTGCTCTTTTCTGGAGAGTCTCTGAACTTCATCTTCGAGCTCACTGATTCTGTTCTCAGCTGCTGTTACTCTGCTGCTGAGGCCTTCCAGTGAGTTTTTCAATTCGCCTACCAGGTTTTTCAGGTCCTCCATTTCCGATTGCATTTTCCTCATTTCTGCCTTCAAATCCTCTTGTCTTTTATTGGCATTGCTTTCCATTGTGTCTTTTAGTTCCCTAAGCATCCTAAGTAGCTCCCTTCTGAATTCCTTGTCAGAGAGGTTGTCTAACACTACAATACTATTGGTGTCTTCTGGGCTAGCCTCTTCAATAAGAAAGTTTGGTGGGCTTTTGTGTTGCTTTACCATTGTGACCAGTGTGGTTTAGTCCTTCACGTTCCCCGTTACTATTTTGGTTGAATGAGGAGAGAGTTACCGGAGCCGTTCAGCTTTGTTGCCACGAGGTGGGCCTCAGTTCCCCTCCCACGCAGATCAAGGGGGAAAACTGGCTGTTCTAGGGGATCGAGCTAGGTGCGCCTGCCCAGAGAGAGTCCCAAGTCCTGGGGACAAGCTGTACCTGGTTGAATGAGGAGAGACTGCCAGGAGACATTCAGCTTTGTTGTCGCAAGATGGGCCCCAGTTCCCGTCCCGCGCAGATCATACTGTTCCCTCCTGTGGTGGGAAAGGATTTTGGATAAGGTTGGTCAATGGTAGGCACCCTTCTACCTTTCTGAGTCTGACCTTCTTCTCAATCAAGCATTATTCTTTGTTTTATAACCGACATTGAGTGAAAGTTTTGGAGGAGGTGCTATTTAGTACTGAGCTTGTACAGCTATTTTCAAGCAGAACTTTTGTTGGAAATGGAGTAGGCGAGTGGGTGTTGAATTGTAATAGAAGAGGTGAGAAATTTTTGGTTGATATTAGGCGACAAGTTGTGGGATGAAATTCCTGAGTGCTTGGAGTGAGTGATATAACTGCGGCCGAGTAAGCTCTTGCCTGCGAGGAGAAGGCCACACCCACTTTGAGAGGCCACGCCCCTTTCTGGTGGCCACGCCCCCAGCCCATCCCAGGCCACTCCCACCCAGGATCCTGGAATGGAGGAAGGGTGGTGGACAGTCTCCCCACTGGGCTTTGGCGGGAATCGGCGCCGCGTGGCTGGGGGCAGAAGCGGCTCCCGGCTGGGCTCCCCTATCATTTCATTCTTGCAGCTGTATAGTATACCAGGGCTGGAGCGATAGCACAGCGGGTAGGGCGTTCGCCTTACAAGCGGCCAACATGGCTGACCCGAGTTCGATTCCTCCGCCCCTCTCGGAGAGCCCGGCAAGCTACCGAGAGTATTCAATATGCCAGACACAGTAACAACAAAGTCTCCAATGGAGACGTTACTGGGCCCGCTCGAGCAAATCGACGATCAACGGGAGGGCCTTTACTTTACTTTACTTATAGATATATCACACAACTTCATTGTACACTTGTCAATCATTGAACACCTAGGTTGATTCCATACCCTAGCTATTGTGCGAAGTATTGCAGTGAATAGTGGTGTGCATATGTCCTTTTCAGCGAATGCTTTTGTGTTCTGAGATAGATACCAAGAAGTGAAATTTTTGGGTTATATGGCAACTCTTGTCTCACTTTTTCGAGAAATCTCCATACTGTTTTCTGTAAGGGTTGAACCAGGCAACATTTCCACCAGTGGTTCATGAGAGTTACTCTTTTGCTACATCCTCTTCAACAAATTGTTCTCAGTATTTATGTTATGTGCCAATCTTACTAGTGATATCTCATCGTTGTCTTGATTTGGATTTCCCTAATGATTAGTAATGATAAGCACTTTTTCATGTGCCTATTGGCTACTTGTCTGTCTTTTCATTTCCTCTCCCCATTTTTCTACAGGGTTTTTGGATTTTCTTTTACTTTGGTTGTTAGTCTTTGATAGCTCTTAATATATCTTGGATAGTAAACCTTTATCTGATGTGCTGGGTTCAAATATTTTCCCCCATTTAGTTTGGTGTCCTTGAGTTTTAGCCCGTGTTTCTTTTACTATGCAGAAACTCTTTAATTTGATGTAGTCATATTTATTTATTTTTATTTCTGTTGCTTTTGCCAGTGGAATCATATTATTGAAAATACCTATGAGGTCTAAATGTTGGAGTGTTCTCCCATATATTCCACAGTCTACTTATTGATTTTATGGTCCTTGAACCACTTTAAATTGACTTTTATATAAGGTATAAGATAGAGATCCAGCTTCATGTTTTTAACATGTGACTATTCAGCTTTCCCAACCCAATATTTAATTCATGCATTCAGCTCCTTTGTAGAAATTAATTGACCACAGATCTGTGAGTTATTTTATGTATTCTCTTCTAACCCATTGTTCAGAGAGTCTGTCCCTATTCTAGTACCATGCTGTTTTGATCACCATGTCTTTATATTATAGTTTGAAGTTAAGTAATGAGATACTTACCAATTTATTAATTTTTATTTTGGATTTGGTAATTAAGAGTGATTTATGATTCCATACAGACTTTGCTATTATTTTAAATCATGGAAGAATGTCATCTGAATTTGGATGGGGGTTGTGTGAAATATATAAAATAATTTAGGTAGAATGATCATTCTGAAAACATTTATTAACTAATCTATGAACATGGAACGGTTATTCTATTCCCTAAAGTCTTCTTTTATGTCAAGTGGCTCATAATTATCATGGGGTAGATATTTTTATTCACTTCTTTGTTGACTCTGTTACTTGCTATTTGGGGCACTCCTCTGAATGGAGTGTATCCTTTGATATATTCTTCTTCTAGTTCTTTATTTGCATATAGAAATGTGACATATTATTTTCTGTTGACTTTGTAGCTGATTACTTTGCTGTATTGGTTATTTAATAGAAATACACTAGCGGTGTTATCATTTAAGTAAAATATATGGCACAAATTGGGTAAGGTTTCTCTGAAAATCAGTTAGATTCATGATACACCATTTTTTGGTCCACCTCTAGTTGTGTTTGGGGGTAACTCCTGGTTCTGAACTCAGGAATAAAATAAAAGATAAAATAATGGACTCTTGATGGGCAATCAACCAGGAATAAGAGGCAAATAGGAGGAGAAGTAAGAAGGAGGGCTTTGAGGAAGGAAATGAGAACATGTTTTCCAATTTGACTCTTCAGTTACATATTATTGAGGAATATTCTTTCTCTATCACATAGCAATCATTGTACTGTTGTAAGAAGTTAAAAAACATCCTCCTCATCTGAAAATTCAAGGACAGTCTCTCAGCTTGGCAATGAATAATGAAAGAATCACTGTGTTGTAGAGACCAACCGCAAGTACTGAATTTGCTTGAGCACAGGAAATTTCAATCACTAGATGTCTAATACTTTTCCTTTGGTTTCCAACAGATATTAAGCATTACTGTGACCAATGAAAACATCAGCTTGCAAAACTTCGTTTCATTGACATGGTAAAACACTCTGTGAACTTTTAATAAGAGCCTATTCATGGATGGATTTCATACCCCTTATATTTCATGCTCATAAAATTATTATGTTAATTGTTTTATGATCTTCATTAGAAAAATACTTAAAATTTTTGTTCTATGTTTCTCTATGACCTATCATATAGGATTTCAGGGATGTGAGGAAATATTTGTGGGTTATTTTAATGTTTGTATATGATTAATTTGGTACTTATGGGTCTTCAGATAATGTGTACTGAAGATGTTCTGACGATTAAACATTTGTGTGTATAATCATGAAATGGGCCTAATTCTTGCAACTACACAAGGACACAGGGAAAAATGTGACATGACAGTGTCATGTCATGGAGCTACCTCATACCCCAGTAACGTATCCAGAAAGAACGTCTTTTATTTGCTTGTTGGGTGAGGGAAAAAATATGCTAAAAACATCATATTAAGATCAAGAAAACAAAACAAGGAAGATGAAAAGAAGCAGGATTAAAATGTTTGTGATAAGTAAGGAGGAAACACAAAAATATCATGGATAGTGACCTCACAGAGAGGAGAAAAGAGAGCCAACGCACTTGAGATGAAGAGTTTTGTGGACCAACACTTCAGTTCTATTGCCTTTGGCCTTCTGTTGCTTGCTTACAGTGTATGTTTATGTGTTTAGAGCTGCAGGGGAAAGGGGTGGATGGGAGGGACAATTGGGACTTTACTGGAGAGTAGGGGCACTCTTGTGGTGGGTGTGGTGTTGGAGTGATGTACGCATGAAACTGTCATTAACAATATTATAAATCACAGCACCTTATTTAAAACATATTTTAAAAAAGAAACGCTAGTGGGAACTCTAAGCTTATAGGAATCAGGATGAGGATGAGATTTGAGCAAGAAAAAAACTGAAGATGTAATTTAGATGTAAAAAACTTTTTTATTTAAACGTACTTTCCTCTACTCTATGCCAAATGTATTCAACTGTAGTTGGAACAAATGCATATATTGTACTTTCCAGAGAAAAATAAAACAAGTGCAATTACAAGAAATTTTGACTTTTGTGGTATTTTGTGGTATTTTGACTTTTGTGGTAATCATTCTCCCTTTAAGATTAAGATTTCCTTTTGTTCAGCAAATCCTTGTGACCTTGTCTTTGCTATCAGAGTTTCTGCTATCTCCAATCACCAAAAAATAATTAGATTCATGATTATTTATACCTTTCTATATGCTTCTCATGGGGATATTCTTAATATGTAGGCATATAGAAACATGTTATTGGGTCTTTGTGGTTTTAATAATCATATAAAATATTATATTTGGCAAAATATCAACTAAAATATGAAACTTGTTACACAAATTGAACAAAAATGGTAATAAAATGTTTAAAATACAATACTAATTAAAACTTCAGTTAGGTAAATTACATATTAATGCTCAGCTGACACATTTTTATTATGAATTAATAGATTGTTTTACTAATAGATATATTTCCATGCTCATGTCTTATTTTTTCTTTCAATATGAGAAATCTGCCTTTTGTTTGCATACTCAGTATTAAAAAAGGCAATGAAGAATAATATTGTTAAATTGACTAAATTTTATGAGTATCAAAATTAGTGTTACTGGGGTGACACAGTTCACAATAGTTATATTCATGCTCTAGATGTACAATATTACTGCACCATATCTTTCATAAATTGCCCAAATCCCCCCTATTACTGTCATTATTTCCTTTCCCATTGTCCCCCACCCTTACCCCTGCTTAAGAAACCAAGCTCTGGGGGCTGGAGCGATATGACAGAAGGTAGGGCATTTGCTTTGTATGCAGCAGACCCGGGTTCGATTTCCAACACCCCATATGGTCCCCCGAACACCACCAGGAGTAATTCCTGCATGCATGAGTCAGGAGTAACCCCTGTGAATTGCCGAGTGTGACCCAAAGAGCTAAACAAGAAAAAAAAAAAGAAACTAAGCTCTGTCTTCAGTGTCTAAGGGTTTATTTTCATTATATCCTGTCTATTATTCCCTTGGTTTCTTTTTTTTATATAACTCCCTGGATGAGATCATCCAGTATTTGTTTTTTTTTCTGACTTATTTTGCTTAGCGTAGCACTCTCTGTTTCTATTCATGTTTTTGCAAAAAGAAATAACTCCATTTTCCCCCTTACACTGAGAAATATTTTTCTATGTACGTATAGCCGACCCGAGTTCGATTCCTCCGCCCCTCTCGGAGAGCCCGGCAAGCTACCGAGAGTATTCGATATGCCAGACACAGTAACAACAAAGTCTCCAATGGAGGCGTTACTGGGCCCGCTCGAGCAAATCGACGATCAACGGGAGGGCCTTTACCTTTACCTTTTACGTATAGTACATCTTCCTTATTCATTATCTGTTATTGGGCATTTAGGTGGGAACCTGGCGCCGTGTAATCTCATCAACGGCCAAGACTCAGAGACTACAAAATGCAGCTCCCGGAACCGTGCGGCCGCATTTGCGGCCGCGCGACATCTTATCAGAACATCTTTTTATGATATCTCATTATCTCATTCCTACTCTGGACAAACTTGCAGGCTATCGAATATAGCCTGCCCACAGGGCAGAGTCTGGCAAACTCCCCGTGGCGCACCAAATATGCCAAATACCAGTAACAATGATGGGTCTCATTCTCCTAAAGAGCCTTGAATATAATCTCAGGGCTAGGATGAAAGAGACGTTACTGGGGCCTGCTAGAGCCAATCGACGAATAACAGGATGATGAAATGAAATGAAATGAAATGGGCATTTAGGTTGGTTCTATAGCTTGGCTATTGTAAATAGCCATCAATGAACATAGGTGTGTATGGTATCTTTTTTAATTAGTGTTTTGTGTTTGGGACATAAATCTTAAGGAACTGCTGGATCATGTGGTAGCTCCATTTTAATATTTTTGAAAAGTCTCCATAAATTTTTCCATAAAGGTGATTATGTTACAAGCCTCCTTCTACTGTATTCAAAATTATCATAATATTTATTTAATTTGGGGGCCACACCCAGAATTGTTTGGGGATCACTCCTGTGGGCTCAGTCACCTCTGTGGTCAACTATTTGTGGCTATCTCATTCAGATCTCATTCTTTTATTTTATATCTTTGTAGGTCTGACAAACTTAAAATGACAATCATAAGCCTTTTAACCTGGGAAGGAAGAAAGTCTTCTCTTATTAAAAGTGTCCTTGTTATGACTATCACAAATAACCATACAGAGTAGGGTGAATTGTTCTTAGCAGATGTAGTTCTAGTGCCATCAACATTTCATTCTTTTCATTGTAACTACCTTATTGGGAGGTTACCTCTGACTGTAGGATGGTGTCTTCCAGGTTAAGGGTCATAAATATTGTTGGTATATGATCTGATGAATTATTCCACCCATAACTCTCTTTGATCACTTAACTACTTCTGCCTATGCCTGACATCACGATACGATCACCATCACGATCATCCTGTTGTTTGTCTATTTCCTCGAGCAGGCACCAGTAACGTCTCCTTCTTCCTAGCCCTGAGATTTTAAAAGAGCCATTTCAATGCTCTTTCAGTATTAGGAGAATGAGACCCATCATTGTTACTGGTATTTGGCATATTGAATACGACACGGGAGGTTTGCCAGACTCTGCCGTGTGGGTAGGATACTTTTGGTAGCCTGCCAGGTTTTCCAAAGAAAAGATAAGATAATAAGATGTCGTGATACATCACGTTGCATTCTTCCTTATAATGACATGTCACGATACATGTTGCGATACATCATACTATGATGGCATGTCACGATACATCACGATACATTCTTCCTTATAAACAAGGGGAAAATACTAGGTCACATACAGTCTTCTGTCCTGGAAATATATTTTTATCAATTTCCCACCGGTCGCCACAAGCATATGACCCAATATCTTTCAGTTTGCAGGAAAGAATGGTAAAGCACTTTAGAAAACAGGCTACAGATAGAATTGTGTGTTAGCATGGTGGTATGGATGATATCACAAAGGGACTCAGGATACAGGGGAGTTGGGTATCACACAAAAAATAGAAAGATCTTATGTAGCAATTTCATTTCTTGACCTTTGGTCAAACTATCATATAAAATTGAAAACATAGCCAGGTATGTCTTCCCTCTATCAAAGGCTCTTTTATATTGGAGCAGAAGATAAGGTGGATTTGTCATTCCAGGAATTCATAACGGCAGAAAGCTAGCTTCTCTTACTCATGCTCTATTTCTATCTCTCCTTCTCCTGACAGACACTGAGCACTTCAAAAAAATTTGGATTACTATGGGAACCATATTACTTATGAGCCTTAGGTCCTCTTAAGAGAGGGAATTCTCTCATAAATTTCTCTAGGTATATATATGCAAATTTTATTTATATAAACACTATGTATCATTTATAGTTGGTAAGAAAGTAATATGTTGCAACCACTTTGGAAAAGAATTCTGTAATTTCTCAAGAAATTAGAGTTCCCATATGATCCATAAATTCCACTTAATTATACCCTTAAGAAAATTGAAAATATATGATCATACAAAAATGTGTACATTCATAATTCATAACTAACTTGTTTATATGAGCCAATTAAGAAAAATTCCTACTTTATATAAGTCAATGAGTCAATAAAAATGTAGTGTAACAATATGGCAACTAATATCAATAATCACTTAATCACTTAATCACTTAATCCCCGTTATTCATCGATTTACTCGAGCGGGTGCCAGTAACATCTCCATTCATCCCAGTTGCGTGCTAGCATAGCCCAATGGTATCTATTCGTCCTAGAAACATGCAGAGCCTCAAACGATCATTCAGGGTCTTGACGAAGAAGTCTGACCATCTTGTAGGTGGGCATCCACGTGATCTTTTGATGTCCTGTGGAATCCAATCAGTAATGGATCTAGTCCAGCGGTTGTCTGTAAACCTCATTACATGTCCAGCCCATCTGATTTTTGATGTCTTGGCAAATGAGACAGCGTCCCTGATTCTTGAGCGTTGACGAAGACCAGAACTCCAGATTCTATC